TTAAACTCTTTGAGCGTGAATTTATTATTTAGATGGATAATGTAGCGATTTTTACTATTCTCAAAACTGTTTCTCTACAAACTTTTGCACAAAGATAAACCCAAGCCACCCACGCTTTCCGCGCCTTTTTAAAATCTTGCTTTAAAATACGAACTATGTGCTGCCCCATACTGACGTCACTAGGGCTGGGCACGATGAGATTGATCTTAATTCCGTTTGTTCTCCTGAAAAAATGATTGTTCCCCAGGAACGACGCCCAGCCCTGACGTCACAAGTATCTAGCAAGGGCAAATTTCTTAAATGTTATGAAAACAAAGGTTGCCAATAATCCTGAATTTATATTATATATATATATATATATATATATATATATATATATATATATATATATATATATATATATATATATATATATATATAAATAAAATGATTAAGAGGAACATTTATGATGATGGTGTGAAGCGCCCGAAACACTAGTACTACATACAAGAGTAGAAAGTCTATGAATTAACAGAAGGTTTGAAAATTAAGAGAAGGTTCTATATCTCTCTATCTCTGTCCTAACATGAAAGTTAATCCATTATGCGCTCTTAACATGGATTAAAGGAACATTACAAGTTCTTTCAAATATACTTTAAATAAAACTAGATGTGATAAAGTCTGGAAAAGTTAGATGAAGCTGGATAAAAATAGGCATCAGCTCCCCCCCCCTTATTATACTTTCAGCAATGTGTCAAGGATTTTTCCTTTCGAGACAAAAACATTTGTAGAACGTCATCATACTTCGTAGAAAGGCATTTTTTATCGGTTTCCCGGCCAGGAAGTGTGAACTTTTAAATGAGAAAGCGCTAATCTACAACGCATAAACTCGATATCCAGGTCAAACAGCTGACTTGTATTTTCACGAACTCTCATTGGCTAAAAGAAATTTTTTTGCGAATTCTGATTGGTCAGGCCTTTGAGATATCCAATTGAAAAAAACGCTATCTTTTGACATTCCACAAAATCGAATATAAATGTTCTGAAAGAATGAAAGTTCTGACCTCTCTGCATACAATATAAAAATTTCTTAAAAATTATCTTTTTAGATATTTTATTCTAGATTGTCAGTTAACATAAAGGCATATATTCATACATTATAATATGTGTTATTTATTACAAATCAAACAATAAATAAATATTAATGTTATATTTAACTGCAGCGCGTCGAAATACTATGCAATAATGATCTAAATTTTGAAAACGTTTTACAAATTTTCTCCATGTTTTATGCTGTTTTATCTTTGCAGTTTGATGGTGTAAACCTTTCATCTTTCAAACCTTGACTTTCTGATATAGCAGCAGTCATTGTTTAAAATATCAAGGTCAACAACATCAAGTTTTAAATATATAAAGTGGTAAAGAAATTGATTCTTTGCCACAAACTCAAATATTCTAATCCCTATATTTAAGAAACTTGGTGATTTAAACCATTGTTATTTCAAACTCGGGTTATTTGATCTAACAGAATTCATAATTTGAAATATCTGAGTTCTACGACATTAGACTGCAAAGATATAGGGATTTGTAGCATGAACTAAGTTCCTTTAGAATTTGAGAAAGTTTTCAGTTTTCTTTTAACTTGTATGATTTCCTAATTTTCTTAATTGTGGATTTAGAAGGATTTTCAAACCTGTTCATTATAATCATGTCACGTATTTGGAAGCAAAAGATAAGGACGAAAAAAGCAGCTATTGAAGCAAAACTTGGTGAGGTATCATGAAGGAAAAACTATAGAACTATAGANCTCATTGACAAAATAACCATATATTATAGAGAATAAACTGTTTGCATAATCAACCCAGGGAATTTATTATATAATATACGAATGCGCTGGAAAATTATCGATGATTAAAGGTTGTAATATCTGAAGGATTTGTTTGGTATTAAATATATTTTTTACGATCCAAGTCGAATATTGCAACTTTCTGAATTCTACATTCTTCTGTAGGAGTCGTTTTTAACAATTTTATTCTTAAAGACGCAACAGATAGAAGAAAGCAATCACCATCGATAATTTTTCGCAGTGAGTCTATGCCCCCTTTCATTTTTCGCTAACACTCCCTTTAAAACAATAAATATTAATTACTGATATCATCTTGGAGACCATTTCCCTGCTGTGCAGTTCCCGTGGGTTATTTGTGCATTCTAATCAAGAGATAGAACTATAGAAACTTTTAAATGCAGTTCATTATATGATTATCTGAACATTATAGAATTAGTAAAACAGAGAACTTTTACATATACTTAACTGTCCAAGGATTTGCTTTCATATACTAACTGTACTGTATTGTATACTAAATTGCACTTTATTGTACTTTACTGAACTGTACTGTACTGTACCGTACTGTACTGTACCGTACTGTACTGTACCGTACTGTACTGTACCGTACTGTACTGTACCGTACTGTACTGTACCGTACNGCTGGGTTCCTAAGCTAATAGTTTAGTATCCTCGCAAAGCTGGTTCCTAAGCTAATAGTTTAGTATCCTTGGAAAGCTGGTTCCTAAGCTAATAGTTTAGTATCCTTGGAAAGCTGGGTTCCTAAGCTAATAGTTTAGTATCCTTGGAAAGCTGGGTTCCTAAGCTAATAGTTTAGTATCCTTGGAAAGCTGGGTTCCTAAGCTAATACATTATATTTTGAGATTCTGAAGAAATCCATTAAACAGGCATAATCTTAAGTCCATGAGATAATAAGATTAAAGGAAAATTAAATAAAAAGGAAAATCATGAAAATCCAAAATATCTTTAGTAAATTTTTTACATATATATATACTGTTAAATGTTTTACATTTTAGGCAATAGGCATGTGTACAGTGTACACCACTGTACAGTGTACACTACTGTACAGTGTACACCACTGTACAGTTTACACTACTGTACAGTGTACATCACTGTACAGTGTACACCACTGTACAGTGTACACCACTGTACAGTGTACACCACTGTACAGTGTACACCACTGTACAGTGTACACTACTGTACAGTGTACACCACTGTACAGTGTAAACCACTGTACAGTGTACATTCATTGTAAAGTGTACACCACTGTACAGTGTACACCACTGTACAGTGTACATTCATTGTACAGTGTACACCACTGTACATTGTACACCACTGTACAGTGTACAACACTGTACAGTGTACACCACTGGTACAGTTTACATTCATTAAGGGGTTTTAGAAGCAGCATTAAAGCAAGTACATTAAAATTTTTAGAACACGATTATTGTCATAAATAATATTTAATTTTTTTTTTGTTTTAAAATTTATAAACCGGAACAGTTTATGTAAGTTTAGAAAAATTAAATCTTGTTAAATGCAATATTGATCATTTGGATGGAGGATGGAGGAACATATAAGTTTAAAAGATTTTAAAATATTTTTAATTTCAACAAAATGTTAAATTCAACACTTTAAAAGTGTGTCTACGAATAAATTATAATGCAAGCACAACATTTTAGACATTAGAGAAAGCAAAGCGAAGATAAATATATTTTAAATATATTTACAGTTTTGTTAAAATTTTATATTTTTTATAAATTAATTTAGGCTTGGTTTTTGAGGCACACTCCATAGGACAGAATAATAGAGAAATTTTCCAATATTTAAATACATTGAACATAAACTGTGCCATTTTCATTTGGAAATGTATGACAAAAACTAAGATTATTGGATATTTGAGCAATATTGAGTTATTTTATTTTGAGGAGACTAGTTTCAGCTTTTTTAAGATATATTTTCAACAACCTGGTTTATAGTTTACAGGGTAAGGTTAGTGAGCTTGGCATATTTAATTATATTCCTGTCAATAAAGTGACAAAAGGATGAGAGAGGGAAATATTTAGGATTTATTGTAAATTCTCATTTTAGCAATCAACTCGGCTCAGCTTAAAGGGACTTCAACTCTGCTCAGCTTAAAGGGACTGTAAGCGTAATTTGAAGTGATTCCCCAATAAAAGACGGATGCATCCGATTCACAATGGCACTTTGAGGCATGATATCTCTGAACGACGATGATGAATTAAGATTAGAATTTAACTTGCTGAAATCTGTGAAATACTTTCTTTGCCTCGGCATTAATCTGCTAGACACTTTAGAAGAGAATCAAATTGTAAAAATGATCAATTTTCAGCTGGTATCACAAGAATATCTTTGTCATGTTTGCTGAGACGAGGTTTAAAGAGTGCTGTTGTAAATCCACCCCTAAGCTAAGCTTCCGGTCCGTACTGTTGTAATCTGCCGTTCTCTGACCGAATACATTGTGGATTACAGTGAAGATATAATCGTGCAAGCAACCTTTAACATTTAGAACACTTGAAATTATGTCAACAGTCCCTTTAAATTAGCTCAGGTTAGTTCATTGTGGCTCAATTCAGCTCAATTCAGCTCAAATCAGCTCTAATGAGCTCATGAAAACTTGATTCAACTTATTTAAACTTATTTCGGCTTCTTGTACTTAATTCTACTACATTTGTTGCGTGTATTAAATTCTCATTTTGAAAAATGCCAGTTTTTTAAACTGTTAACGATGTTTTTTCGAAAAGTGCCAAAAACTGCTAATTTAGAGAATATATTAAGATTAAAACTTGAAATAATTTTCTCCCTGTTCTCCTCATTACTCCTCCGATGGTTCATTACTCAGTAATTTTCTTTCCAAAGAAGATAAACTTTTTTCAATAAAAATTAATTGGCAGCTAAACTTGGTCATTATAAACAGGTTGAAACCGGAGAATATATCTGGGAAATATCCAGCAGTTTTTACATGAATGGCTCAGCTGTTTTTGAGGGAATAGATAATGAGGTGTGAACTATTCATCCCTGTTCATTCTTTTATTTCTTTGTTGAGCGGAGCCAAGTTATCGTTGGAAGCTTGGACTCCTTGGACTCAACTTTTTATCTTTATCTTCAACTGCCAATTCATCATCTAGAGTTCAACAACTAATTTGGCAATTTACAGAGTACTTGCAAAACTTAGTTTCTACAGATTCATGTCGAATTGTGCAATTCATGGTTCTTTCCTTTTTTAAAAAGAAAACGCATTCTTTATATAATCATTTGAATGTTTTTAATACTTTTTGTAGATTGGTGTGTGATCAGTTTAGTTTACTTTAGTTTTTTTTTAACCAACTCATCAGTTTTGTGGATTAACTTATTTTTCTTCAATGTCGGAATCTTGGTGTCCGACTAAGAGTTGCTATATTGCGACTGGGTCGTTCTTTTCGTTGTCGAAATTTCGCTTCTTGGGTCGCTCTTTCTTGGGGGGAGGTTTGTAAACGACGACATGTCCGATTCCAGTCACAGATTTCCCACAGCAGAATATTCTCATATGACCATCTTCTCCAGTGTACATAAACCTAAACATGAACATTGTAGATATTGTACTACACATGTACAATATATATATTTTGTACATAAACCTAAACATGAACATTGTAGATATTGCATTACACATGTACAATATCTATATTTTGCACATAAACCTAATCATCTGCATTGTATATATTGTACATAAAACTAAACATGTATAGTGTAGATATTATACATAATCCTACACATGTACAATTGTAGATTTGTACATAAACCTAAAAATGTACACTGTAGATATTGCACATAAACCTAAACATGTACATTGTAGATACTGTACATACACATAAACTTGTACATTGTAGATATTGTGTACAATGTACATACACCTAAACTTGTACATTGTAGATATTGTACATGAAACTAAAATGTGCATTGCGGATATTGTACCTAAACCTAAAATGTGCATCGTAGATATTGTACATAAACCTAAACATGTACATTGTAGATATTATACAATAACCTAAGCATGTACGTACATTGTAGAGATTGTACATACACCTAAACTTGTACATTGTAGATATTGTTCATAAACCTAAAATGTACATTGTAGATATTGTATATAAACCTAAACTTGTAAATTGTAGATATTGTACATAAACCTGAACATGTACATTGTAGATATTGTACATAAACCTGAACATGTACAACTACGAATATATTTCACCAACTAGTAAGACAGGACCCTCGTATCAGAGAAGAGCATATTAATTATAGTTATTTTGCATCATGTTAAAAGTTTATTGAGGTACCTGCTACAGATGCATATATATAGACAGCTACAGACCATAACAGCTGCTGGAACTACTGACCACAGCAGTAACCACATCATTGTCCGGTCAGGGGTGTAGTCAACAACAACAAAATCAGGAAACTCAGGGTCGTGGTAGCAATCAAAGGAAACCCTGAACATTAATGCTTAAAGGGATTATTGATGTAATTTCAATTTTAACCACATCATGCTCAATTTACAATGGTACCTTGTCGGGCCTGTACCCTTTTATTGGATTATCAATGAGAAAGATATCATCGTTTTTCCTAATCAATTTTTTAGATGATGTGCACCAACTTTGGATTAAAATCGGATATAAGTCAACTTAATTATCATCAAAAAAAAAATTTGATTTAATAAAACCAAAGTTTTCATTTGGTAAAAATTTTTAATCTGTTAGTTTTAAATAGCGAAACAGTAATTCAAAATAGACAACGTAAACAACGTTAAACCACGTGAACTTGAACCAACGCACAAGAGAAGTGGTTAGATTAAGTCAACGTAGTTCAACCTCTTCGCATTAAATAAGATGCTAGGTTTCACTTATTACTTCCTTATTTCTCACCTGGAAGTGTAGTTTGCTCCGTCCTTAGCAAACTTAGCATAGAAGTTCATGCACTCCATACTCAGGGTGTTCACACAACCCTCTACATTCTTCATTATCTTAGTATTATTTACAATAGTGATATCAGACTCCAGGGGGATCAAACTCTCGAAGTTGGACGCATTGTACTTGATGAACCTGTCCCTATCCTCCCTCGCTACACTGTACACGGACATGAGGTGGGAGTAGTTGGTTACTCCCAGATCATCCAACCAGGTTCCGTTAGTGCAGTCGGATCCATATATAGTATTCATCTCACGGTTTATCCGTATCCTGGAGCAGGTTGCAGCTAGGCGGGTCCAGTTCGCGTTCTGTACAGCCTGAGCTGGCATCGGTGTTTCCGTACTCCCGTTGATAAACGCCTTTCTACAGTGACCCATGACAACCCGCTCACCGCTAAACAAAACCATGTTCTTGTCTTTTAAATCAAACTTTTTAAAATCACAAACTCTCTGACATTTTAGGTCATAGATCTTTGTACACTCTCCTTTTTTACAACTGTAGTAGGTTAGTTTAGGCTCTGGAGGGTTTCTCGTCATATCAACACCAAAATATGCAACATCTTGTCTTGAGTGCATGCTTAGACAATGCAACTGATCATTGCACATGTCATCGCAGGTTTGACATTTCGGAGCTTTACAAAGCTCTCTTCTCTCCGCATTATAGAGTTCAGGTTTCCGATCCTTCTCAAAACAGTATCTTGTATCCTTAGGACACTGGAGAGCACTTAGAGTTACATCCACCACCAGGCTTACATTACTCTCAGGACACTGGTTACAGTTACAGTATCCATCCGTTACATATCCTTCCTTACCCCAGGACATCTTGAGATCCTCCAGGGTGTCCTGGAAGGTGCAACTGTATATCATACTCACGTTCTTACATTCTCCCATCTCACAGGATATGACGTCATCAAACTGTTTACATATCTCCTTACTTCCGTTCCGTTCAATTTCCCATTTTGATCTCTTACAGTTCATAGGTTCTAGATCTGCTAGCGTGGTGCAAACATGATCAAAGAACCAGGGTTCTTCTAGAGTACATCCTTCCCAGGTCATGTCTGCTCCACGATCCCTTAGCACTCCAAACACTTTGCTGCAGGGGCTAGCACCCTTGGATAAACACCATTCTTCACAGGAGGACCAGGCACAGATTCCATCCTCTGGAGTTCCTGTTATATTCCTCTGTACTAGGGTTGTAGTACAGCGTTTAGGTCCAATGATGTTCTTAGACATCTCTTCAAAGGATGGTTTATAGATGATAACAGTGCTGTAGATCAGAGTGACTACCATAACAACGCTGAACATTATTGTTAAAAACATGCCAAGGCAAAGCCATTTCTCTCCGCCCTGCGGCGGAAGTTTAGGTTTAGGCATGATACTTTATATAAACTCACAATCTGTCAAGAGAAAGGAGTAAGCAAGCTTTATCAGATTAAATGAAAGGTCCTGTTCATTTTATTTTAAATTCAATCTTAATAGATATATATATAGTCTGTTTATATACTGTATACTTAGGTCTCTTATCTAAAGCGTAAAATCATTATAATCACGTTTTCTTCTTTTCACTTCATTTTCTTGTTTTTATCTTTCTTTTTCTGTCTGCTGTCTTCTAAGCAGTTTGTATATCAGCTGTGCCTGGTTCGGTTTAACTCCACCCAGAATCAATACTTCCTTTCCAGCTGGGGGCAGGTTGCAACTTTAAAACCGGCCTCGGGGGTTGCAACTTTCAACCCAGTCTCTAAAAGGTTGCACATTTCTGCCCAGCCTCCGGCATGCAATTTCAGGTTGAAATGAACAAACTGAAATTAGTTCTTTTAATATACTTTTGGAACAGTGTAAACCAATTAGTCAGGGAGTCTGAATTCCAATAGATGTAGATAGATAGATAAAATATCAGTAATAAATTGTAGAATAGGGAATGAATATAGAATAGAAGTAAGGTCTAGGATTTATTGGACTTTTAGGCAATTCTTGGTGTCAGGCAACCTTTCCAAACCAAAAGAAGAAACAAAGTTTATAATCAGGCATACAGAACTTACATAAATTAACCACCCCCCCCCCTCCTCCTCTTCTAAACATTACAAAAAAGTTGAACAATACTTTTCTTATGGTATTACATGGTGCAGGTTTAACCCCAAAACAAACTTCAGAGACAACTCTATCTACACTCTACAAATCTGAACGAAATTTTCTTATTATTGCACAAAAAAGGCAGATCGCATTTTGGAAATGCCAAGATTAGGGGTATTTTGTGATTATAAACTCAAGAATTTTACTTTTAGATTAGTTTTACGAATAAACGTCGCAAATGTTTTCCAGGATCAAAGACTACCTTCAAATAGTTTAGCTCCTGTCATGTTTCGTGGGACACCCTGCATCTAGCGAAATGAATTTGCATATTTTGTCTCCGTTTCGTGTTTGTTTAAGATTAATAATATCCTTGATTGTTCTGCTGGTGACAGCTAGAGGTGCCGGCTTGTTATAATATTTGTCACAATTCAAACAATCAATACTTTCTTAAAACTAAAAATTCTCAAATCTCAAGATGTTTCTATGGAGTTAGGTTCCAAGTCCTACAATTCAGTCTCATAATTCAATTTTAAGTCTCAACTTTTTACATAAATTTTGTGAACAATGGTCTTTTTTTCCTGGAAACACTTCCATGTTTTGTGCACCTATATTCTATAACTTTTAAAGGAATTTTCCAAGTTGAATCTTTAAGAAACTATTCACTTACTTTACTTTAAAACTAGCTTGGGAACCCAGCTTTACCTGGAAAACTAATCTTTCTAAGAATTTGTTTGCTTAAGATATTTACGAACATTTCCGTGGTTCTATCGAGTTTCTCAATCAAAATTCAAAGCAAATTAGTCAAGGGGTTCAAGAGTTATGATCAAACATACAAACAAACATGAGTTTTGATCGGACAAACTTACAATAAGAAGGGATTATAAAGAACTTTTTTTATGTAAACAAAATTCCAATTTTTAGTGATAATCTGTAATTTTTGTTAACTCCAGGGGGAGGAGGAATACAAATTTTGAAAATAGAACTTCGATGGCAATTTAGGGGAAAATAGTGAATAAAGGGATTTATTCAACATTCAAAGATTTCGTTCATAAAAACTTTGCCTTCCCCTCCTCATAAACTATCTCAGTTTGCGCCTCTGCTAATCTGCCACCCTCCCCAACCAAAAACTGTTGATCTGCCACCCTCCACAACCAAAAACTGTTAATCTGCCACCCTCCCCCACCAAAAACTGTTAATCTGCCACCCTCCCTCACAAAAACGGCCCCAATTTGAAACTAATAACTTATAAATCTAATAAAAGTATTATCTAAAACTTTAACTCTGTATAAATCTGTCCTATTGTATATTGTAGCTTCAGTAAGTTCCTTGTTTACTCTTGTAAACAAGGAAAAGGAAAGAGCTTTTAAAGAATTACAAAACTAGAAATTCATTTCTCTTTGTATTTACTTTCTATTATACACAACATTTGCAAAAGTTTAAAAGAAAAAAAGACTCCGCCCCCTCTGCATTTAATTTAATTATTTTCCTTCAACTCCTTCTATGATTTTATGAATATTAAATTTAAAAATATGCTGACACAGTCTCTGACCACACGGAAAATGTAAAATGAATTATGAAAAAAAACTTCTTGTTATATGTATTGCTATTTGTGTAGAGGAAATGGAAATCGGGATTTTGGTACGTTTTTTCAATTTTTAAAGTTTTCTTTCTTTAACTTCAATATTTTTGTAAACCGCTTGATGTTTCTAAGAAATGAATACTGATTTCCGAATGCAGATTTATTTCTAAAAATGTATAATTTTCCTTCTCTGTGCCGGATTTTCTAAAAAATGTCCTATCCAAACGTGTTGGGACTTGGGGGATATTTTTTTACTTGCATTCGTTTAAGAAATGTCCGATTTATGCTATTTTGAAAATTTATTTCGCTGTTGATTTTCAAAAAACAAAATTTACGGCAGCCATTTTTTCACACACTTTTTTGAAAGATTATTATTCTAATACAAAATTGTCATATTTCAAAGGGGTTTAGTTCGTCACTATTCTGACCTTTCCTGGAACCCATTGGAAATGTTTAAACACAACCGCAACAGCAAATTACAACATCGAGTTTTAACTTTAAATTACATGAATTAAATATATTTATGTATTATTTACAAATGTACCAATTATTCACTAAACTGCCAAAAGTTTTAAAAAATGCAAAAAGTTTTAAACTAAAATTTGCTAATTACTTCAGAGGATGTTTGATTCTGCTAATTAGATTTATAAAACATTTTGGCATAAGAGAAAAATGATCTGGTATCTTTTAAATGGAAGAAAAAGTTAAACTAGTCCCTAGCTCTGATCTATCATCTGATCTGAGTCTGACGTGTTGCTCAATAAAAAATTAAAAAATCTAGATATTTATTTAAAATCCAATAGTTTACTATTTGATAAAAGATATTACATTCTTTTACATATGTTACGGCGTTACATGTTTATCTTATGTTTGCGGATCTTTATCCTATTTTTTGCGGATCTTTATCTTATGTTTGCGGATCTTTATCTTGTGTTTGCGGGTCTTTATCTTATATTTGCGGATCTTTATCCTATGTTTGAGGACCTTTATCTTATGTTTGCGGATCTTTACCTTAAGTTTGCGTATTCGCAATCAATAAGAAATTCGAAGTGAAAACGTAAAGGTTAAACTTCTAAATTAACTTTTTAAATTTATCCCTTTGAAGCATAGTTCATGCGTCTAGAAAATAAACATGTAATAAGTCTAAAAATGTTTCCTCTAACGTCACAAAATTGTGAATAAAAATTTCTTCAAAATTAAAAATAATCTGTATGGAGAAGAGAATACCAGGATTTACCCTGTGAAATGTTCTAGGTATAAATATTCCATTAGTTTCCAGGTCAGACATGGCTTTTCACTGGATTAAAAGATAAAGCTTAATCTAGAAACAGGAGCTGTGATTTACCTACTTCTATTCTTACCCCCCCCCCCATTTAATATCTAACCACGTCAAACTAAAGCAAATCACAAGTAAAATGGAAATCATATAAGTTTCCAATCACGATTCCTCTATTTGAAAAGCTATTGAGAAGAACAAAAATGTTTACAATTTGTAATTTGTAACCGAATATATTTACTTTAATAATACTTATTTATAAAATAAAAACTGGAGAAGCTATGAGGTCACAAAACCGTACCAGTAATATCGCATTAATTTGACCTTCTCCGTCTGTCTATTTCACGGCGTATACCCTTTGTTCACAATGATTCAACGGTTCGGTCATGATCAATGACTTTTTTCCTTTTTTGGTTTTAAATAAAAAGTCGAAAATATAAAGTATTGCTGAATTACAGTCAAACCCGTGATTGAATACATCTTGTCCTGGGGTAAGTCCAGGCAATGCATGTTTTGTAATTAAGTTACACATATTATAAACTCCGATCCTGTGGTGCTTCGTGTTTATCTTTTTAGTCTTAATTTTCTTTTAGCTGAAGGCATTTTTCGTCAAACAGCAGATTCTTCTATTTTTTATGGACTTTTCTAAATTTGAAATTGGAATGATACCATTATTTTTTACGTCTGCTTTTAAAAAACCGGCAGTATATATAATCTATATAATAAAGCTCTTCGGTCAAATATATATTTATATATATATATGTATAGTTGGCCAAAAATGGGCTAACATTTTTTAAAGAAACCCATGGGTACCAAAAAATCGAAAGAAAAATTTTTTTTAAAATATTGATTTAAAAAAATTCCACGGGCAACACCGGGAACTTCAGCTAGTTTGTTTGTAGATATGTCAGCTATAGCTGTCTAAACGGCTGGACCGAATTGGCTGATTTTTTTTAGAGAACTCCTGAGTACACAGGGGGTAACATAGGTTAAAAAAATTTAATTTCATTTTTTTCAAATTCTATTTTTTCAAATTTGTTTTTTTATTTTATTTTATTTTATTTTATAGATATAAAAATGATAAAAAAAAAGAAATTTCAATCTAAATTCAATTGATTTCAGTAAAATCAAACAAATTTCATGAATAAAATTTTTTTTTATTTATTTGATTACAAGTCTTGTGTTTTTGGTTTAAAATAATCTCAGTTTTATAACTAACAAACCATAAAATAATAATAAAACATAAAAATTAGAAAGCATGAACACCCCTGATCGAAGAAAAAACCTTTTAACCTTTGGAAAAGATTATTTTTTCCAAATGTTTCCATGCTCTTAAACATTTTATGATCGGCATTGAAGACTGAGACAGCAATTTTCAATATATTGGAACCCAGAGAAATTTATGGATCACTAATATGTTACGCTCAATTTCTTACATTTAATTAAAAATAAAATTCAATTCTTTAAACAGATTGACTATTTTGATAATAAACAGATTGATTATTTTGATAAAAAAGAGATTGATTATTTTTCTATACTATTGATTAGAATTTGATTAGTTATTGAATCTGATATTTTACACAGATTTGGTCACTTTTATTTGTAACGGAATTGAGTCTTTGCCACAAACTCAGATTTTTTAATCCCCAATGTGTTAGACCTCAAGATATATTAAACTATGAATTCTGAGGCTGAATTTAAAGAATTTGAGCCGCGGTTTAAATGTAAGTCACGGCTTAAATTTTAGTGATTCCACTTAAATTTTTATTAAATTTTTCAAGATTTAAGCCGGCGCTCTATTGAAACCGGTTTTTGGGGTATTTGAGACGCGTCTTAAACTCATTAAATTCGGACACTGTTAGATCAAGTAATTTAAGTTTGAACGATCCAAGATCCACACCACCAGGTTAAGAAGATATGTGGATTAGAAAATTGAGTTTGTAGCAAAACTCAATATTATTTATTTATTTATAATGTTTGTTTAACAACAAACATTTAATGAATGAACTTTATAATTTTGTCTAAAACGTCCATTTTCTTTATTCGAATTCTCCTTTTTAAAATTCAGTTTGAATCCGGCGATAAATATTTTACAATTGTTTTAGAAGAATTTTGTTCTCATTTTACACCCATTTTACGGGTAAAATCTTCTGCAGTTATGTTGTTAATATTTTTATGTGAAGTAATATTGAACAAATATAGTGTTTATTCTTGACATTTTTAACCAGCGTTATTTTCAAATTGTAGACAGAGATGATGGTAAATATGAAAAGAGGCTGTTTGCTTTTATTGAGATGTATTTATGAATTATTTTGATAGTTTTTATTGAAAATTCTAAACTGTTTTCTCATAGAGAAATGCTATTATTGGTTTCGACCATGTATTAAAACGGTCAACTCAAATCTGTCAAACTAACTGATTTTCTAATCTCTTTATTTTTGCAACCCAATCTGACAGATCTTTGAACTTACACTATTTGATCTAACAGAATTCATAGTTCAAGGTTACCAGGTTGCATTCCTATTGGTCAGCAGTTTATTTTTATAATGGCATAATGATCTTTTTCTGATGAAAAACTATTAATATTTCGAAAAAAGTTTCCACAGAGAGATCCCATTGATTTTTTCGAAGACAAATCGTTTTTGCAGCGTTCCTAACACATCTCAAGGGGTAAACAATTATACACTGCGACAAGTTGAAAAAACTCTGTAATTTTGCATACTCTTTAATTTGGAACTTATATAAAAAACTTCACAACTTTGTATCCATATCCCATATCCCAGGGTTAAAAACTTTGCTCCCTCTTTATTAAAAAAAGATACATTTTGTTTTGAAAAGCTTCTATAATATTAATAGATATACTGTTCATTAGTCCAATTTCCCTCATCTACAGAGAAATGGGCGCACAATACAGGACGCATAAATGGGGCCGCACTAAAAAGGGTTTAAAATAAAAAGTATGTAGCTTATCTTTTTTCTTTCTTTTATAATGAATGGTATAAAATATTCAAATATATTTAAACTTTATGAAATGCATTAAAGTTTTTGATAAAGTTTGATTAGTTAAATAATAACTTGATTATCTGCAGGATATTATTTATCCTTGTTTGCCAAATATTTTTCCTAATTGAAAACTTGTATTTCCTTTTCCGGAAATTATAAATGAAGTTATATTTATATATATTTTCAGCACAACTTCTCATTCAACAAAGTTTCGTTTTATTTGGCTAATAAATGAACTTTTTGCCCATTTCTCTTGAAGTCTACATAAAAACATCAACCTTCCATTTCTTTCACTATTTACACTAAATAATTATTTCTTTTAACAACTCTCTGCCTCTCTACCAGACCTATAGCCACCGCTATATTTCTCTTCGTCACGTCAATTTATAGAGCCTTAGGTCGGAACCTGATCGCTATATCCATTATGGGCACTTTTAAATTGGAGGATTAGTGCTTGAATGGAGCTGAAAAAATTTACAATTTAATCTCGATCCCTCCTTCGCTCCCATCTTGTATTAACCTCAACCCCTATCCAATCTTATACAACCCAAATTAAACCTTCCACCCTACCCTCTCATTTCTAACCACTCTCCCCCCCCAACTCGTCTCTGTCTCATGAATATTAAAGATGGATTTTGATTCCCTAGATTTAAGAATATTTGGTATATTTTCCTATGCAAAATCCCTTCTAGATTCTCTAGATAACACTGTTCAGATATATTTCCCTGTTGGCCTCCAGGCAAACTTCTCTTGTTTAATTCAGGGAATTATTAACTGCAAGCTTTTCAGCTTCTTATAATATAATTAGCTCCACTTCTGTACTGAAGTTCCTATACTGTACTGTAGTTTAGTTACCATACTGTACTGTAGTTTAGTTCCTCTACTGTACTGTAGTTTAGTTCCTCTACTGTACTGTAGTTTAGTTCCTCTACTGTACTGTAGTTAACACAAATTCGAAATATAAGGAAGACAATTTTACCGACTCAATTGCAGTCAACTATGTGTGTATACACACAATCCATTTCCGCCATGAAGCAAACCCATGTAACACTCGCTCCTTCGTCCCCCCGCCTCACCCCTACACACCCCAGCCCTCAGTCAGGTTAGGAGAGTTGGGCTGGTAACAGCTCCGACACAGGGAGCCTCTTGACTCCTTCATGCTGATGATGCAGATACTGAGCTAACAGCAGGCGTGCTTATACCTCTGATCTCCTATTAACTTCTTGAGAAGCTTACCTAGGAAACATATACACGGCTCCGATCCGAAGTTTCCGCTATCTCGAGTTGCATTGCCTTAGTTCCATTGATAAGCCCTGTTGTCCCAGTTCCTGTTGATCTGCTCCACCAACATGAGCTCTACAACACTCCCATGAAGCGCCATCAAATATCCATCATTAATTCCTTTGTTAATTTCTAAATCAACCAATTTTAACTCCGCCTTAAATACAAATATTTCAAAACTTTCGTTTTTTAAATAAATGTTAGAAATATCCATTTGGATCTCTTTATTTTATTATAGTGACTTTTAAAGTCAACAACTGTAGTTTAGTTCCATACTGTACTGTACAAGTTTTAGTTAACTCAAAAAAGATTTGCCAAAATATTTTTTTAGAGGCTTACGCTTTTTAGTAAAACATGAAAATGTAATGAAAGTTCTGAGCCTCTGGGTCTAAATATTAAACTGTAATATTTCTCGTTGGTCCTTGAAATAAGAATATTCAAAGGAAATGTAGAAAAGGAAGATTCGAATAATTGAGAATATAAATCTGGAGAAGAAACTATAATTCTTTGATATCAACCTCAATATTTCTTTTACTTCCCAAGGTCCATAGCCAGGGAATAAGGAAAAGGAATGACAAGAAGGATGAAGGGGGGAGGATTGGAGGAAGACAAATCTAAGAGTATTGGAGGTAGAGTTATAAGGACTATAGGAGGGGTAGCATTAAGGAGATTGGAGATAGCTAGAATTAAGGGTATTGGAGGTAGTATGGAATTAAGAGTATTGGAGATAGGGTGGAATATTAAGGTATTGAAGATAGAGTGGAATTAAGGGTAATGGAGGTAGAGTGGAATTAAGGGTATTCGAGGAAGGGTTCTTGTGATGATGGGAAAATTTAAAGGATTGAACAATTTTCGAATTCTGGATTGGAAGATAAGATAGAAAAAGTGCTGGGTTGAATTTTGTGGATGAAAAGAGCAGATTATTTTATATTTCTCTTGAAAAGAATCTACTGAAATGTCAATAAACTAATGTCCTAAAAACAGTATGAATTACGTAAATTTTATATAAGAGTTCCAGTTACATATCTATACTAATCATTTTTTATCTTTGATGTCCATTTTAGTTTCCAAGATAAAGACACAATTAAAATAACCATTGTTTTTTTTCAGCTGCGACGACCGAACCGACCCCACGACGTCGCCCTGTTTGACCCTGACCTCCGGTCCCCTAAAGGTCGTGTGGTCAGTTTCCGAGAGGCGGATGACACCCATCTGACGAGATCCCTGCGCTACTCTGAGCTGGGAAAGGAAAGGCCAGGGGAGAAACTGATCAAGAGAGCGCTCACCAGCGAAGGACTAGGAAGGTAAAACAATTTGATTTAAAAACTCAAAATATAGAACTTAAAGGGACTGTCCTTGTAATTTAAAGTGACTCTTTGCTTACGTGTCTGTGAGGCATGCATATGATTCACAACGCTACCCTTAAATCCTTTATCTGATCTGAAAATTATCCCAATGTTTTTTTAGAGAATGATCATTTTCAAAAATTAAATCATGAATATCTTCATACGTGAAAGTGATCAACTTTTGAAGGTACCCTTGGTATGCATGTCCACAGCCCCTTTAAATCTAAAAATGTTAGGTATTGTGATGAACAGTTTATAAAGGCGGAGATGGCGGAGGCAATTAACATGACCCCGTCAGAGTTTGATGTAGTTGCCGGTCAACTTCTTCAGGTGAAACATTATAAAAAGATCTTTTATATTTATCTTTTTTTCAGAAGCTTATCATTGTCTTTTTAAATTAAGAAATATGTTTTTTTCGATCGATATAGTTAATTATTTTAGAAATATGTTTTTTTTCGATCAATATAGTTTATTATTTAAGAAATATGTTTGTTTTTTATCAATATAGTTAATTAATTAAGAAATATTTTTTTTCCGATCAATATAGTTAATTATTTAGGAAATATGTTTTTTTTCGATCAATATAGTTTATTATTTAAGAAATATGTTTGTTTTTTATCAATATAGTTAATTAATTAAGAAATATTTTTTTTCCGATCAATATAGTTAATTATTTAGGAAATATGTTTTTTTTCGATCAATATAGTTTATTAATTAAGATATATGTTTTTTTTATCAATATATTTCCAATTGATATGACACCTATTTTTACCTTGTATAATGTATTTATTAAGGCGGAGGAGCGAGGGGAACTCCAGCTGCCAATGGCGAATAGATCCGCCTATTCACATATATTATTTCAAGATTATGATCCAATGGAAGCTGTCCAGAGGTTAGACATTATTTTGTTTCAAATAATTCGGAGCATTATTAATCGTTGGGGGGGGGGGGGGGGGGGGGGTGGGCCAGCCAGACAATTTCTCGTCCAAGCCACATTCTCCTCATCTACTCGTCCGAGCCACCTCGAAATTCTCGTCATTCGATCCAATAATATTTTTCTTTAGTATCCAATCCTTAAATATAAACTATTTTTTCTTTAATCTGGCCAAAATTGTCAAACTAAAGTATTGCATTGATTTCAGCATATTGGAATCTTCGAATCCATGAGAATGATGTCAAACTTTATTTTTTGATTGGACACTTATTATATTGGAAGAACAAGGATTTCGAGGTGACGAAAAAAAGAGGAGAAACTGTTGTGACTAATCTTCTTTCCCCTCAATTATCATTTTTGTTTTGTCTTTATTTGCGTTTTCTTTGACATGCAGTCTGAGGTGCGGGGGAAGGCTAGCGGACATAAGTCACCATTATTTCCCCTTCCGTGTCACATATTAGCTTTTTTCTCTTATTATAATTAGAGCCTTTGAAGTGTGATTTTCTAAAATCCATCTACGTCACGCAAAAAGCACAACTCAAACCATTTTCTCAATTCTACATAAGATTAATATATAAAACTAGGCTTATAGGCCGCTTCGTGCCCATTCAACTTTTCATTGTGGCTTTATCTGCGAGCATCTTTTCTGTGTACAGTATAAAAATTTTTTTTTTTAAAAGTTTGCAGATTTCATTATATTTTTTCGCGCAGTTAAAATTTTTTACAAAAATAAAAAACTTTTAAACACAAATTTTTAAAATTTAATCATTCATAAACCTTCCCTGGGGTCACGTGTAGGGTTTCCACGAAACAGTAGATTCTCTTACGCAACAGTTTCCTTTTTTTGCACGAACTGACTTTATTTGCACAAAATTTCGCATAATTTTCGCATCAATACGAAACCAGGTATGCACGAAATTTCATTCGAAATAAATGTTATTTATTTGCACGAAATTCCGGATGAATACATAATAAAAGTCCTAATTTTTGCATGATTTTGAGCATTAATGCAAAAATAAGTTATATTTGTTTTATGACATATTGCTCAAATATATAAAAGATTTAAATATTTGGACAGTATGATGTGAATTAGTTTCAGTAATAAACAACTTCCATAGCTGCAGTATTTTATTTATGAACAATAATTTCATATTATCATTTTCTATAATTTGACACGGTAAAAATGTTGGTTACTTTCTAAAAAAATTTGTTATGATAAATATGGTTTGAAAAACGCTAAAGAGGGCACTAGATGTTCATATATGTATCAATGTATACAGATATGTATACATTTCTCTTGTTTGGGTGTTACCTATTGTTACCTATCTTAAATGGTGACTTACTCATAACCTTAGAGGTGAGGTCACTGCCAAAGGTGAGGGTGAGAGCGGGCCGGAGTGTGGGGCTCTGATTGGTTTAATTTTAGATTTTATCATTTCCTGGAATTGTTTATTGAAATTTAAAGAAATAGCAGGAATAGGGAAATGCGCAAAAACCAAGATTTTCTTCATAATTTGCTTAAAATAGCTTTTGCGCATCAATGCGAAATTATATCGAAATTTCGTGCAATTTCTACTCGAAACGGAAGAAAATCTTTGCGCGATCATTGCCCGATTTTCGTGCAAAAAATTTTTTGATTGGAAACCCTCGTCTTCTGAGGTTCCACAAAAAATGTGGGCCCAATCGGTTCAGCCGTTTTGACGCTTATTGGATACAAACAAACAGACAGACAAGCCAAATTTATATATAGAAGGGGTCGTTTGTTTTATATTTTAGCAGGTAAACTAAGTCATTTTTCGTATTGTGGGAGCAGAGAAAAATTGTTAAGAGTAGTCTAAAGAATAAAACAAAATATTATAAAAATCACAATATTTACTGTCATTACTGTGCAATACAGATTTTATCAAATAACGTTTTTAGCGATTTCCTCTTAACACATTGCACATTTTCACACAAGGGTACCCTTTAAAACTAAAATTTATTTTATGGTGCGTCATTTTAAATATTCATATTGCTCTCAAAAACAAGCCATTTTTTATGAAAATTAAAATTTAGATTTGCAAAAAAGTTTTGCAGTTTACATTAAGAGGAATCATCCTTTTTTCATATTAGCACTTAAATATAAAGATTTAAATATTTGTTTTTTGCGAGACGCGGCTGGATTTTTGAAATTCACACTTTAAAGACCCTAAATATACCATTTAAAAAGTAGTTTTGCCCGGAATAACTAAGTATGTTTTAATATCCAATTAAACGCATTTACAAATACTTTTATTAATTGTTAATATCTCTGATCAACACGTTTTTTGTTTGTTTCAGGAACCTACCTCAACCCTCCCCACCTTCTAGAAGAAAACGAAAGCGTTTATTGTAATTTTTTACCTAATTTTATAACAAAATATAAATACTCTTTCATCGTCTTCCATAGCCTTTTTTATATTTAAAATTAACCCTAAAAATACTCACTTTATTTTATATATTAATGATAGCGTTTAATTTAAAAGTACACAAAACTGCGGGTTTAATTCGATTATCTTTACATATATGACGTAGAAATCTTGGTTTGTATATTCGATAATAACTCATGAACCCCTTGATCAATTTGCTTCACATTTTTACTTGGGAAAACTTTGAAGAACGAGGGGAGGAAGGCCAACCACAACAATTACTCGTCCGAGCCACATTCTCCCCATTTTCTTGTCCAAGCCACCTCGAAATCCTAGTCATTTCAAAATTATGTTTTTAAGTGTCTAATCCTCCCAGATAAAACTATTTTTTAAGAATCGGGCCACGTAAGGGCATAAGAATTACTGAATTTTTGTAGATCGAAAAAAAGTTTAAATTAAATCAAAGTTTTCAAGCTTAATGTCCTTAAAAATTTTCTATTTTTTTACGCGCATTTTCAGATAATCCTAGAGTAGAATGCCGAAAATAATTCTGAGTTTATAGAACTTTGATCTTTTTTTGTTAACTATAGTGAAACCCATAGAATTTGTCATGGTGTTTAAATGGGAAAAATTACAGGCAGAGGTACGCCAAATGTTTTGCTATTTATTTTATACCGCGAAGGTTAGCTATTAAGAAGGCAGAAGAGATTTAAGTTTTACCTAAATAAAGTTTGACATCATTCTCATGGGTTGAAGATTCAAACATTTTTGCAATACTTTTTATGCCCTAACGTGGCCATATTTAAAAAAATAGTTTTATCTTCGAGAAATTGAAACTTAAAAACACATAATAATCGAAGGACGAGGATTTCGAGGTGGCTTGGACGATAAAATGAGGAGAATGTGGCTCAGACGAGAAGTTGTTGTGGCTGGCCTTCCTCCCCTCGTAGAACCATCGGAATGTTCTTGTTTTGACATCGGCATGTCGGAGACTAAAAGTTTGCGGGCCATAGCCTCACAAGCTAGTAATTTTTAATTTAATAATTTTTAAAATTTAAATTGTAATATTTTATAAAATTTCCTACAAAATAATTAAAGATTTCCGCTACAAGAACAATGGGAAGGTATCTACCTCTCTCCGTTCCCTTGAAAAATTCCTCTAAATGCCCCCAAAAGTCAAAACTTTTGTGTTGCGAATCTCAGCATCAAGCATTGACCTCCATCTTTATTGATATCCAGTGATGGTCATAACCTGCAGGAGATAACTTTAATTGAGGGATAAAGCATGTATCTCACTCTCCATGCATTGCAGATCGCTGCATGTAAACACCCGAAAGCTTAGTTAGGGTGATTCTCAAATATAAAAGCGCCTAGAGTGAATATCTAGATCAAGAATTTAAGATTAACAATATCCACACGAAAGTATCAACCTCTGGTATATAAGAAAAAAGATTTAAAAATCTTTAAAAATATTTTTATTTATTTATCGGTGCACCAACCATATACAAGGAACTCTGTAAAAATATTTATTCGTAAGATTAGCAAAAGAATTTGAAAAGATTTAAATTTTCGGGAGAATAAGAATATTTAAATATTTACAATTTTTTCAAATTGTTTTGGAAAAGTTTAAGAATCATTTTGTCCCACCTCATAGCAAAGGGTGTCCCAATAAATATAAAATTGAGAGACGACTTGAAAGTCGTCTTTGATACTGATATTTAATGCATAGCAAAAAAGGGGAAAAACGAGGCTGTATGTCTGACGAGCTTTTCATTAAGTGGTCTTCATCAAGCTGTCAAATCAAATGTCATGTTTAATCATTCTTTCGTTCAAATATAGCAAACATCATCTTAGGTTTCTTTGCCTGAAGTTGTTTCAGATCATGATCAGCCTAAAGATCGGAATTTGGTTCAATAAATCCTTCCTTGCTCATTCCAACTCCTGTATTGTCGTCTTCATTCATCCAACAGTAGATTCTTCATCAACAATATTACTGGAATTCTCTCCCTCCTATACTTCATCTCTAGTATCATCCTTTCATTCTGTATACATCTTTCAATCCATTCTTGTCATCCATATTTATGTTTGGTTTAGTCTTAACTTAGAACTTCTCAACATCCATTCTGCTAGTGCCATGGAGGTCCTTTATTCAACATTGTCCATTCTCTTGTTGCCTAAGATCATCTGAAATAGTTCACACATAATAAAATATCATATTGAATTATTTTATCATAATTTTCATAGGTATTTACGTTCTCTTTCAAAGTGTTGAGAAATTTACAAATTTACAAATTCTTTTACATTTTTCAAAAGGTAAAATCCTAAATAATGGATTTTCTTACTTCAAGTGTTTGTAAAACATGTTCAAGTCGTTCAAGATAATCGTCATATGATTGATCTCGACAGTGTCCAGAAATCTGAACTTTGAAATCATATTTCTACAATTTTGTTACTTTCATCTCGACAGCCAGTTGAAACCCACCCTCTGGTTTCCTTGTGATCTTCTCGAGAGCACTTTGATGCACTTCCAGGGCATTCCCTTCTCTCAGAGCACTGCCAGGGTCAGTGGAGAGAGGAACAGCATCAAGTTGGATAGATATACACTTCTCTACTCCTGATAGTTTTAACGCGACAATGTATCTCGTCTCTACTCCACCATATTTTACCAGGAACACGATTCTTTCTCCAATCTTGATTCCAACAAGGAAAAATAACTCATTAAACTTGTCAAACTTATAGACCATTGTACAGATTCTCTCAATTGGTGTTGGATGCTCATAAGAAGTCCTTCTTTCATTTCCAGAACACAATTCATCATTGCCGTCATAGCAGCCAGGGCAGGTTTTCCAGTGTTCTAGTATACTCATCCGGGATACCTTGGTTTTACAGTGCAACCCTAAAACAGTTAACAGTTAGCACCATGTATTGTATAACTCACTTAAATAGCTTAAAATAGTCTAATCAAAGCTGTATGTACTGCAGTGTAGGGGTTTAACATCTGGTGAGACATTTTTACTTTCATAAGGGGGAATGATTTTCAAGAAAGTATTCACACCTTTATTGTGGTTTTCAGTTAGTTATAGAGCCAANCCCCCCCCCCCTACATCAAATGTGCCAACTCCACCATCCCCTTTCAACAAATATTAAAAAATGTATCAATCTCATTTTTTATGAACACTCAACAAACCTGCATTTTCCATTCATGCAAAAAAACCAAAAAATCTATATTTTAAAATGTTCAGGTTAAATAAATATGTATACCTGGTTAATGCAAGCAATCTCTAGCAGGTCTATAATACTAGCAGCTAGACTTGAATGCTGGATCTTGTTTATATCTAACTCAACCCTACAGGTTGGACAACTCTTGCTCCAGTTCCTAGAAAAAAAAAATAAAAATAAAAAAATTTAGTCTACATTTTTTAGTACCATGTTTAGTGATTTCCATTTTAAGTTTTAAATACTTACTCTTTGCTGATACACTTGTCACAGAAAATATGTCCGTTCTTGCACATTGGTATTTTACCACTCCTTGGGATGGAAAAACAGACTGGACAACTCAGCTCCTCCTGTAGTTTCTTACATAGTTCATCCTTCTCATTTTGTTCCTTTGTCAGTTGCTCATTCAGACTTTGTACAAGATCATTCTTCTCTTGTTCTAGCCTCTGCTCAATCTTCAACTTCTCCTGCTTGAACTCAAGATAATTTGACCTCTCAAGTTTATCCTTGTCTTCTAATTCAGCCTCTAACTTCTCCACCTTATACTGAAGATCTGTGTTTTTGATCAGTTCAGTCTGAAGATCTGATTTCAGTTCAACAATCTCCTCCTTCGCTAAATGCAACACTGACTCCAAGTTTTGGATTTTCTTCTCCATTCTTCCAAGAGTAGATTCTAAATCAACGTTGTAATTGGAACTATCTCCTTCAGCTCCAACATCTTCCTGACCACAAATTACTTCATCATCTCCACCTTGTACTTTAGCAGAGATAGTTGTGGTTTCACACAGATCAACTTCGGTGGAACTATCTTCATCACCAACATCTTCCTGACCACAAACTACTTCATCATCTCCAGCTTGTATTTTGTCAGAGATAGTTGTGGTTTCACACAGATCAACTTCGGTAACTTCTGGTTTATCTAGAGAGATGAGAACAAGTCTGAACCCCTGTATTAGCAATCGTAGAAAGAGAATCAGACTAAGAACAAATCCTTGAATATTTCGTAACATCCTAAGCCCAGCTACACACATTCCAATAATAAATCCTTCTGTTCCAGGTTCATTCTCCAGCTCCTTCTGAACTCCAGGTGTGAGATTTCCAGAACTAGTATCTTCTTCAATCTTAACATTATGTACTGCAGTGTAGGGGTTTAACATCTGGTGAGACATTTTTACTTTCATAAGGGGGAATGATTTTCAAGAAAGTATTCACACCTTTATTGTGGTTTTCAGTTAGTTATAGAGCCAAAACCATTGAGAAAGTTTACCTTATTCTCAAGTACACTATTATCATTTAAAATTAACCCCAAATATATATTTTATGAGCAGAAGCACATGTTAATGTTAATGTACGCTACAAGAAATGTTTATCATTTGGCCGGGCATACTGCTTTAGATAATTTTAAATATTCTGAAATGACCGGGGAAAATTTGTTGAATTTGAAATTCTAATAAAAAGGCCCTCCCACCTTCCATCACTGGTGTTGGTTCTTATTCACCTCCCCCCTCTCCCACCTCAGGAGAGTAAAAATAAAATACAAACCTGGGCAGGGTAGGTTCTCTGTGTATTTACAAGTATTCTCATGTTTCCTCAATGCTTTCAGTCCACGGAGAGATACATTACAACCCTAGATAAACGGAAAGTTAAAAATGTTTAAATATTAAATACTACGTTTACCTTTCTGGTTTAATAATCTTAACTTTTTGTTCCTGATCCATCTGCAAAACATTTCGTAAATTATAAAAAAAATAAGATTTCGCAGATTTTTCAGATTTATTAGTGGATTTAAAAAAACAAAAAATTTAAAATCATTTTGTGGCAAAGCCCCGCCATAAACCTAGTCTTGGGTTCGATTTCTAACAATTGATTTTGCTTTGTTCAGACTTATCTCTTCAATCCATGGGTCAAAATTTGCAAATTTCCAAAAATGTTGAACTAAGTTTAACCTTAATGATTAAAAAATGGATAATATTTAAGCCAAACTTTATGTTTAAGGAATTTTAAGGGAAATGGTAAAAAACATTTTTGTCAGCCATTTGTTAACCAAAATTGACTGAGCAAATATGGCTGAAATTTCAGCATACATATGTCACAGCTTACTATGTGTACTCGCTCCACGTAATGTGGTACTTGATGGATAATAACGCCATCAAAAAATTCGGAAAATTCTACCTATTTAAATCTGAATTTTTAAAGCCAGACGTAGAAATTTTGGAGGTTTTAACGAGTTTCCCAATAAATATTTGATGTAAATTGGTAAAGGGGTTTATGAGTTATTATCAGACACACAAATAAAAGTAAAGATAAAACAGAGAATATTTTAACTTTATATGAATAGAAACAATATTAATCTGGTAATTATTAAAACTTCAAGGTCGTTATATAGAATAAAATGAAAATTTTAAAAAAAAATGTATCAATCTCATTTTTTATGAACACTCAACAAAGCCTGCATTTTCCATTCAAGCAAAAAAAACCCAAAAAATCTATATTTTAAAAATGTTCTGAGCTGAAAACTTTAGAATGGGATATCCTTAATTCCGATCGGTTAACTCTTCTGGAGTTTAAATTCATGTGGAGAACAAGCAATATTTAAACTGGATATTAAGAAAAAGAGTGGTTTAAGCGTTAAACTTGATATCCACCATTCTAAAGTTTTCAGCTCAGGTTAAATAAATATGTATACCTGGTTAATGCAAGCAATCTCTAGTAGGTCTATAATACTAGCAGCTAGACTTGAATGCTGGATATTGTTTATATCTAACTCAACCCTACAGGTTGGACAACTCTTGCTCCAGTTCCTAGAAAGAAAAAAATTTAAAAAATTAAAATTTAATCTACATTTTTTAGTACCATGTTTAGTGATTACCATTTTAAGTTTTAAATACTTACTCTTTGCTGATACACTTGTCACAGAAAATATGTCCGTTCTTGCACATTGGTATTTTACCACTTTTCCAGGTTCATTCTCCAGCTCCTTCTGAACTCCAGGTGTGAGATTTCCAGAACTAGTATCTTCTTCAATCTTAACATTCTCTCTCTTCTGTTCCTCTTGAGATTTAAACAAGGAATTCTCTGTTCCACCAAATTGTTCCAGCCCATTGCAGTGGCCATCTGTAAGAGTGGAAGATTTGTTCCTTAATTCAGAGATGTCTTCAATTCTATTTCTCTGGTATATCTGATCTTCTTGCATTTTTTCATCTTCAAAACAATTCTGGTTAAAGTCGTCTCTTTCATCGTCGTTGATGTCGTTCTTCCATTCTTTGGTGAACTCTTTCTTTTCATTCTTGATTCCATCTTTTTCGACATTTTCCTTGTTATTACCAATTTCATCTTTGTTTCCATTTTCGTGTTCCTCATTATCATTCTGAACTTTGTATTCCTCTTTCTTCATTCCGCACTGCTCACTCTTCCCACTGTTGCATCTGAGACTGTTCTGATCATTACCGCACTCCTCAATCTTCCCATTGTCGTATCTGAGACTGTTCTGATCGCTTCTGTCCTCCTCCATTCTTCCCTTCTCTTCATTCTCAGTTCCAAGATCCTCAACCTTGCTTTTCTCCTGTTCATTATCCATCTGGTTTGTGGTAGAAAGGTCATCATCCTTTATACTCATTCTGCTTCTAATAAAATAGGAAAAGTAATTATAATAAAATTTAACACAAAAGTTATTGAATATTATTGTCAACCCTATATTGTCAGAAATCCTAGCAATATTTGTTTGTTTGTTTGGACTTCATAAAAAGGTTGAAAAAGTTCATATTCGGTCGAAATTGAAGAAGATTGAATAAAAAAATGTAATTTTTTAGAAATCAATCAAATAATTATCGAAATTAAAAAAATATGGCATCTTGAGAACAACATTAAAAATTTGATAATGATTTGGATAAGGCATAGTTTCTATATATTAAGCTTTGGTGCAGGCATAGAAGGCAATAGGTTATAACTAATGATACTTCAAAAATATAATTCAACATATCCAATAAAAGCTAAGAATACTTCTAAGTTTAATATTTATCACCAGACTTATGCTTCTTGTATCTTGATATATCAATAAACCAATTTTAATTAATAATAAGACTGAATAAGAATAAAACTGAAAAAAGAAGTTTATAAGTAACAAAAAGTTAAGATCATTACACAGGAATTGAGTTTCTGCTACAAAAGTAAATTTTCTAATCTCTATATCTTTGCAATCTGATGGCGTGAACCTTTAATTTTTCAATTTATTTTATCTAACAGAATTCATAGTTTGAAATATCCAAGGTCTACAATATTGAGTTGCAAAGATATATGGATTAGAACATTCGAGCACTTACAAAATGTTTCTTAACAAAATTTTTCAGCCACAAAATATTTCCCAACGAAACGTTTCTGGCACAAAATGTTTCCAACCGCAAAATGTTTCCGACCACAAAATTTTTCCAATCTCTAAATATTTAATATTTGAAAGTTAAATTAATATGAATTATTTTTTATGTGCTTGAATTGATGCTTTTATTAGAAAAGATTCTATGTTGGCAGTGTATCTTGCTGATGGGGTTCGAGCAAAGGAGGAAAGATCTGAAAGCTCTGGCAGGAGGCTGTAATAATGTACCATTGAAAGTTTATATGGAGAGCCTTTAAAACTTTAATAATTTATTTTAATTAAATTTTACAATATTTTTAATTATTTATATGATATCAGATGGAAATATTTTGAGATTTCTTTATTTCTTGTTCTTCATTTTCTTCTTGTTCGTACATCTTTTCAATCAGATTCGGCTGATTTTGAAAATAAAAAAAGAATTTATTTTTGGATGTTTTTGTGAGAGCTGGTCGCATAAAAAACCGGTATCGTTGTGCATGGCTTGTATACCCAAGCTTAGTGATATAAACAAGTTTAGACTTTGGTATTTATATAATTCTGCTAAAAAATAACAGAAAAACGCATCTAATGTGCCTTTCTTTGATTGAAAACTTTTTTTGAGTCAGAAACGTTTTGTGGTCGGAATTTTGTGGTTAAAAACATTCGGTGTCGGGTACATTTTGTTTCGGAAATATGTAAGGAAACATTTGTGCAGGAAACATTTTGTACGTGCTCTAAAAAATCTGGACAATAACTCAATTACTTCAAGCCTAATCTACATATATAAAGTTGTAATCTATCCTGGTTTGTTTGTATATGTATATATTCGATCATAACTCAGGAACCCCTTGTTGCCTCAAATTTGGATTAGAAACTTGGAAAAGTCAAGAGAATGTTTTTAGTTTGGTTTAAAAATGCTAAGTCTAGTGGTTTAATTTTTATAAAGAAAAATCAGGTTCCAGGTAAAGCTGGTTTCCCAAGCTAGTTCTTAATATTCATGCTTCGCAAAGCAGCAACAAAGCACAGCGCCAGATTCCTTAGTTTTCTTTTGCAGATTAAATCAGATCAAAAATTACATTGTTTTTAACAGATGTCATATGTTAGCACACATGTATTTCATAATAGAAAAAAAACATGTTTATTAGGAAATAGATGATAGTTCTTAGCTATGACACAAAAGCTGGCAAATAAATGGATCAATTATAATACTGCAGATAAGTCTAGATAAGTTTAGATAAGTTTGGAATTACTAAACAAAAACAAAAATAGTTAAATAACATGAATAATAGCTTGATGAAGCATTAAAAAGTAAAAATAACATTAGAAATAAATGCTCAGATATATGTCATCACAAATATAAATATAAATCACAATGTACGAAAACCTTTTTATACAGGAATATAACACTTTTCTTGACTTGTGTGTAGTTTAATATAAATATTGTATAATGAGTATGGCAAGTATGTTTATAAGAATACGGCCAAAATAAGCTTAGAAACTATTACAAATAAATAAAGCCGAATAAAATGAGTTTGACCGTGGAAAAGAAATTTCGAATTTTGAAAAAAAAAATCGATTTTTTTAGCCTATAACGGGGGGCCACCCATGAGCGTCCACAAAAAAATTACAGCCCAATTGGTCCAGCCGTTTGGCCGGCTATGCGCAACATATATATATGAATGTCTTGTTTTATTATATAGATTAATTGCCTAGTTCCGCTCTATTTCTAAGTATTGAGAAAATGAATACTAAAAGATACTGACTTAAATTTTTTGCAAAAATTCCAACCTGATTCCATTTTTCTGGACTTTTCAATAGACAATAATGTGTGACATGATAAAATCAAGAAAGTTTTTTTTAGATCTTTAGTACAGGGTTTCCCATATCATACTGGATTGTATACAACTCTAAATTGCAATTTCCGGGGCTTTTCAGAAAATAAAAAAAGAATGATTCATTTTGAAAAATTGTGTAAACATAAAATAAAAATTTGCATGCAGAGAATACTAGGGGTTTCAAGTAGTATGTGCGTATTTTTGCGTTAAAGCTGAGTAATAATCAAATATGATATAGGAAGCTCTGTATATATGGCTTTTAAAACTTTACTTGCGATTAAATATCCTTTAGTTCTTGATATATTGAGCTAAAATTTCAGATTAGTGCTCATGGTGTATAGTCGGAGAAAGGTTAGGGTATTTAGGGCAATGGGAAAAGTTACCAAGCGAATTTATTTTCTAAATTGGTCATCAGTGGACATATGAACGTTCAGTTCCGAAAGCGCTCACCATCAACTATTTCCGCTTATGCATTCGGATTTGATCGCGGAGAAATATTATTTGCAAACATGATCAAGAAATAAGGTAACATCCTTACGTCCAGATTTTATTCAAGTTTTATATGTAAAACATGATTGAAAAATCTGAATATGATTGAATTGATATCGATGAATCTTTACATTTTAGTTACTTTAATCAAAACATTTTAATCCGCCCTCTGGTGTCCTTATGCATTTCTACTATGTTGCACTTCTTTCTCCAATCTTAACTGTCACCAGGAAGAATAACTCATCAATCTTGTCAAACTGATAGGACCTGATAAACATTTGTCCTGATGACCTCAAATGACGTTGGGTGCTCAATAACAAGCCTGCTGTGCACTTGTCTCTTTAGAAACCAGGGCAGGTTTTCCAGTGTTCTTGTATACTCATCCGGGATACCTTGTAACCTAGATAAATTAAGACTTAACAGAATATGTTAATATAAATATGTTCATGAAAAATTCCCTTATGGATCCATGGTATACAAAGAAAAAATGTTGACAATCAAAATAGAGCCTGGAAAGCCAAGTAATATACATTTGGGTTTTACACACATTAAAAATAAAAGGGACTGAATGCCCAGAATTATAGTTGCTTAAAATAATTAATGGACCGAGTTTTATGTTTTTGTTTTGTTTCTTTGATTCATTTAAAGTTATCGCAAGTCTGATTTCTGAAATCTATAATTCTTAATAGAAAATGGTAACCATCTTTAGATATTTATAAAAATTATTTGTTTGACTTTTTGGCTCCGTTTTTTTAATAATACCTAGTCTGCCATCCAGGGTCTGCAGTACTTTTTCAATAATTCCAAGTCTGTTATCCAGAGGTCTGCAGTACTTTTTTAATAATTCCTAGCCTGCTATCCAGGGTCTGCAGTACTTTTTCAATAATTCCTAGTCTGCTATCCAGGGTCTGCAGTACTTTTTCAATAATTCCTAGTCTGCTATCCAGGGTCTGCAGTACTTTTTCAATAATTCCTAGTCTGCTATCCAGGGTCTGCAGTACTTTTTCAATAATTAAAGATATTCCGAATTGTGGTCTGCCTTTTTAGTGATTTCGTCCCAGAGTTAAGAAGAATTTGGTTTAGATTTAGACAGTTTTGTTTTCATTTAATAAAATGAAATCTGAAGGAAATTATCTATATTTAAAGTGATTATGAGATTATTGTTACAAGAATTTTACTAATAAAACCAGGTTGACGAATAAATGCCGCAAATGACTTTACATATCAAAGACGATCATCAAGCTGTCAAATCTAATGTCATTTTTAATCATTCTTTTGTTCAGATTTAGCAAACATCATCTTAGGTTTCTTTGCCTGAAGTTGTTTAAGATCATGATCAGTCTGAAGATCGGAATTTGGTTCAACAATATCCTTCCTTGCTCATTCCAACTCCTGTATTGTCGTCTTCATTCTTCCAACAGTAGATTCTTCATCAACAATATTACTGGAATTCTCTCCCTCCTATACTTCATCTTTAGTATCATCTTTTCATTCTGTATACATCTTTCAATCCATTCTTGTCATCCATCTTTATGTTTGATTTAGTCTTAACTTAGAACTTCTCAACATCCATTCTGCTGGTGCCATGGAGGTCCTTATATTCAACATTGTCCATTCTCTTGTTGCGTAAAATCATCTGAAATAGTTCACACATAATTAAATATCATATTGAAATTATTTTATCATAATTTTCATAGGTATTTACGTTCTCTTTCAAAGTGTTGAGAAATTTACAAATTTACAAATTCTTTTACATTTTTTAAAAGGTAAATTCCTTAATAATGGATTTTCTTACTTCAAGTGTTTGTAAAACATGTTCAAGTCGTTCAAGATAATCGTCATATGATTGATCTCGACAGTGTCCAGAAATCTGAACTTTGAAATCATATTTCTACAATTTTGTTACTTTCATCTCGACAACCAGTTCAAACCCACCCTCTGGTTTCCTTGTGATCTTCTCGAGAGTACTTTGATGCACTTCTAGTGCATTACCTTCTCTCAGAGCACTATCAGGGTCAGTGGAGAGAGGGACAGCATCAAGTTGGTAGGATATACACTTCTCTACTCCTGATAGTTTTAACTCGACAGTGTATCTCGTCTCTAATCCACCATATTTTACCAGGAACACGATTCTTTCTCCAATCTCAATTCCAACAAGGAAAAATAACTCATTAAACTTGTCAAACTTATAGACCTCTGTACGGATTCTCTTAATTTGTGTTGGATGCTTATATTCTATTTCCCTTCTTTCATCTCCAGAACACAATTCATCATTGACGCTATAGCAGGAATAGCAGCCAGGGCAGGTTTTCCAGTGTTCTAGTATACTCATCCGGGATACCTTGGTTTTACAGTGCAACCCTAAAACAGTTAACAGTTAGCACCATGTATTGTATAACTCACTTAAATAGCTTAAAATAGTCTAATCAAAGCTGTATGTACTCGCCATAAACCTAGTCTTGGGTTCGATTTCTAACAATTGATTTTGCTTTGTTCAGACTTATCTCTTCAATCCATGGGTCAAAATTTGCAAATTTCAAAATATGTTGAACTAAGTTTAACCTTATATTTAAAAAATGGATAATATTTGTGCCAAACTTCATGTTTAAGGAATTTTAAGGGAAATAGTAAAAAACATTTTTGTCAGCCATTTGTTAACAAAAATTGACTGAGCAAATATGGCTGAAATTTCAGCATACATAATACATATGTCCAAGCTTACTATGTGTCCTCGCTCCACGTAATTTAGTACTTGATGGATAATAACGCCATAAAAAAATTCGGAAAATTCTACCTACTTAAATCTGAATTTTTAAAGCCAGACGTAGAAATTTTGGTGGTTTTAACGAGTTTCCCAATAAATATTTGATGAAAATTGGTAAAGGGTTAATTAGTTATTATCAGACACACAAATAAAAGTAAAGATAAAACAGAGAATACTTTAACTTTATATGAATAGTTACAATATTAATCTGGTAATTATTAAAACTTCAAGGTCGTTCAATAGCATGAAATGAAAAGGGGATGGTGGAGTTGGCACATTTGATGTAGGGGGGGGGGGGGGGCCCTGCCTTCATTTTTGGTTCAAATCTTCCAATTTTTTGGGTGCACGTTATATGGCTTTTAAAACTTTACTTGCGATTAAATATCCTTTAGTTCTTGATATATTGAGCTAAAATTTCAGATTAGTGCTCATGGTGTATAGTCGAAGAAAGGTTAGGGTATATAGGGCAATGGAAAAAGTTACCAAGCGAATTTATTTTCTAAATTGGTCATCAGTGGACATATGAACGTTCAGTTCCGAAAGCCCTCACCATCAACTATTTCCGCTTATGCATTCGGATTTGATAGCGGAGAAATAATATTTGCACACATGATCAAGAAATAAGGTAACATCCTTACGTCCAGATTTTATTCAAGTTTTATGTGTAAAACATAATTAAAAAATCTGAATATGATTAAATTGATATGATGAATCTTTACATTTTTGTTACTTTAATCAAAACATTTTAATCCGCCCTCTGGTGTCCTTATGAATTTCTGGAAACTACTAGGTTGCACTTCTAATGCATTCCCTTTTCTCAGAGCACTACCAGGGACAGTGGAGAAAGGAACAGCATCAAGCTGGTAGGATATACACTTCTCTACTCCTGATAGTTTTAACTTTAACGGTTCTTTCTCCGATCTTAACTCCAACCAGGAAGAATAACTCATCAATGTTGACAAACTGATAAGACCTGATGAACCTTTGTCCGGATGACCTCAAATGACGTTGGGTTCTCATTAACAAGCCTGCTGTGCACTTCTCTCTATAGAAGCCAGGGTAGGTTTTCCAGTGTTCTTGTATACTCAATGAGTATTACTCATCCAGGATACCTTGTAACCTAGAAAAATTAAGACTTAACATCATTCGTTAATATAAATCCGTTCAAGGTCTGTAGAAGTAATTTCAGTTTTCCAAACGGGAGTGCAACAAATTAGCGGAAGAGTTCGTTAACGAATAGCAAAAACCGTTAATTAAATTGTTACATAACGGAAATAGCCATGCTTGAAAGAAGTCAACAATTTAAAAAAGATCGGACGGAGTTGTTTCTAAATAACGCTACTCAAAATTGCATGAAACGTGCAGAAATTTTTTATTTTGATGTTTTTCAATGTTGTCATCAAATTTGTTTAGCTTTTTGAAATAATCTTTAATAGATCATTAACGGATGGTACCTTTTAACAATTTCTTAATTATATTTTATTAACGACATTAATAGATCGTTAAAAACGGTAACTTTTAAAAATAAAGTGAAAAAATGAGATTCTTAAAATAAATAACGAACGGCTACGTGAATTTTTTAACGGTTTTAACTAACGGCTTGAAAGAAACATCTAAACGTACACAGCAATGATGTCAAATGGACCTAGTTTGAAGTGTGGCAAGTCTGATTCACATCCGATAGACTTTAAAAAGGTCTAAGAAAATAAATATTCCATTCCTAGTAGTAATAAACTAAAATCTTTATTCAAATCAATAACAAACTGCCACACCCGCTAAAAAACATAAACTAGCACAATTGTTATTTATTTTTTATGACAAAGGTGTTAGTTCCAGTTATCCCCAGGTGAATAATCATTAAATACAAACCAGGGCAGGGTATGTTCTCTGTGTATTTACAAGTATTCTCATGTTCCTTCAATAGTTTCAGTCCACGAAGAGATACATTACGACCCTAGATATAAATTATACATTATAGAATATTTAAATGTGAAGTAAAATGGTAAAATGAAAAATGGTCAATAACTAGAAGGAATTGGAAGACTGATTGAAATAATTGGGATGGTCTCCTCCCTGGAGAAATGAGAGTTCAACTGGGTTAAGAGGGCAGCTTTTAACTTTCTAAGATAGGATTCGAACATTATTCATTTATGGTCATTAATACGAAAATCTACATAAACCTTAAATATATTTTTCTCCAGACAAGTCTTGTTCCAATTCCTTTAAAATAAAATTACTAAAAAGTGGCTACATTTGTATGGAAACAAACACAAAATATATGTTTTATAGTCCTTCTATGTAACATAAAAATGTATGTGTACTTTTTGTAACATTCTTTCTTTTCAAGTTTTAAATACTAACTCTTTGCTGATACACTTGTCACAGAAGATATGTCCGTTCTTGCACATTGGTATTTTACCACTCCTTGGGATGGAAAAACAGACTGGACAACTCAGCTCCTCCTGTAGTTTCTTACATAGTTCATCCTTCTCATATCGTTCTTTCGCCAGCTTTTGACGTAAGTCTTCCTTCTCATTTTGTTCCTTTGTCAGCAGATGTTCTAGCATCTGCTCCATTTCCCACTTATCTTGTTCTAGCTTCTGCTTAATTTCCTGCTTTTCCTGATCTGACTTGAGCTCCATCTCCTGCTGAAACTTAAGCTCCCACTCCTGCATCTCCTGCTGAAACTTAAGCTCCCACTCCTGCATCTTCTTCTGAAAACCAATAATTTTCTTTTGTTTTGACTTGGTAAACATAATCTTAGGTCTCTTTGCCTTGGGTTAATCAATATCATGATCAGTCTAAAGATCTGCTTTTAGTTCAACAATCTCCTTCCTTGCTCCTTCCCACTGTATTTTCTCCTTTCATTCTTAAGTAGATTATTTATCACAATGTTACTGGCATCAATACCTCCTCTAATAAAGCCATGTATTTTTCCTTATGGGCACCAATAATATCATATTCATCTTCAAACTTTACTTGGTTTATTTCCTTTCGGACAAAATCCTTCTGAACGTTTTGTACTGCACTCTTCTCATCTACACTTTTTTCATCTATGGCATCAACATCTATCCGCTCATCTGTACATCTTCCAATCCATCCTTTTTATCTATATTCTCGTCTCGGAACTTCTCTGTATACGTCATATTGGAGTCAAGGAGGTCCTCATATGCAAAATATTCCATGATAGCGTTATTAAGATCTTCTGAAAAATATTTAATCAATAAAATTTCTAACAAAATACCTTCTGAACAATTATATATATATATATAGTTTCTGTGTTCTTTTAGATAAAAAGGGAGGGCTCAAAACATAAGTTAAAGCACTATATTCGAATAATATCTTAATAAAATACATGTTATCTCAAAATAAACAGTTCACAACACTAATAACATTTTATATTTAGTATAACGTGAAATGAGTCTGAATAGAGAAGAGGGATAAACAAAGGACAACAAGGATATATATTTACAAGGAAGAACCATGAAGATCCTAAGAACTATTAAATCAGGAATGAAAGATATGAGTAAGGAGGAATGATCGATCTAGTATATAAAGAAGAATGAAAGGAGTAAAGAGGAATCTATTCTAAACATGCAATTCTACATTAGATCTTAAACTAAAAATTTCATTCTTATCTTGTTTTGTAAGGTGAGATAGAAAGAAAAGATGTTTGTGTGAGTGTTTAGTGTGTGTCTGTGCAGTTTTAGTGTGAACCTAGAATTGAGGGTGCTTGGTGCCCCTCAAGAATCAATATCTCATTTTCTTTATTTGGTTGGAATGGAAGATTCCTTTAAAAACTAGAAATTAACATAAGCTTGTAATGACGACATTTTTTATTATTCAAAAAGTACTATTCATGCATTTCAATGTGGATCAGAAAAAAAAGTTTCTCAAGAAACTGATAGTGGTTCTTAGTTGAGTAACAATCAATAGCTGGCAAATAATCTCGGAACTATGAAACCAGATCTATATTAAAATCTGTTAATATTCAAATACAATTTTAAAATGTTACAAAACATAATCATATTTCAATATAACATTACTAATTGTTGAAAACTAAACAAATGATCAGATCAATTAAATCACAAATATAAACGTAAACTACACTTTGCCTAGACTAAAAACACAGGAATATAGCACTTGACATGTATTATAAGTGACAGGAATTTAAAATGTAAAACTAAAATAAAATTATAATGCAATTCAAAAAGTAAATCTTATAAATGTCTAGTGTATATTTTCAGATCAAATAAAACTTCAGCACAATCATTGTAAAAGATTATACGTACATAAGATGGAAGACAACAGTTAAGAATTTAAAAAGTACTAATTTTCAACTAGATATGAAAATAAAAAATATTATATAAGGAGCATTTGCTTTCTGGAATACTGACTTTGTGAGTAAATAAAAATGCCATTTGTAGAGGAAGAAATCCCCGAACGAGGACTATAAGATCTGCAAATCAGTAGTGTCAGATCCTGGAACAAGAGAAGACCTAATCAACTTCCTCTCCTTTTATACTCATTATTTATAATGTATTTACAACTAGAAGCAATAAATGTAATTCTAAACATTACATAATACATACTATCTTTATATTATCAATGCATGCATATACATTATACAGGGTTAACCACATAGAACGAGAGTTAAATGACGACCTGAAACTCTTTTTTGTAACTGTCAGTTAAAGAAAGTCGTTGCCGTAAATATTATAAAGTTTCACAAAGGTACATTGAATGATATGCCAAAGAAAAAACTAGATTTTATCTGCAGGAAATGATAAATGTAAGAAAAAACACTGACCAAATTCTGTACAATCGTTTTTAAAGTCTCATTCTTGGTAGTTGACCCTAAATATAGAATATTAACATTGGAAGATCTGTTTTAAAAGAAAAATATTGCTCAGTTTTGTGAAAAATTAGTAATCATAACAATTATTGCATAAACCTAGATCCTAGATTTTTATTTTCGTTTCTTGAGTTCGTTATGCCGCGCAAAGATTCTAAAGTTCATTATGCCGCGCAAGGATTTTGCTTTCCAGGCTGGTATGAAGTTTATCCACTGCATCTATATTCTTCGCCAGCTTTCTAAATAAAATAAGAAATAGAATATGAAGATTTTCTAAAAACAAGCATTATTAATTTTGTTTATGATTTAGATAAAAAGATTGATGTGGCAGATCAAGAGTAGATTAGAATTGGCAGATCAAGGGTAGATTAAAATTGGCAGATCTAGAATAGATTAAAATTGGCAGATCTAGAGTAGATTAAAATTGGCAGATCTAGAGTAGATTAAAATTGGCAGATCAAGAGTAGATTAAAATTGGACAGATCACGAGTATACAATACAATTTGCAGATCAAGAGTGGATTAAAATTGGCAGATCAAGGGTAAATTAGAATTGGCAGATCAAGGGTAGATTAAAATTGGCAGATCTAGAGTAGATTAAAATTGGCAGATCAAGACAAGATTAAAATTGGCAGATCAAGTGTAAAACCTATATTTAAGCCCTGTTTAGGAAAGAACTAGAATGAAGGCTGAAGTAGGAAACCTACCGAGAACTCAAGACTGAACTGAATTCAAGCATAATCACCAGATCAACCATATGAAGATATGAAGTACTTTTATTAACTTTCATAATATTTAGCCTATATTCAACCCTGCTTTTAAATGCATATTTACTCTGTTTATTCCATAACTTACAATTTTATATGTGAATTGAAGCAAAAAGAAAAGATTTTAAACTATATAAAAGGAAGCACGTGCAATACCATCAACCCTTAAAATGTAACCATGTATGTATGTATGAGGAAAGATTGATTGAGGTTGGTTTGACCTCTCTAGAGGCCAGACGACTTCGTGGTGATTTAATACAGACCTGGAAAATTCTACATGGATATGATAATGTTAATGAATCTTCTTGGTTCAGCAGAACATGCGAGACAGCGAATAATTCCGTGCACGTCTCCACGCACTGAACCAGGTGATTAAGTATGAACATTCAAAGTTGAGCTAAAATCTCACAAAAACTTAATTTTCATGCTAAGGCTTGCGTTGAGTCTATGTTAATTCCAGTACTTGTATCCTCTCCGCTGACTCGCAGATGAGCTGTACCCTACAACAGCAGACAGTTAACCTTCCCTGTATGCTTGTCTTTTAAGATGAAGATAATCTCTCCTCCTCATATTGACATACATACATACATACTAATATTGACACCCTGAGTCTGGAACATGCAGGGTGATGCCGACGGAAGCTGAGCTGCTCCTTGACCTTCGGACACTCGGTTTGAGTTCTATACTACCTCTGATAGTATCCTAGATACTGCTCCACACTCTAGTTTCAATAGAAGTAAATATTTCCATTTACTGATAGTGCCGATTGAAAAATTCATAACTCTAATTGGATAATGCGCNTGGCAATGGGCATTCATTAAAAACTAAAAATATTAGCGCGTAACTTACAATATTAAAAGGACCAAGTCACCTGTCCATAATTCGTCTTCCTTCTGTTTTATCATCATCATCAACTTCATCTTCGTACTTCGTATTGCGTCTAAATAATAGATTTAGTAGTTAGGAAAGTAAACACCTTTCAAAGGTCAAAAAGGGGTTAATGTTCATAAATGATGTTTATTTAAGAATATAGGATCAGGAAATAGGTTTAATGAATCAATTAATTTAACATGTAAACTGAACCCCTTCTCATCAGCTTGGCCCAGCGCAGAGGAGAACTGGTTGAACCGGCGGAGCAAGGTTCAACTACTTCTCACTATTCATTAAAATTGTTCCCTCAATACTTCCATACTCTAGTTTTCGTATCTCTCTATCTTTACAAATTTTACTGTTGATCTAGCAGAATAATAGTAGCAAATATCAAAGGTCTAAACCATAGATATGCAACGTTTTCATCACTAAATACGAAAAATAGATAAGTTCTGATTTAAAAAACATCCCGATTTTTCTCTTCCTCAGTCATGTAATTTCTTTACAGCCCCATTATTGGAACTTGCGAATTAATATTATGAGAAAAATACCCCTGTCGTCCCCGATTGAACTTCACTCCGCTGGCGGAATTTTACGAATTTACCTTTCGTCGACTAGCTCGAGCTCACTCTGTAGAAATCTTAATTTCTCAAGCCGTTTCTCATAATGGCTGCAGAAACATGATTAGATTTAATAACTGGTAACCTTTGAAGCTTATCATTTTAAGTATTTTTTCATCCAACAAGTGATCAAAATTATGAAAATAAAACATAAGAAAGCACAGACTGGGCATTTAGGACCTTAACTCTGGGCCTATTGTTTTTTTAAAATGTATAAGGATCGCCAAAAAAAGAATCAAAAAGTGTAATTTTATTTTTAGTCAGTAAATGAATTTGACATGGAACCGAAACTTCGAAATGGAAGATTCATAATGAAATGGATCTTGAGCTAGCATTCAATTAAAAAAAAAATCAGAAAATAATCACAGTTCCTTAATTCTTGTCTAAGGCTTTCTAATTCCTCAGCTTCAAAATCTGCTTCTAGTGCTATTTTCCAGAGTCCAGCTACCTTAGGTTCAACAAACCCCTGATATTCACCCTAGATACCAACATTAATTAGTATTTATTCTTTAGGGGGTGGATCCGCATTTGAACTACTGCCGTTTGAACTATTGATTATTTAAACTATTGATTGTTTGAACTATTGTTCATTCTAACTTCTGATAATGACGTCATTTCCTGTAGTTCAAACAACACATTATGTACTCATTTGAACTATTAAATTTGCAGTTTAAAATTTTTATATTTCATGAAAAATAATAGGTCAAACAATCATCACAATATAGTTTAAATGATCAAAAAATATTTCAAAAATGACTTATATAGTTTAAATGAGCAAAACAATAGTTCAAATGAGCAAAAAAAAAATATAGTTCAAATGAGCAAAAAAAATAGATCAAATGAGCAAAAAAATAGTTCAAATGAGCAAAAAAAATAGTTCAAATGAGAAAAAAAAATAGTTCAAATAAGCAAAAAAATAGTTCAAATGAGCAAAAAAATAGTTCAAACGAGCAAAAAAAGATAGTTCAAATGAGCAAAAAAATAGTTTAATTAACCAAAAAAAAAGTTAAAATGAGCAAAAAAAATAGTTCAAATGAGCAAAAAATAGTTCAAATGAGCAAAAAAATGTTCAAATGAGCTATTTTTTTTTTATTTTTAAAAAAATTAGTATACATATTAAGGGTTAGGTTAGGTTAAGACACTTTCTGGGCCGAGCGCTGCGGCTAGGACAGTCTAGGGGGACGAGCGCTGCGGCCACATGTCTGGGCCGAGCGCTAGGGCTAGGACAGGCTAGGGGGCCGAGCGCTGCGAGTATACGTATTTAGGGTTAGGTTAGGTTAAGACACTTTCTGGGCCGAGCATTGCGGCAAGGACGCCGAGCGATGCGGCCACATGTCTGGGCCGAGCACTGCGGCCAGCACAGGCTATGGGGCCGAGCGCTGCGGCCACGTGACCAATAATCCTAAATATGTCTACCAATTAGCTGAAAAAATCTTCTTGAACTATTTTTTTTGCTCATTTGAACTATTTTTTGGTCGTTTGAACTATTTTTGCTCGTTTGAACTCTTTTTTGCTCATTTGAACTATTTTTCTGCTTATTTGAGCGTTTGAACTATTGGTCATTTGAACTATTTTTTGCTCGTTTGAACTATTTTTTTGCTCGTTTGAACTATTTTTTGGTTACTTGAACTATTTGTTTGCTCATTTGAACTATTTTTCTCCTTATTTGAACTACTTTTTGGGTCATTTGAACTATATTTAATATAGTTCAAATGAACTATTGGTTGTTTGAACTACTACACGTGGTACCACGTGCAATAGTTCAAACAACCAAGAGTTAAAAAAGTCAATAGTTCAAACGGCAGTAGTGCAAACCCTATAGCACCCTTTAAGGTTTTCTTTTTAAATTTAAGTTATTGCGCTCACAGGGACTACAGTAGAAATTTATACATTTCAAAAGAGTAGCATGCCCGATTCACAACTCGGATATACCCTTGAAAGCTTGCTCTGATAAAAAATGCATAATGCTGCATATACATCAGATTCTTTTGAAAATCGACTATTTGACTTTACTGCACTACCTTTGGCGGGAGTTCTGGTGAAGTTATACGGACTCAAAAATAAAATAATAGTTGGAAAAAAACAAAGTTCTCTGGGATATCTTCGTTTTCAGATTAGTTGCATATTTGCTGAATATGATCTGTTTAAACCTACTATTTCTATACAAAATGTACATATATGAATTTTCGTATTTTGACACAATTTTATATCAATTTCTCGAGACAGGACCATCAGATATAACTATATCAAGAGCTAATGAGATAAGCTTTCAGCCTATACCCCCTTTCATTTTTCCTTCACAGTCTCTTTAAAGAGTACCATTGTGAATGTGTTTCATTACTTTTTTAGATAATAAAAACTGAAAGATTAATGTACTTCTATTAAAATGTAGAACCTGATTAGTTGCTAGTCTGTGGAGACGATCAAACCCGCTCTTCACGTCCTTTGCTTTCTTCTTCAGGGAATTTGTATCTCTAAATAAAACAAAATGTTACCTAAGGAAAATCTCAAAAAAAAATATTCACAATATTCTAAATTTGTTTAGCAACACGATTTCATTAGGATCGAGATAAAAAATGAAGATCATAAAAATTTAAATGAATATCAGACCATTTTCTTGTATAACAGCATATTTAACCCAATATGGAAGACCATCGTCCATCAACCAAGGGAAGGAAGGAACCTGAAGATAGGCCTAGGAGGGGAGGGGTATATACTTTCTTGGGGCCCCTCCCCTTCAACAATCATTTTACCCCCGTATGTCAAATGGGGAAAATAACGGATTTTGGGGGAAAATAAATGTTTGTTTTTTGTATTTGAGGAAGATAATTCTTGAGAATAAATACCCCTGGAGGAGGGGGTGAGGGGGGGGGGATTCACCTGATATCGAACGCCTCATTCTCTGAATTCCTCTGAATATTGTTGGAGAGAAGATACTCGTCCTTCCCTGCCAACTCCAGCAACCTGTTATACTCATCAACCTAGACACACAGAGTCAACATATAATTTCCCTTCCTTGTCTCAACATTTCAAGTGATCCTCCATTTAAACCTTTATTTGATCAATAATATAGAAAATATCGCTTTTTCGTCTTGATTATGCTTAATTCTGACAATTTCCTTTCTATTTCATGCATGCTTGATCAGACAAAGCTTTTTTATAAACTTTTTTGAGTGAATTGAAAATATATTTCATTGGGTTTATTTCGCTGAATTTATGATTTTGGGGAAAAGATTGAATTTCTTGTTGTAATTAAAACTCGTATAATATGAAGAAAACTAAAGTGAAGTTGCAAGAAACAACAAAAGCTCAGTAAAAAGAATTTTGTAAAGATGATTCAAGCCGGCTTTCCAAGAAATGATGGTTAATTGCAATCATTATCATTTTAAGTATTTGCCTTTTGTTGATGATGCGAAAACTCTTCCTGGAGAGCAACCAGTTCCATGGAGGTCAAACCAGACTTCTCAGCTTTCTCCCACAGCTTCTGTAACTTCTAGAGCATTCTTAATTTTCTACAGATTCTAGAATGTTCTCTAGATTCTACTTATTATTCTAGAATATTCTTAATTTTCTACAGATTCTAGAATATTATTCAATTTCTAGATTCTAGAACATTTTATATTTTCTTCAGATTCTAGAATATTTTTCATTTTCTACAGGTTCTAGAATATTCTTTTTTTCTCTAGATGTTAGGATATTTTTTCCAATAGATTCTAGAACATTCTGTACTTTCTGAAGATGCGGAATATTCTTGAGTTTCTATTCTACAGATACGTAAATATCTCAATCTCTTTATTTTCTACACACTACTTCTACACTAGTCTCTAGTATATTCCTTACTTTCCACAGATTTTAGAACATTTCTAAATTTCTACAGATTCTAGTACATTCGTTGATTTCTACCAAATAAATTTTTTTGGGATTTCTTTTAGTGTGTATACTGTCTACTGTATAAGTGTATGTTGAATAATGTATACCTTGTGTAAGATCTGAGGATCTTTATAAACTAATGTGTGTTCAGGGTGTTCAGCGACAAGATGTTATTCAGTGTGTTCAACCAGGAATTATCTTCAAACAATCGATCAATCACACGGAACTCTACATGCACAGTTTTCTACATTTAATCACGTGTTCAAATCTATATAATTAATTGAGATTTTTAATGTATAACTATTTAAAGGCCAATTTTTATAATAACCCTGGACTGATTTATTGTGTTTTCAGTTCACGGTTGAGTCCTGTATAAACTGCCTACCTGAAATATATACATAAGATTTAATCAGTGCAAATAGAGGTGAGCGGAAGAGAAAGAGTTCATGTTTGCTCTTATGTTTGTAGTTATTACCTGGTCTCCTATAGGTAAAAATGAGCACACCTTGTCCTTAAAGAATTCCTTAGGTATCTCTGTTTGTATTTGCTGTTCTGTATTACCAGCCCCTGATCCTCCCATACCATATCTGGTCAAGATCATACTGAACTTCTTTCTGATCTCGTTCTCCTTCAATCCTTCCTACAATTAGAAATTAGAAATAATAAAAAAGGTAATTTGTGAAGTGTTTGTCTTGATACAATTTAAAAATCTTTTTGACAAAATTAAACATAAAAATTTACTTCAACTTTATTTTCTATTCCGTGAACCAAGAAAACAGTGTTATTAAATACAGCTAATTCAACATTATAGCATGATTACTTTATAACACTGCTTTAATGGAACTGAGCATTAGCTGAGTATGAAGTGCATTATATATTAAATGACAACCCGTCGTTCAGTGAAGTTGGGGCCGGCGCTCCTGTCCACCGAGCGTATCCATGAAGTGCATAATGTTTCATAAAAGATTTTTAAACAGCAGCCTTGGGATACCATGTGAGAGGGTTTTTACAGATAAATTCGATCTTAATTTTTAATTAAGAAAATAATCTTGCTGTGACTTTAGATTAAATTTGGATAGAAATGGTGGAGTATTGGTTAAGACAGGGAGAAATTTGGGAGAAATGTTTTCGATTTTTAAGGAATTTTTGGAAACTTAAATGATTTTTTTTGCATTTACTTTTTATTTCTAGAAAATATTTTAAGTTTTCTCAAAATTCTTAAATATTTTTAAAATAATATAAACATACTTTCAAAGCTAAGAATAACCATTTAAGTAATCGACTGAACGCGTAATTTCCAGTGCCCCTCTTGCCTCCATGCGAAGATGACAATACCCGATTCTCAATAGTCTCCAAAACCTTGATCTGATCAATTAAAGATATTGTCGTATTTTAATAATTCCTAATGTTTTTTCTGCAGGGAAATTTCACTGGTCCCTTTTGTAGACAAAATACGATGGAAAATCATCAGCATAAGGCTAAAAACATAGAGCAGACAAGGCTTTTAGGGGTACCCTTTCAAATCGGGCATGGCGGGTGACTTGAAATTACGCGTATACTCTCTTTAACCAACCTTGTCTCCACCTTCCGATTTAAACTTTTTTAAGGTTAGCTCCTCCTTGTCCTGAACCTAAAACAAAGAATTTGTAAAACACAATCTAAGAAGTCTATTTAATTGTATAGCCAGGCTGTTTGTTTATTTATATCCGAAAAACGTCAAAACAACTCAACCGATTACGCAATTTTTTTTGTGAAAACTCATATGACCCCTGAAAATATTATGGCAGGGAAGAATTAAAAGTTTGGCCTCAGAATAATTTATTTTTTATTTAAGAAATCCTCCTTATAGTTTTTAATATATATCTAAAATCAAATAATAACAAATACTTGATAAAAATACAAACCTTCAGCTCACTGTAGAGTTTAGATAATTTGGTCTCAGTCAATTCCATTTTCAATCTCGCCTTCTCCCAAACTTAATCAAAGTAATATTGAATTAATTTGTAAATAAATTATTTTCGGGACAATAAGAAAGTAATAACGAGATAGGAAAGCTGGCAAGTATTTTTTAATGTTCCCCCAAATTATCTCAAGAAAAATATACATAAAAAGGCTTACTATTTGAAAGATATGAAGTATCCTAAAATACATGCTTAAAAAAAATTTCGAGGATAAAAACTGGTTTGTTACTCAACCTAGATTTATCTTCTGCATCCTGAACGGGGACTGAACTGTTGCATAACTCTTGATCTCATCTTTCTCCGGGTAAAAATCTTCCGTGCCCGAGACCAGAGACCCCAGGATCAGGAGCACAGAGAAAACAGAATATATCATGGAATCTGTAAAACGTGAAAATGCACACACAAAAGTCAATAAAAACAACAGCTGATGTTTAATTTTAACGAACTACTACGAAATGCTTTAAATAAAAAAGTTAAATCCCCCCCCCCCCCCCGACAGCCTCAATTAATTTTTGTTCATGACTTACGACTTCCATCATTTACAAGATATTAAAATATTCATACTTCTTCTCCTCAAATACTTTTATTTAAAAAAAAACATATTTTAACACATAGGTTCTGATACATATTAAAAGACAGAACGCAATAAAAAAAACGCAAAGAATTTCTTGCAAATATGGAAGATGGTTGAAAAATTTCTACAAGCTTGCGAAATGGTTTATCGGCTATCGACTGTTTTCATAGGAAAAGGAAATATATATATTGGCTTGATCGCGCTATATATATTCAAGTACTTGATAACATGAAGACAAAATATTCAATGAAAAACGAAAAACTTTTCAGAATATTAATACTTATTCATGCGAAATATTCAACTTTAGACTTAACTATTGAAATTTTTTCAAATTAAAAGTTTACTGGTAAATCTTATACAAAAATTAAGAAATCTACAAAGAACCACTCTGAAACTACACTTCAAACTTTCCGGAGAGAAATTTGAGCCCACAGCGTGCTCGAGTCTTTTCTACGATTACGAATGAGGACGCAGGGTTGCCAACATATTTCAGACCAAATCCAAAATATTTTTACAACCACTTTACAGGCATTTTAGTGAACACTTAAAATACACCTATTTCAGTGGGTTTTCACCCCTAATAAATTAAATGTGTGATAGGTATTTACTGTATTTTATAGAAACAGCACAGTTTCTAAAGTCTTTTCATCTAAAACTAAAGAATTATTTCAATTATAACATTTACAATCCATGCCAGAAACAAAGTAAATTCAATTCTTATAGAAGTAGACTAGCTCTCTCTATGGAAAACTAATTCTCAAGATTGACGATTGTGAATTATTGAATGAAATTCAAATATTTTTTAATTCATCTCCTTAACACATTTAATTGCACTAATGTGCTGTATTACTCTAATGCAATCACTAGCACTTTAGTGAGGGGGGGGGGGGCGAAATAAAATTTTGAGGGGTTAAGTGGGGGGTAAAAAACTTTTTGAGGCATTTTAAAGTTTATAAACCAGTTTAACTGCGTCTATTTATCGTTCTCTGTTCGAAAATCGTAGGCATCGCCCGTAGCTTGGCGTTGATTTAGGATAGATATTGGACATAAAAGATATATTCAAATGTTGATCCAGACTGGATACGAATGTTAAAAATTGATACGATACAAATGTTATGAACAAATGTCAAAGTATGGATATAGGGGATCCGTCCTAGAGAACGATTTTTGGGGCCGAGCAGCTGCGGCTAGGACAAGCAGGGGGCCGAGCGCCGCGGCTAGGACAGGCTAGGGGGCCGGGCGCTGGGGCCGCATGGTCAATTATATCCATGTCTTACATTTAAGATCCATGGGGGGCCGGGGGGGCTTAAATCGTTCTGTAGGAAATTACCGATATAGGTTGAATTCAAATATAGCAAAAGATGTATGCGATTATCGGGTCCGTCCTAGAGAACGATTTTTGGGGTCTGCCCTAGTGAACGATTTTTTGGACCCCCCTCCCTCCTATCAATTTTGTACATGACGAAATTAGTAAATTAGTATTTTTTTTTTATTATTTAGGGTTAGGTTAAAGGTTAAGACACTTTCAGGGCCGAGCGCTGCGGCTATGATAGGCTAGGAGGGCCGAGCGCTTGGGGGTCCAAAATCGTTCTCTTGGAAATTACCCGATAATCGATACAAGAAGGATGGATACGAATATTAAGGTCTGATTCAAATCAGCAAAAGTTATAATCTTGAATAGCAATTATGAGGATGGATTTGATTGTTGATCCAATCTGGTTACGAATGTTAAGGATCGATACAAACGTTAAGGTTTGATTCAGATGAGAAAAAACAACTAAAAGTTATAATTTTGAATACGATTACGAATGATCTGTATTGATTGCCGCGAAAGTTTTGTCAAGATTTACAAAAATTAATCGTCTTCACAGAAGCAACTGTCCCGATTTTCGAACTTCAAGAATAAACGCGGCAAACCTTACAGATTGCGCAGGCGCAGACGAAAACAATTTGTAAAATATACCGCATGCATGCTGACGAAATAATTTAGTTAATAGTTACAACTTCACTTATGGCGCAATGGAGTCTGCACGGCGGAAATGCCTGGAAATTATTCTGCAGAACACCTTGGTGAAATTGTATCAAAAAGGTTTAAGTGAAGAATATAAACAGGTAATTCAGGAATTAAATTTGTTTTGAGTAATGTTTGAATTTTCACTTTTTAAAGACTAAATGTATTTTTTAACACTTACATGTTAATAAATTGCTGCATTTATATGTCTATATGTCAGATGTAAACAATAGTCGCAATGATCTCGACTTGTTTTGTCATTAACGCATTTTATTTATTAAGCATGTCGGTAATTTCCTATGGGTCCCTAAAATCGTTCTCTAGGACAGACCCAAGCATGTCGGTATTTTTTCTAAATAAAAATTTGAAAGAGTAAATTTGACGTGTAGAGGTTTTACAGTCTAATTCTACAGGTAGAAGATGTTGGACCCACTCCTGGTGATGCCTGGGCCCAGCATGATGCGATGGTCAGCAGGTTAGTAAAGGTTACCAAGTACTGTTCACGTTTTAAGTTTAAACCTTTACATTTACTGTTACTTAGGAAAATGTGGCTAGAGTTCATAAATTTTAGTTAACTTATGGGATTTTAAGAATTGAGTTGGATAATTATAATAATAACAACATCCAATCTTTTTGTTGATAATATTTTTTTAACGTAAGAAAGCCCGCGTTGTTGATTATTTTTGAATAGGATACATAATAGTATCATGATGATGAACTTACTTTCCTTCTTTAGAGGACTATGCGAGGCAGCTGTTAAAAACAGTGAAAAGAATCGATACTGCAATCTTTTCCCCTTTGACTCGGATCGAGTGAAACTGCAGGTTCCGAAAGATAAATCAGATTATATCAACGCTAGTTGGATTAAAATTCCTGGAGTAGAGATCAGGTTTATCCTAACAATGGCTCCGCTTCATCCCAGTAGCTTCAGTTCCTCCCGTCCTGTTGATTTCGGGATGAATAGCTCCGTATCAACTTGTGCTGACTTCTGGAGAATGGTTCAACAAACGGATTCAAAAAGGGTTATAATGCTGTGTAAGGTTAGGATAAATATTTAAACATTGCTTAAAATTCATTTAATTTTGAATAGCTAATACCGCTCTTATACCACTCTTAAGATACCGGACTCTTGGACTGGCCTTTATTATTTTCAATTTTGGGTTTTCTTTGAAGTTACTTGCGCATTACTACTGCAGGAAAACAATGCAGGAATTATAAAAATTAAACACATAGTTGATCAGATAAACGTTGCAAGGGTACTGTTGTGAATTGGCATGCCTATCTTGAAATTGAGAGTCATTTGAAGTCAAAACGATAGTACCTTGAGATAACTTCTTAAAAAATATAAATATTTTTTTTCTGAAAATCAGATTGAGTCTGGGTATACAGGCTGTGCACAGTACTTCCCAACGGAACAAGAAGAATTGGTGACCTTCGATGAGTACAGTTTAACACTGGACAAGGAGATTAGCCAGGAAGATGTTTCTGTGGACAGAACCTTGAACCTGACCTGGGACGGAAATTCACGCATGATAAACCACTCCCAGTTCAACCTTTGGCCCAACTATGGAGTTGTAGAAAATGTTTCTCAGCTCGCGGATTTCGTCAAAAAGGTAAAATACAGGTTTTCAATGAAATGGTGTTTTATTGTAGTACACTTTTTCAATTTAATTGGATATCCGGTTTTTATTTGCATCCGGTTTGTTTAAACTCGGCTGAATTCAATTTAGTTAGAATCAATTCTGGAAGTAGATGTAGAAAAGTTTGAACGTACTAAAAGGAATAATGTTTTTCTTTTATTTCTAGATCTTAGATGCAACCCAAGTTTGTGAAGGTCCAGTGATAGTGCATTGTTCTGGTGGTATAGGACGGAGTGGAGCCTTTACATCAATATTATCCGTCCTCTATCTTCTAAACAAATATGTTGAGGTAAGTCTGTAGTTACTTCAGGGGTATTTTCTGGAAAATCATTGATTCCCAAGTAAAGATCACGTATCACAATTGAACATCCGAGACAGGATTTTAAGGGGCTAGACAGGGATCAATGTCTTCCCCCCCCCCCTCCTCATATAAGAATTGGGATTGAAGTACCTCTGCAGTTAGCTTCAGCATATATAGGGTAAATTAGAACTGACAGCACAATTTAAACCAATAAAAGTTAATTCATTAAAATCAAATATTAAAATATTATTCACAAATTCTTATTTAACTAATTTAAAATATGATTTATTTCCTTTGCTTAGCACTGTCTATTTAAATTGTCAATGATAACAAACAAACCTTTAAATCTTCCCTTTTTTGTTAAAGAATGCATCAAGATTTGTTTAAGAAATTAAAATTTTAAATTTTTTCCCTTATTATATTCTTCCTTGTATAGACTGGTTCAGCTGAGTGTCTGTCTGGGATCGTGTTAAACGAGGAGATCTGCCTGGTAGAGTTGGTCAGGGGGATGAGGAAGCAGAGACATCCCTGGATGGTGGAGGGAGAGAAACAGTATCTTCTTATATACTCCACTGTACTCCATCTACTCCAGGAGATGCTGAAGGAGTCCTAAACAGTATCTTCTTATATACTCCACTGTACTCCATCTACTCCAGGAGATGTTGATGGAGTCTTGAACCGTATCTTCTTAAATAATCCACTGTACTCCATCTACTCCAGGAGATGTTGATGGAGTCTTAAACAGTATCTTCTTGTATACTTCACTCTACTCCATCTACTCCAGGAGATGCTGATGGAGTCCTGAACAGTATCTTCTTAGGAGATACTAATCAAGTCCTAAGGAAGTGAAAGAGTGTCTTCTTATTTCCACCACTGAAGGAAATGTGCAAATAGTTTTACAAATCAGTTATATATACATATATATATGTTACATGTATTTAAGGTCTATTCTTAATAATTCTTACGTACTTGAAAATGCACAATACTCACCTGATTCCGTCCAACCTAGTCAAAATTTCGTATATTATTACAGTAGTTTATATAAATTGTTATATAATTTGGAACATAATTACTTCTAGTCAACAGACAAAGGTGTAAAGGGTGCCGTTGGGAATTGAACTTGTCCCTCTCTAAATGTAGAGTCACTTACAATTACGTCAACAGTTCATTTAATAACTGCAACAGTTAACCCTTAGATTTATTTCTTAGCTCAAGTATAACCATAATTTTACACCGTTTTTATTCCATAGTTGTTATATATATATCGTACCTTATCATCTCGGCACATTAAATTTACATTATTAAATATTTCAGATAGAAGCTTGGTAGAATGGCAGGAGGAGATCGGAAGGGAACCTTTAAGGTTGAGTTTCTAAAGGAGGTGGAGAAGGAAGCGCAGGAGAAGTGGGAGAACCTTAAGATATTTGAGGTGGATGCTCCACAGGAAGGAGAAGGAACAACAGGTACGATATTCCCACGGTTGTTTAGTCAAGTTGTTTACTCTTGATGTGCACAAAGGATGAGACTTCAGCGACGATTGTACGGAATGGTTACTGTCTGTTGCCTTTTATTCATGTTTCCCTACAACTGTAAAGTTCTTTCAATCTTTACCAAATCATTAAATATTCAAGGATTCAAGAATTAATTTTAATTCGAGATCGTCATATTTTCATGTCGTCTTTACAGTCTCATCCTTTGTTGGTAACCCTTTATGAGGTAAAAATTTATTGGACAGTGTGCTTAGAGAGACGGTTTGAAGGTTCTCGGACCGGTTTCATTTTGTAACAGCCAACCGTCTTCCTAAGTAATGATAAATTGTTACGTCATTTAAGGATTTAAACTGTCCATTTGCTTTGTAGCCAACATTTCCCGTGCATTGGAGCGCAGCGAGAGTAAGCAATCGTACTAAACAACCCTGTTAATTCCACATCAGTACAATGGTTGCATAATCCGAACCGGATTAATCATTTAGTGGTACCGGCTGGTCTAGTGTTATAAGTTTGTAGTGGACCCAGTCCAGCACGTCATATGCACAAAAATAGGCTTACGTGGTTGGTGTGATTCGTCTCGACCAACATTATTATTAAAACTATAATATTTTTGCAAGTGTAATACTTTCCAGTCATTTTTGCTTAATGGAATCTTAAAAACATTGACGTACACCTTCTAACTGATCTTTACGCACTTTAACGAACCTGTTTTGTCACATACATTTTTCTCTAACTTATTTTTAATGTAATATACATAAATAAAAAGTTGTGCAAAAATAATTTAACAGAATTGCAGGATTTAAATGTTTTGGCGCATAAGTCTCCTCCCATGATTTTGCCGACCGCAGTAAACGTATAGAAGGCGAGGATTGAAGTGCCGACCTATTAATTTATTGCGGATCCAAAAATAAAAACAATGATACAACGAAATGTTTAGATGAGAAATACATGGTAACCTTCCCTTATCCGTACATGAACGGTCGATTACACTTGGGGCACACCTTCACTATTTGTAAATGCGAGTTTGCCGTGGGATTTCAACGCCTCAAGGTAAAGTTTTAGACTCATCCTCAGTCAAGTAGCTGTTTGTTACCCAGATAAGTTTAAATTTTATTAAGGAATTATTCTTTATCTTTTTAAAATTGAAATTTCCTTTCTGTTGTAAATAATGCTCCATGGAATATTCATATTCATATTTTTATTGAACTACAAAGCATGAGTTATTACAAATAAACTTTCACAATTTACCATGAAGTATAGTCCCGTCTAACCAGGGTAGCTTGTTTTTAGTGTACAAGGAATGAGGTTTAAATTAATATGATTTATTAGTATCTTAATCTCGATATGAAGAACTTGCAGGAAATAAGTAATAATTAATTTCAGATTTAAACTTGATTTGATTGGATCTACGGATTTAAAATTCAGACGTGTTGAATTCTGATTGCGGTAATATTGCAAATTAGAAACTCTGTTATCAGGGAAAGAAATGTTTGTTTCCCTTCGGGTTCCATGTGACCGGTATGCCGATCAAAGCTTGCGCAGACAAGATCAAGAGAGAGCTAGAGGCGTTTAGTAATCTGAATTGATCTGATTTAAAGGGACAGTAAAGGAAAAATGAAAGGGAGTATAGTCTGAAAGTAATCACTTTAGCTCTTGATCGCGACCCATGAAAGTCATATCTGATGTCCATGTCTGGAGAAACTGATATAAAACTGTCACAGTGTTATTGTCAAAAAAAGTACCAGTTCTTGGCATATTTTACCCTTAACAGAAATAACCCCCCCGCACCCCAACGTCAAAATCATGAGAATGAATTCATCTCCATTCAACCTGGAGATGAAGAGATCAAACCTGGATATAAGAAAAAACTTTTTTCCATTCGAGTTGTTAAAGGCTGGAACCAATTGCTTGAGGCAGTTTAAAGGTTTATGGCCCTTTATGCTTTTATAAACAGTTTTGACGAGCATAAAAAGGCAGCCATGGGTCCAGCTACTTCATTCTTGCTTGATGCAGGACTTTGGCGGAAAAACTATCAACGTAATTTTTATCACAGGATGTTGAGGAAGTGGTGGAGGAAAGGAAGAGTGATGAACCGATTATCAAGGATAAATCTAAAGGAAAAAAGAGCAAGGCAATGGCTAAAGCTGGAACAGGTTATTAAAGTTTTTAATAATTCAAAAATGTTTTTTTTTTCTCTCCTATTTTTGTTTAATTCAGTAATTTAATCACTACAATGCATATTTAACTACATGCAATGTCGATTGATATCTTTATTTTAACACGAATGGATGGTGGGGGATGGGGGGGGGTGGCAACAGGGAATAAGAATAAAGGGAAGGGAAATGGCGCTGGTCTGGCATGAGAAAGCCAGTCGCACTGTTTTGCAGACGAGTTCCTTATTACGCACGCACACTCTTTTGGTTCAGACACACAACATGACTAAAGTCAAGAAAATTGCAGAATAATTTGTCGCTAATAACAATTAAGCTTTAATAACGAGTAGTTTATGTTGACTTGAATTTATAAATAATGTATTGAATTGAATTAAACTTATTTTTAGCAAACAATGTACTTTCTTAGACTGTACAACTATTCAGTTCCTTATCACACACGCACACTCTTTTGATACACAAACATGACGTTTCTGCCCCCTGGATGCCAATCCTTTGAAATGCTTAATTAAATCATAACTGAAGTTAGTGAATAGCAGTTGAACTAAGTTTGTATAGTTGTACATATGAGCAGATAAGCATAAATATCAATATTTGTAGGAAAGTATCAATGGCAGATTATGAGATCCCTGGGACTCCAGGACGACGAGATTAAAAACTTTGCTGATGTCAATCACTGGCTTCAATACTTTCCACCCAAAACAGAAGCAGACCTCAGGGTGAGCAATTTATGCAATATAAATTCTTCAGTTTAGTATCCATCCAATCTATTCTCTCCAAATTTATTATCCAACATCCATCCTCTAAGTTAAGTATCCAACCTCTCTAGGTGTGTATCCATCCTCCAAGATTAGTATCCCTCCTTAAAAAGCTCACTTTATGATAAAAACTGAATTTTAGAAAACATTTATTCACAGATTTCATTCCTCATTTCAGCTTCAAGAACATTCTAGACAATAAAAAAGTTAATAATTGATCTAGAAATCACAAAGGAATATTTCAGAAATGTCAATAGACTCAATAACAAGTTGCTTTATGATCATAATCATGGTATACAGGATGCTTCAAAAGTACTAAGATCTCCCCGGCTCAGTAACATTTCGTCTAGTACACTTTCGTCTAATAACATTTGGTCTAAGTAACTTTTAGTAAGTAAATTGTTCTAAAACTACAGAATTGGTTTAAGTTACTTTAAGAAAGGAGTAAGTAACATTTTGTCCAAGTAACTTTTGGTATAAGTACTTTTTAGTAAGGAATTCGGTCTAAAACTAAACTGCCTAAATGAGATGGTTCCGTGAAGTAGTGCGTCTACAGAAAGATGTAACAATCTTCTTTAGAATGTGAACCTTGCCCCATATAAAATGGTTGTCAAAAGTACTTCATCACTCCCATATTCATTCATACGCTACTATTGGTCTATGGTTGAGTATCTTATTAATCCCGCCATTGAGTTCCTCCCAGTTCAACGTGTTTTAGAAGAGCGGAGAATGTCTCCTATAGAAATTGCGGATTTCTTGATTTTATTTCACGGGTTTTCTCTTTTTTTTTTGCAGTGTATATATAAAATAACGTAATATTTTTTTCAGGCCAAATTACTTACTAAAAGTTACTTAGACCAAAAGTTACTTGGACCAAATGTTACTTAGACGAAATGTTACTTCTATACCAAATGATACTTAGACCAAATGTTACTTAGACCAAAGGTTACTGGACGAAAATGAATTAGACAAAAGTGAACTAAGACGAAAGTGTACCAGACGAAATGTTACTGAGCCCCAAGTTTAGCATCCAACCTCTACAAGTTTGATATCCATCCTCTCCAAGATTAGCATCCAACCTCTAGAAGTTTGATATCCATCCTCTCCAAGATTAGCATACAACCTCTAGAAGTTTGATATCCATCCTCTCCAAGTTTAGCATCCAACCTCTACAAGTCTAATATCCATCCTCTCCAAGTTTAGCATCCAACCTCTACAAGTCCAATATCCATCCTCTCCAAGTTTAGCATCCAACCTCTACAAGTCCAATATCCATCCTCTCCAAGTTTAGCATCCAACCTCTACAAGTCTAATATCCATCCTATCCAAGATTAGCATCCAACCTCTAGAAGTTCAGTATCCATCCTCTCCTAGTTTAGTATCTAACCTCTCCCAATTTTAATGTACAACCTCTCCCAAGTTCAGTATCCAAACTGTCCCAAGTTTAGTATCCAACCTCTCCCTAAGTTTGGGAGAATATAATGTCAAAAAATGTCATCTGGATCCTGGACCCTTAGCACTGTTATTGAAAATAAATGGTTTTTTAAGGCTATGGGTCTTCGCGTTGATTGGCGTAGAAGCTTCATCACGACCGACGCAAATCCGTTCTATGATTCCTTCGTTAGATGGCAGTTCATTAAGCTGAAGGAGAGGAACAAGATTAAGTTTGGAAAGCGCTACACCATCTATTCGCCCAAGGTACATATTCTTATCTTATATCTTATATCTTATATCTTATATCTTATGGGAAGATTGTGGAGAATTAGCGTAAATATGAAAAATCTTGTCTTTCAAATTCCATTTATTCTTGCAACCAATGTCCAGTACTGTTAGGATGTATGTAATTTGTTTAGGACGGACAACCGTGCATGGATCACGACAGGAGTTCAGGAGAAGGAGTTGGTCCACAGGAGTACACCCTTGTAAAGATGAAGGTCATAAAACCCAGGTAGGATTCTCCAGGAGTAAACCCTCGTCATGATCACCTACCGGGTTTTCTTTTAAAATGATGTTTTGGATTTTAACACTAATAAAATTATATTATATATATATTATATTATATGTATAATCTAGTATGCATGGCATCCCTAAATGATTTTTTTCTGTGAAATTTTTAAAGAATACTACAAAAAAAATCCATGTTTTTTACTTAATTCTATTAATTATTTTTGCAGTGGAGTACTGGAGAAGTATAGTAAGGATGGAGTCTACCTTGTTGCAGCTACTCTTAGACCGGAGACAATGTACGGACAGACAAACTGCTGGGTCAGGCCGGATATGGCGTATGCAGCATGCAGGTCAGCTCATCCTTCGTATATAAATCTGGATGTATTTCGGAACCATTTATACATTTATACAGTATACACTGTACTGTGAATGTATTCTCTAGACCTTGCTATATTCTTTAAACCTTGATATATTCTCTAAACCTTGATATATCCTCTAAACCTTGATATATCCTATAAATCTTGATATATCATCTAAACCTTTATGTATCCTCTATACCTTGATATATTCTCTAAACCTTGATATATTCTCTAAACCTTTATATATCCTCTATACCTTGATGTTTCCTCTAATCCTTGATATATCCTCTAATCCTTGATATCTCCTCTAATCCTTGGTATATTCTATAAACCCTAATATATTCTCTAAATTTTGCTAAATTCTCAAGACCTTTATATATCCTCTAAATCTAGATATATTCTCTAAACCTTGATATATCCAATAAGCCACTAAATGTTCTCTAAATCTTGATATATCCTCTGAACCTTGATATATTCTTTAAACCTTGAAGTGCTCTAAACCTTAATATATTCTCTAAACCTTTCCTTTTTACCTGTCATAGAGTCGATGCTTGGGGTATTTTGTCCCAATACTGATGGATTTTCTTTTGACCCCGAAATAGTATTGTATTGAGAAGTGCTCTAAACGGGTATGTTTCCTCTAACCTTATATTAACCATATTACCCTGTTTAGGTTGAAGAGTGGTGAGGTGTGGGTGTGTACTAAGCGTGCTGCTAGGAACCTCTGCTACCAAGGGTTCATGAAGGAGGAAGGAAACCCTTCAATCTTGCTGGAACTGACAGGACAAGATATTCTAGGACTAGCTCTCTCCGCTCCTCTAGCTCATTACAAAATCATCTACACACTGCCTATGCTAACCATCAAGGTACACCAACACTACACTAGACAGAATGAGAAAGTAGAATTTATGCGACATTACTTTGTGACCTCGTAGCTCCTAGTTTTTATTTTACGTATAAGTAAAAATAAACTACTCTATTTGGCTACATGCTAGAACTTTATAAGAACATTGATTGAAAACCTGTAAGACTTTACGCAATCTAACTTGAAATTTACGTTAAGTTGAAGTTCTAGCTTTTTTACGTTTTAAGATTATATTACCGATTTATTGATTGATTGATGAATGATTGATGGGATGATTTATTTAAAGCTTTTTAAAATATTTCAAAGTTTTAATTATTACTTTTTGAATAGGACGACAAGGGTACTGGTGTAGTGACGAGTGTTCCTAGTGATAGTCCGGACGACTGGGCCGCCCTCAGGGACTTGAAGAACAAACAACCTTTCAGGTGAAATAGTTTGTCGTCTATAGCAGAATTTTTATGCTTATGACTTATGAGAATGAGATCTGCAAGAAACTTTTGTTTTCAATCCCGTATTGCTTAGAGTTTGGTATTCTTTGAGTTACTGAAACTTCTCCGATATGGACTATTTAGTCAGAGTTATGGTATTTTGATGCCGCTTCCATTTGGTGCAAGTCAATTTGAGTTTTGTTGTTAAACACATTCTGCAGTAAAATTATGAATTGAAATGTAATTTTTAAACTGTTTCCTTAATAGGGAAAAGTATGGACTCACGGATGAGATGGTTCTTCCCTTCGACCCTGTTCCCATCATTAACATCCCTGACTTCGGCGACCTCGCTGCTGTCACCGTCGTCGACAAGTTAAAAATCCAGAGTCAGAACGACCGGGACAAGTTAGCGGAGGCGAAAGAGATGGTTTACTTGAAGGGGTTCTACGAGGGAACTATGGTGGTTGGGGAGCACAAGGGGAAGAGTGTACAGGACGCTAAACCTTTGATAAAGAAGGAACTGGTGGATATGGGGTCTGCTGTCACCTATATGGAACCAGAGAAAACTATCATCTCAAGGTAAGCAAATTCATTTCAAAATCTTGTATTGCTGTCTCGACATGGAAATGTTGCTCGATTCTGCCCTTTCTCGCTAATTTTTATTTTTTATTCTGGATTTGGTTTTACATAATTTTTATCTTTAAATCATTTCAATTTGAATTTCCATGTTTAAAAAATGACTTCTAAGTTTAAATTGTCTAAAATGCATTTCTTTAAAGTTTTATTTTATAGATCTTTTTATACTTAACTAAATGTAATAATGTTTTACCCTCATGTAAAAATTGAGTCATAAATTCTGAATAAGTAATATTTTAAAATGTTAACATTCTAGATTCCCGATTTCAGGAGGTTTTAACTAAATGAAAATTATTCTAGGTCCCAGGATGAGTGTGTAGTTGCACTATGTGATCAATGGTACCTGGATTACGGTGATGCTGAATGGAAGAAGGGAACCAAGGAGGCCCTGGACAGGATGAACACCTTCAGCGACGATGTGAGGAAAAATTTTGAAATGACGCTGGGTTGGCTCCAGGAGCATGCTTGCAGTAGAACGTACGGGCTTGGAAGTAAAATGCCGTGGGATGAATCCTGGCTGATCGAAGGATTGTCGGACTCCACCATCTACATGGCGTACTATACCGTAGCTCACCTTCTCCAGGGGGGGACCTACGACTCTAGTAAGCCTAATGTTCTGAATATCAAGGCTGAAGAAATGAGCCTGGATGTCTGGGACTATATTTTCCTGAAAGCTCCGTTCCCTGCCGAAACCAAGATCCCTAAACAAGCCTTGGATAGATTGAAACGTGAGTTTGAATACTGGTATCCTTGTGATATCCGTGTATCCGGGAAGGATTTAGTTCCGAACCATCTCACGTATACGATCTACAATCATGTCGCAATGTGGCCGGATACTCCAGAGAACTGGATCCAGGGTATCCGAGCTAACGGTCATCTTCTTCTCAACTCGGAGAAAATGTCCAAATCTACCGGAAACTTCTTGACCCTGAGTGAGGCGATCAACAAGTTCTCGGCGGATGGGATGAGACTGGCGTTGGCAGATGCCGGGGACTCCGTCGAGGATGCAAATTTTGTAACATCTTCCGCCGATGCTGGTATCCTCCGCCTTTACACCTTTATTGAATGGGTGAAGGAAACCCTGGCGGATGAAAGTTTAAAAAAGAGAACTAAACCAAACTTCCACGATGATGTGTTCTTGAATGAAATGAACTTGAAGCTGGCGCAGGCGCACGATGCTTACGATAAACTGTTGTTCAAGGAGGCCTTGAAGACAGGATTCTTTGAACTGCAAACTGCTCGAGATAAATACCGTGAGCTGTGTGGGGAGGATGGTATGTGTCGGGATCTTATCCTCAAGTATATTGAATGGCAGTGTATAATCCTATCTCCTATCTGTCCTCATGTATGCGAGCATATCTGGGGTTTACTGCGTAAACCGGAATCTATCCTCTCTACTGACTGGCCTAAGGCCGCCAAGGTTAATTTGACTGTGATTCAACAGTCAGAATACCTAATGGAGGCTGTTAGAGATTTCAGATTGAAGCTGAAGGCTGCCCTAGCTCCGCCCAAGGCTAAGAAAGGTCCCGCCCCTGCTGCAAGTGAACCTCCAACCCACTGCACTGTGTATGTAGCGAAGTCCTACCCAACCTGGCAGTGTACTATTCTGGACACCTTGAAGGAGATGTACAAGACGGGGGTCCCGGACAATAAGGCAATCAGTGTAGAGATGGGTAAACTCCCGGAGCTCAAGAAGTTCATGAAACGCGTCATGCCTTTTGTTGCGTTCATGAAGGAGAAGGTTGAGAGTTCCGGGTTGTCTGCTCTAGAGAGTTCCCTCCCCTGGGACGAGATGAAGGTTCTCGAGGAAAACCTAGAGTACATCGTCAACAGTCTGCAGTTAGAGGGTTGCAAGCTATCCTGGAGTACGGAGCTAGGAGAGAAAGGAGAGGATTGTAAACCTGGACAACCTCTAATAGCGTTCAGGTAATTTCTACCAAGCTACCAAGGAAAATAAAACTAAGGAGAGGGGGATAGGGTTTGTTCACATTCTACTGCAACGAATTACGACTGTGATGAAATAAGTCATATTGTCATAAAACAATTTTTAGTAATCAGTAATTGCTCATGCTTGGTCCTCCATCCCTACTCAGGGATGCCAAACCTTGTCTACAATCACTGTTATAATTTACAATAAAACTAGTTTCTTAATTGTCCTAATACGTCATAGTAGTAGAATATATTCCCCTCTCCTTAATTATAATCTAATAGACTTTTATTAAACTTATTTATTAGAATAGGACAAATCCGTCATATTTTTCTGTTTTTGACTTCTTAAAATTTGAAAGCTGCAGCTTTTAGCAATTTTATAATGATTTAATTTTGAAGCCTCCATTATTATAATAACGGTATGCTGACATTATTTTAGGACCTAATTCTTCCAAATTCAGTCTGTCAATATTTGCTAAAATAGTAAAACCAGATTTAGGAAAGAATGAAATAAAAATTTGATTTTTGTTTAGGTCGGAGCCAAGTGTAAAGATGACCCTAACCAACAACCAGCCGCACTCTGGTCTGTTCAGCCTAGATTTAGGAATCCTAGACGGGGACACTGTCAACAAGATCACCACCAGGCTCTCCAGAACAGAGAGAGCTGTCAAAGGTTAAAAACTAAAAACATTTTTACTTTTTCATTCTTATTTAATTTTCCTTAAGGGGCGGTATACGAAATTTAATTTTCTTAATGGGGCGGTAAACGAAATTTAATTTTCTTAAAGGGGCGGTAGACGAAATTTAATTTTCTTAAAGGGGCGGTAGACGGAATTTAATTTTCTTTAAGAGGCGCTAGACGAAAGGGTGGGTGGCAATTCGACACTTTGTGACACCAAATTTTGTACAGGCTGCGTTAGGTCCTAATAATTGAGATAAAAGGCTGAAATTTTGCATGCAGCCTCTAATTGTGGCCATCTACATTGACCACGTAGAAAATTTTAGATCTAAGGTCATCCTCTATGAACTCGGAAAATACGGAAAAATACCACTTTCACTCTAATTCAATTATAATAAGTCAATACCCAACATCCAAACTTATTATAAAAATTGTAGTCAATCCTTGGATGTCAGGTATTCGTAAGCGGGGCATGGCTCAAATTTGGTCGTGTGGCTTGGCGCTTCGCAACTACAAAAAAGAGTGCATTAATCTTACATTCGGAAGGCCAGGGCTGAAAAACCAGAAATGGAGAGGACTTGAAACTCCGATCCACAACTGGAGCCTTCGGCCATCCCTACAACTTATGATATGATTTGATAATCAGACATGTTTTCATACTTTTTGCTGCCAAATAAGTCGAGCGCTGATATTGACACATATATCCAACCTCTATTTGACCTCCCTTCGATAATGACCTCCAAAAATGGTCAAAATATTAAATCATTGAAAGTAAGTCATGTGAGGTATCAAATCATAGGTTTTTGGGAGTTACAGATTCCATTCTGATACCCCTTTTGACCTCAGATGATCCTGGAGGCATTTAACCTCCAAATATTAATGACCTCCTGAGGTCAAAATATGAAATCAATGAAAATGAGTCATACGTTTCAAATCATAGGTTTTTTTGTGTTCTGATTTTATTTTGGTACCCCTTTTGGAACTGGGATAGTTCTAATGGTCGCTGACCTCCAAATATCGATGATCTCCGTAAGTCTAAGGATAAAATCAATGAAAATGGGTCATTTTATATATCAAATCATTGTTTTTCTGAATCCAATATTTAACTTTTTTTGAATCTGAGAGTAAAATTTTTAATTGTTTTAACAATATAATAACATGCTTGCTGGTAAACACTGTTCAGGTGCGCAGAACTGGCAGATTACTTCTCAGTTTTTTCGTGGATTTTCTTTATTAGACTTAGAAAATTAAAATTGAAAAGATATGTATAAAACATCTTAACTAATCTTCAATTCTTCTAACCATTTAAAGGAAACAACATCCGTTTAAAACTTCTCTCTGAGGCATGAATTTCTTGTTGATTCAGGGTTATCAATATATAAAAGTTAACCACATAAAAGATTTGATATCTAAGGTCAAAAAGGGGTATCAGATTTCATTGATTTCATATTTTGACCTCCGGAGGTCATTAATATCTGGAAGTCAAATGCCTCCAGAATCAGCTGAGGTTAAAAAGATATCAGAATGGAATCAGAACTCCCTAAAACCTATGATTTGATACCTCACATGACTTCGGTAGACAAAACTTAATTTGACTTCATTTATAGAGTGGAATGTCCGATTGAAAACGATACCCTTAATAAGATTTGTGGATTAGGAAGGAATTCATGGAATACCTATCATTTCTTTGAAAATTGATCATTTTCAATTATAATACATATCTATCATCTTTTAAGAACGTCATTTCCTTTATTTTTTTCTAAATTTTTTTCTTGTTTATAGACGGCAAGAAGATATCTCTATACCGCTGGACGGATTCAACTCTGGGTCCCAGGAAAGTACCAAACCTTGAGAATCAGCTCCAGGGTCTCACGTTGATACCTAGCGAGGCATCCTTCTCAGTAGATCTAACGAAAGGCGTGGTCAGCTGTGATGGAGTGGAGCTGGGGGCGGGGATTGTTTACAGATCCATGGATTAGTTGATTGTTATCATTTTGCAAATATATAAATAATACAAACAGCAAAACAATGTTTTTAAGAACACTTGTGATAATATTTAAATCTGAAATTGGTTTAAACTTCTATTTTTTACTTTTTCTCGATTCCAATTCAAAACTGAGAATCTTAAAAAGTTACTTATCCATATATGATGTTTCTGTTATTATGTTGATAGATCTATAATGGTTGAGTTTACTCCTGCTCATCTGATTAAAGTGATCAGTAAGGTTAAACTACTCTCCACCAGTCTTCTAGCACTATCCCTGTCCCTCTTCATAGTGGAGCTCTACTCTATTACACAACCAATCGGATACTTGTACACCTTTAACGTAAGTAAATACTATGGACTTAATGGGAGTGTTTGCGAAATGTAAAAGTGGGTTAATACGAACGGTAACTAAAATTTAGATCTGCCGGTAAAGTCACAGTTCTAAAAGATTTTTTTTTGTAGTGAGGAAAAAAAATTATTGCCCAATTCACCCAGTTAGTTATCCACTTTATCGGAATGTTAACATTTGGAACCTTGCAATTATTCCCTTTCGACACGAAAGGTTGTTTTCTAAACTCTGGACACCTCGGCTAGTTATTTTAAAATCGGACAACCTTATTGCGACACTGTAATAGCAAAAAAATGTCGTGCTAGTCTCAATTTGATTTTGGATAAACTGTAACACCGTCAGTTTGATGTTATTTCTCTGATTTTGAGGGCAAATAAAAGGCTTTTTTTGTCAAAAGATTTGCTGCTGTCAAATTTGTCAAGAATTAGGTTATCTGTAATTATTTGTTCATGAATAAATCAAATTGACGTGGTAATGATGGTCGTGTCTTTAATTTGTCAATAGGCGATAATTATCAAGTTTTATTGGTCGATTTTTTCCTTAAAGTTTGTCAACTATTTTGATTTACGTATAATTAGAACTGCAAGAAGAAGGGACCCAGAAATGCTAGGTTTTATATTGATTTAAGGCCTTGTTTTTAAAAATTCTGTTAGAATTTGTCTTCAAGACAAAGCTGTCACTAAAATAAGACTGGCGTTACATTAATAATTAAGTCAATTCCGGTCTAACTTCAGAGTTGAGACTAAGGAAGTAGACTCATGAGACTCAAGACTAGGTTTTTAATCATGGCCTCTGAACATATTGAACTTGCTATTTTATCTTACTTGTGAGTGAATATTAATGGCCACATTGACTAATGAAATCTTGCAGTATTACGCTTTTAGGATCCTTTGTACCCTGTTTCCAGTTACAGTTCTAGCTTTTAATTGTTGATTTTCAAGTCGCTATTTTGTTATTGTACTTCTGTAAACAAATATTTTAGCGGAAATTTCTGTTTAAATTAGTGAATTTTCAAAAATCGAAAATTTTTCCGGGGCCATTGGAGTTACGACAAAAACTGTGGGGTCCGATCGGTTCAGCTGTTAAATATTTATATAGATTGAATTTGTTTCCATTAGACGGTGACTGGAATTGGTATAGGAGTGAGTGTGATTCAAGCTCTTCTTAGTGTAACCATCATCTTCATGGCGTTTCAGTTCAAGACATACGATACAAAGGCTAGGTTGGTTACTCCCATTCCTTTCAGTAGGACAAATCGCCGAAGTTTTCACAAATTAGCAAATAGTGATGGGAAATAACTTGGTTCGTTTTTCTAGAACTTTTAAGGTTTTTGGACTTTAAAAGGCACTACACAAATACTGTCACTATTTCTGTAAAAAATTCGCTTTTATTTAATTACGCAAAATTTTTATCCAAACAGAAAATAACACCATTTTTTCACATAAAATCGGCCATTTTCCCCAAATGACCCCAATAGTTATTATGCGCCGAAAAAAAAATACTATCATTTTCTGCGCCTCGTGCTCAACTTCATTCAAAATATAGTAATAGATATTTTTAAGAACTTAAAGTAAAGTACGAATCCCAAGTAAGCAAGGATTTCATAGAATAACTGTACTGACAAATTATCAAGTCCAGCTTTTTTGCCGGTGCTAACATACTCGACCAAAAATAAGTTCCCTAGGTACCAAATATGCTTTTTAAAATACATCCTTCTAGGGATTCTTATGCAGATTCAGGTTTGATTCTGTATCCTTGACCGATAGGAATCATATAGCTTTTATGATTAACACTTTCTTTTAGTCAAAATTCTCTTTGCTATTTTGCAGATTTTATTTAATAGCTCTAAACCGCCTTGAGGCATGTCATTATAGCTTGTCTTATAATTTAAATTTCTTAGTAACACTGATTATATTTTATGGGGGATTATCCCTGCTCCGTGAACAATGAATTGGTTCTTTTTCTTGACGGCATTGACGTAAAGTTAAAAATGTTTAATTTGTTTCTACACATTATTCTTAATTAAACATATTTTTCAATATTTAGAGAGTTCTACTCCTCTTCGAGCAATAGACTGTTTATATCCTGTATCCTGGGTTGCTTCATGGTCTTCATGAACATAGTATTCTCAACTGGAAACTATCTCACAGAAAATTATAGCCCAAGAATAGAAACAATCAATAGTTATAGTTACTCACCAGAAACCGATAAGGTGAGATGAATCAATTTGATTTGGTAATTTCCTAGAACATAACTCCTATTTATGAATCAATGAAAATCATTGGAAAACCGTAAAATTAGTTTTAAAGTTGCTATTTCTCTGAACCAATCTATATCTTCAGAAAACCATTGGAGGAGCAAGAGCAGCCATTCTTTGTCTGGAGATTGCTCTAGGTTCCAGTCTCTCTACACTTTGCTTCCATTACAAGAATATTACACAGGTTACTAAATTCTTTTTTAACTGTTAAATCAGTGCTTAGATTCATTCCATTTAAATGTGGATCTGTCTCATGAAAATTTAATCTGGATCCAACGTGATATTTATTTCAGTAAATAATTGTTGGTTCTGAAACAATGTTGACTTTTAAGAGACCGAGTAGTTTTACCGACTACGTTTGATTCTTCCAAAAATGCTATATTATTAAAAGCCTAAATGATAAGATCCTCCATTGTTGAAAGGGGATTGGGGGAAAGGGTTATAGTGATTAGTTTTCAGAAAATTCTATTCCGCTTGTTATATATGTTTATCCAGGCTGCAGGATTGGAGATGGATGAAGAAACCCAACCTGAACTAGCTCTCAAACCGGTAAGTCATGATAAAGCTTCTTGTTTCATCTTTCTCAAAACAGAGAATAAAAAATACATTTATTTATTCCAGGATAAAACTAACTATATATTCAATACTTATTTTAATTTAATAATCCACAATCTCATCTCCGCCCTCGTCCACCTCTTCCAGTGTATCAAGGTCTTCAACCTTCATCGCTGGTTTCTTCTTGATCCACCAGGACCTCTTCCCCATCTTGTTCACAGGGGTTTCCTTCACCCCTGGAACATTAAAAATAAAAGCTTGGGGAAATTATTCCTAGAAATTATGCAGTAAGGGAAATTAAGCTTTTACCAAAGATTCGGATTGTTAAACTTTAACTGGATAGAATGTTTCTCCTCTTTTTTTATCCAAAATATCATTAACGTTCCCTTTCAAATCATCTTTTATCTTCAAGGCCGGATGGGGAATTATTTTTTTTCAATGTTTTCCAGAATTTATTTTTTTTATTCCAGTTTTTTTTACAAATTACCTTTAGATTTTTTTATCAAGTATTTTTTCCTTGTCTGCTCATTTTCTGCCATTCCGGTTTGTTCAGCCATCCACATTACCTTGATCTTAATCTGATAAAGATCAATTTATTAGTTTCTTCACAGTTGCCCAAGTATTTTTATATGTATCTCGAAAAAATAAATTCTTTCTAAAAATTTATTTACATAACCTGTTCAGATGCCAAATTTATTCCCATTGAAATAAGAGCCAGTCCCATCAAACAGTACAATGTTGTAAATGTCATTTTTATGAATTGATTAAGAGTTAATTCTCCAGTAAAACTGCTGCCAGGAACATAATCACCGAATCCTGTATAAGTGAAGTGAAGTGAAATAAGATTAGATTTAAATCAGTTGTTCAGAGGCGGAAACAGGGGGGGGGGGGCTATGGTTTCCAAGGGGGTTTCAGGTCCCAACGGTAACTAAACCCTCCTTGGAAAGAAGAAAAAATAAAGGGCCCCCCTCCTTAGACAAATTCCTGGGTACGTTCCTGGAGTTTTTCCTAAGATTGAAATAAAACTGACAATATGAGTTAAGTTAAAGACAGTCAGTTTTTGAATATACTTTGTATTAACAGGGCAAATCAAAGTTGACGAACTCAAGGAATCAGCAAAAAATATTAAGTAGATAAAAACAATGTTGTTTGTTGATATAGCAAAAAAAATATTAGAAAATTACATTTTTTACGAAGCTTACCATCCACAGATGTCAAGTCATATAAAATGCTAACAATGTTGGCCGGGTTTATTAAGAATTGAACCTTATTTATCATGGGCTGAAAATGTATGGTTTATATTTAATCACAACTCGAAATAGTGTTAAAAAAACTTTACCTATAGTAGTCAGTGTTATGAATGCAAAGTAGCAAGAACTAGGGAAGTCCCAGTCCTCCCAAACAGAGAACACATACGCACCAAACACAATGTAGGAGCCCATAAACACTGCAATAGTTTGCGGTAATCAGAAGTTGAATAACTTCTTATGGTGATTCATAAATCATTCTAGAATGCTATGTTTGCAATTTTGAACCATGTTTCTAAAATCTATTCAAGAACAACATTTTCATTTAATGTTCAATGTGTATGGAGCTGTAGCAATCCCCTTTTTATCTGTAAAACTTTTATTTTTGAAACTAAAGCCTTGATGTTTTTTACTTTTAAATTTCAGATTTATAAAAATTTTAGATTTATTTAGCATTTTATACAATTGTAAATTATCTTACGTAGTGAAATGATGATCGGAACATTTATTTCGTCTGAGGGCATGTAATCTTCGTTCCCCACAATATCATTTGATATCTTGTTGCTTGGGGTATACTGAAAACAAATTAGTTATACTTTGCTAAAATATATTTGTAAATGACAAGCTACCTTATCTTCCAACTCTGAGTAGCGTCTTCTAACTCTACACATTCGGCAAGCAATTCGTGAGTAAGTTCTCTTTGTAAGATCGGCCATGAAGTCACCTCAGTCAAACAAAATTAGTTCTCTTCAATGTATTTATATATAGATATGACTTAATTACATGAAGTATTGAATTACTCCAAGGCATGGGAAAATCTGACGTTTTAGTAAAATATAAACCCTTATGTGAAGTTACATCTGCTTGTTTTAATATTTAAATTTTAATAAGTGTCCACCTATATTTGCCAGAAACACCATCATGAGGGGAAGCCCAAAAATGCTGTAGAGGATTAACATCAGCTTACCCATAAAGGTTCTAAATAATTGATTTGCAAGATCAAATTAATAAGGGGGTATTTCTGGGACCAAATGTAGGAACTTTTGTGTTGTTAATCCCTTTACAAAACATCAACATAAATCCGTAACTCTTGTGATATATTTCTTCCATATAAAGGTTATTAATTATGAGAAATTAGAGAGACAATAAAAGAAAAATTTGAAAGAATGTATTTTATTGACTTAGAGCTCCAAACTTTAGTTTGTTAATTTCTTCTTAAAACACCAATCTGAATTTTTTGTGGTCAGATCTTTTAAGGTTAGCCATTTTTTACAGATAAAGCACTAAGTGCCTTCAAATAAAAATTCTTTTAACTATGTAGAGTTTGATTTTAGGAATAAAATATAAGAGACCTAAGGTTTCCGCTTTTTGACATCTAGTCCAAAACTTGAATAATTTTGACAAGTTTTAGAATTTGACCTTGTATTTTGCGTAAACTATTTAATATTTGACAAGAAATAAACGAATGAGAGACTATAATAAACCTTACTTAGGGCAAATATGTCCATAGCCTATAAGAGTGAGAGTAGTAAGGGTAAAAAGCATGGAGTTAGTTACACTCCAGTTGTCATGCCATTCAGTCCCAGGTCCTGAATTAATAAGTCTTAAAATTATAAAGGTTTGCGACTTTTCTAGAGCCATTTTAAGATTTACAATAGAAGAAAATGCTGGCCAACTTTTAAAAACAGTTTATATAAGCTATGGGAATAAGAGGGTGTTAGGTAGCACTTTTTTTTACAAACCTTCATACCCGTACTCGCTGGTTAAAAACAGAATCTGATCAATTGTTTTCCTTAAACTATCTTCAGCCTCGGCATAATATCTAAATAATATCTAAATAGTATCTAAATAATATCTAAATGATATCTAAATAATGTCTAAATAATTTCTAAATAATATCTAAATAATATCTAAATAATTTCTAAATATTATTTAAATAATGTCTAAATATTATCTAAATAATGTCTAAATAATATCTAAAGAATATCTAAATAATATCTAAATAATATCTAAAGAATACCTAAATAATTTCTAAACAATATCTAAATAATATCTAAATAATATCTAAAGAATATCTAAAGAATATCTAAATAATATCTAAAAATTCACAACGGTACACTTAGAACCTTTCTCTGATCAAGCTTAAAATGATTATTTTTCTTTTTGGTTTATGCTGCAAAAACAGTTCAGGAATATTAAAACTTCTTTCGATAAAAAAAATTACTATTTCTTCTTTACTGTTCAACTCAATTTTAAAGTTTTGAAGGACATCATTGTGACTGTGAATAAGACATGCCATTTTTTATGTGGAGAGTAACTTGAATTGCTTGTTCCTCTAGTTCCTGTTAAGAAAGGTTCTATTAAAAGGATAACAAGAGAAATAAATGCTGAAAGACGATCAGAACAAAGGAAAGATAAAAATTGATATTTTCATGAATTTCTGAATTGTTGGACAAATCATTAAAATTTGTATTTGATGATTGAACTTAAAACCATGAATAACGTTTTGTATTTGATAAATGACATTTTGGTATTTCACTTATTTTTCTTTGTTGAATAAAAAAGCTATGTTTATTCCGTAAAAATGTAACTCTATTGATCTTGATCATTAAAGTCAGGTTTATAATTCCTACCTGCTTCTTAACTCCTTTATGCAAATACAAAATGGATCTTCAAACGCCAAAGCAGGACAAGCCTAGAAAATTTTGATTATCTCTACATTTTTAAAATTTATTATGTATTTTTTTTTAAATTTTGAACTCCAGTGACTAGGATCCGGATTCAATAGTTATAGAGTTTTAAGAGTAAAAAAAAGAACATTTTAGGAATTTGTTCAGGTAATAGAAATTGGCAAATTTTTTAAGAAACCATAATGAGCTGGATATGAATCAGTATCTGTTTCGATCTAATGTGAGAATAAACTTCCTTAGCGTAATTTTCATGGTATGAGTAGTAAGGGCTGGAGAGGAAGGTAGTGCAATTATCCATATCAACCTTGTTCTCATGGTGCAGACCTAAAATTAAAGGGAAGGTTGTCGTATTTTCAAGTGACCATTCATTTTAAAAAAAGGGTGGCATGGCCTATTCACAGCAGTACCATTTAAACCCCTATCTGAATTAGAATGAATAATTAATACTATACTTTTTATAAAATTTATTATTTCCTTTCTGGTTTCTATTTAGAAGTAAGAGAAACAACGAAGGAACAGTCAGAATAAACCACTTTTAAAGTGGGAAAATTTATCAGATATAGGGGTTAAGGTACTGTAGTGAGTTGATTATGCCGCTGTATAAATGGAGGATTACTTGAAATTGCAACAACAGTTGACTTTAAGATATAAATATTGAGGGGGGGGGGGGGTTAACCTGTCAGAAATGGGCTCAACCCCCTATACGCCCCTGGTTTTCTTACAATAGCAGTAATGAACATTTAATTTCCGTTTAATTTCTAGCGGATATTGGTTTTAACAAACCTCCTATGTAAATTCATTATTTTCAGATATTGATCCCCGCCAATATGGCGGATGGTGTGGATATAGATCTGTACGCGGATGTGGAACAAGAGTTCCCAAACGATGATTTCTCACAAGAGAACACTGATCTCTATGACGACGTTATTACCGCTGGAACTAAGGAGGAAAAGAAGGACGTTACTCCCAGCAAAGATATTACTCTGAGTACTAAACCTGGTCCTGTCAAGAAGGGGGATCGTGTATTTCAACTCTATGTTGGAAATCTAACCTGGTGGACCACGGACCAAGATATCCAGGATGCAGTTCAAAGCCTTGGAGTTCCAGACTTTGTCGAGGTCAAGTTCTACGAGAATCGAGCTAACGGTCAGAGTAAAGGGTTCTGCTGTATCTCTATTGGAAGTGAAGGAAGCTCCAAGAAGATAATGGAGAACCTTGCCAAGAAGGAGATGCATGGACAAAACCCTGTTGTCACCTACGCTACGAAACAAGCGTTGTCCCAATTTGAGTCTCAGTCGAAAACTCGTCCTCCCACACAGCCTCCTGCGGGGGCTAGACCTCCTCCTCCTGGTTTACCTCCTCCAAGTTTCCGACCTCAGGCAGGACGGCCAGGACCTCCAGGGCTACCTCCACCAGGTATGCCACCTCCCGGATACAGACAGCCTCCACCAGGTCTCCGAGGTCCTCCTCCCATCAGTCAACCACCTCCAGGACTTATGACAGTCCGAGGACCTCCTCCTGCAGTTCGTGGTCCTCCCCCTGGTCATCTCCCTCACGGTGTTCACGTAGGACCTCCTCCAGTCATGCATGGTCCTCCACCAGTTACTGGTCCTCCCCCAGGCTTAGCCGGTCGTCCGCCGCCAATCGCCGGTGTTCACGTCAATCCCGCATTTTTCCCCGGCGGAGCACCACTTGTCTACCATGAACCTCACGGTTTGTCGGAACCAGAGTTTGAGGAAATTATGTCAAGGAACCGTACTGTATCCAGCAGTGCAATAGCCCGTGCAGTACAGGACGCTGCCAACGGAGAATATGCGAGTGCCATCGAGACCCTGGTCACTGCTATATCTTTGATTAAGCAGAGTAAGGTTGCCAACGATGAGAGATGCAAGATCTTGATTACATCTCTACAGGATACACTGCACGGTATTGAGAGTAAGAGCTATGGATCCAGGGGACATCATTCAAGATCTCCGGACAGAAGACATCGATCCTACGGTCGCCATCATACTCCGGATCGTTACAGAGATAGATCTCCTAGGTATGACGATCGGTACCGAGAGCGATCTCGTAGTCGAGACAGGGAGCGCGATTATCGTCGAGATGATAAGTACTACGATGATAGATATCGTGGTAGGGAGAGAGAACGTCCAAGGGGAGACCCTGAGCGTGAGAGAGAACGAGAACGTGGTCCAGACCATCCTGAATCCAGTAGCAGGGTGATCAAGGAGGAACCTAGGGATCGGGAGAGGAGGGATGAACGTGTAGAACGGGAGAGGAGATAAATGATCTCCTAGATCAAATTTTACCCTTGATAATAATTCTTTAAAAACACGTGAAATAATATGATCCGAATGTTCCTTTTGTGTGGTTTCCATCCTCATTCAACTTAGGATGGATGCATCTTTCAAACAAAGAAGAAAATTCGCTTTTAGTGATTCGTTAATGTCAAAACTTAAAACAGATAATCCTGAAGAAAATTTAATCGATCGTTTAAAAGAACCTGCAGAAATCCCAACACCATTTCTTCTCTTAATTATTTTCTGTAATTCAATAAAGATGTGTTGATAACTATTGTTGTTTTCTCTGTACTAAAGCAGTGAAAGTAGAACGTAATTAAGTTTTCGTTGGTATTTTTACTGCTTTCTATATAATTTATTTTATTGTTTGTTGGGTTTTGGATTATTTTAATATTATGGGGGGGAAAATTAACGTATTTCTATGGAAGGGGGCTTATTTTCTTTGTGCCAGCAACGTCTGTGATATAAATGTGAAAAATCAGTACCTGTCATTACTCATTGTACCTGAAATTTTTTTAGTTTTACATTTGGTTATTTCAATTATTTATTCTTTAGAAGTTAAATAGTTTTACTGAAAGGCCCGCTAAACAAAAGTTATTTATCCACCTAAATAATAATTAAAGCCTTATATGACGAATGTAAAGGTTGTGTACATGTATGTATATATCATCATACTGCCGTACAACTGTACACCTGGGCTTGTCTGGGTCAACTATTATCATTTTACCGATTTTTAAACTTTGATTTCTCCTGTGAGGGATTTTTTTTAAATGCATGTCGTGTTGTAAACCTAGGCCTGTCTAGGTAACTATATCAACGGATACAGTAGTAAGCTACAAATATTGGAACAATTGTCGTCCTCTTTCTTTCTTAACCCTATGATTATTAGATTTTTTAATTGTCCTTATTTTTTAAAAATATGCCCTTATGCTCTATAAAAACTTGAAATTACTGACATTTCTTGATGAAAAAGAATGAAGAAAGACCGTAAGACGTCAATCATTCCAAAGTTTTTTGTTACTATTGTATATTTACATATGAGAGAAACGAGTGTGTATTTTTGTGAAATAACGAAACAGCTGTTTTCACAGATTTGTATCTCCTTCAATCAAAAGTTTCTATCTTGGTTATCGAGTTCCATGGTTTTATTTAAAAGTTCCGGTTTCTTATTATATTTAGCTTAGATCAAGAGACATGGTCAAATCTTGGAATTTATTGGGGTTTTATAATCTATACAATTTACAGCATACTCGCACATACTCAGATTCTTTTCTCATTGATATTTGTCATGGCATGCATTATATTTACGACCCCATTCTGAATATGAGGGTGTGGGGTGATTTGACGAAAATATTAGTATTATTTGCAGGGGTATATGTTTTCCTGAATTTTGGTTGATTTTTTAAAAACAAAGGTTTTCTACTGGTACCATTGTGTTCATATGGTTCAGACAATTTTCTACTTTTCTGTTGGAAAATATAACAAAATTGGGACAAAGAGTTATTTTGTTATGGGGTGGAAAATATATATCCTTGAGTTATTATAAGGATACTACCACTTGTTTATGAAATTATTATGTCTGTACACTCGGGTTTTGTCCGAGTAGATGGAGTTAAAGAGATAGAGAGTTAAACCTGGGGTTCATCGCTATACTCTAATATAGAGATGAAACCCTGGACGGATATAAGAAACCTGTGGTTTCATCGGTTGTTTCTAATTTACATTTGAACCCCTGGACAGAATCTGTAAACCTGGAGTTTCATCCGTATACTCTAGTTTAAGAGATAAAAGCCTGGACAGAATCTGTTAACCTAGGGTTTCATTCATTACTCTAGTTAAGAGATGAAACCCTGGATGGATCTGTAAACTTGTGGTTTCATTTGCATACTCTAGTATAGAGAAGAAACCCTGTATGGAATCTGTAATCCTGGGGATTCATCTGTATATTCAAGTATAGAGATATAATCTGTAAACCCGGGGTTTCTTTGGTATACTCTAGTATAGAAGAAACCCTGGATGGAATCTGTAAACTTTGGTATGCCTGGGTAAACCCAATTGGTAAGAGATATATATATTTATAAAATTGAAATGAAATCTTTAAGTCTAGAGGTTTGTCTGAGTAAACCCAATTGGTAAGATATTTATATTTATATATATTTATGAAGCTGAATTGAGATTTGTAAACCTAGGTTTGTCTGGGTAAAGCCAATTAGTGGGTATGCATACTTATAAAGTTGAACCAAATGTGTCTTAAAAGAATTCTGATTCTACGACTTAAAATCTTCTTTGTTGAGTAAATTGTCTTCCGAATCAAAGGCTTTATGTACATTGTACATCTAATCGATTACTATTTTTGAGTTGAAGATTTTTAACTTTAAATAACTCCAGGTAGGAGTAGTTGTAAGCTCAGTTCTAGTATTCCTAAAATGTAAATAAGATTTTTTTTTTCTTTGAAGCAAACTATAATCAATAATCTTATTTGTATCCTTCACACACACAAAAATATAGTATTAATATCTGGTGAAAAGAAATACTCAATCATGATTGTTACATTTAAAAACTTAAAAATTACGGGGGGAAAAATTTAAATGTTGACCCATGGTTTTTATGCAATTTTTTTCTTTCTTTACAATTAAACTTTCTTGTAAAAGCCGTGTGAATTCTGATGCCCCCCCCCCCCCAGTGCTCTTTAGAATCCATTTAATCTTGATTCGGATCTGGGTCATGAAAATTTATCTTTAGTTATTTTTATGCTAAAAGTTAATGAACCAATTAGATATAAGGACATTTTTTAAACAGTTCAAATTTGAGTTTTGAGAGCCATCGTTTTTGTTGCAGCTTTTGTTGGATATTTTGACCCTTTGATCCGGATCCGTGGATCCTTATATTTTTGCGGATCCGGATCGAATAAGCCTAAATGTTGCGGATCCAACAGATCCGGATCCTCAGCACTGCTCATAAATATATTGATATAATCGAATTGTTGAATTTCTATGTTTTTTCCTCATAAAAATGCTCCATTTCGTTTTGATCCGGATCCAGCTTAAAAAACATCAAAGTTTTGTTAATTTCTAATTTCTTCTTTAGAAACTAATCTTCTGATAGAAACTTGATTTACTAATCTATTATATCTTAAAGATATATCTCTAGAAAGTTTTTTTTATGTTTTGCTTGAATGTTCCACCCGAGTACATAACTTTGCTGATCCGGATCTGCAAGGAGTATAAACAAGGAAGTTACGAATTTCCAGGGGGAGGGTTTGCAAAAAATCTGTCTCAAATCTTGTAACGTCTATGAATATTAAATTACAAAACTATTTATTTTGTACAGGGTGTCCCACATCATGTTAAATCGTCAATGGGTCTAAATTACGATTTTCGGGACTAATGAAAAAATAAGAAGATTGAATTATTTTGAAAAAATTGAAAAAGGCCAATATAAAAATATTCTTGCAAAAAATGCTAGGCTCTTCGAGTATTACGTGTTCGATTTGACGTCAAAGCTTGGAGATAATCTAATATGATATGGGACGCTCTGTAAATGATAAATAATAATATCAATGAAGAGTTACATGAAATCACGTTGACAGTTTTTAACTAATATTTTTTTCAGGGAGATTATGTACGAAGAAGTTCCGTTTCAGTTTTCCAAAACCCTGGAACCAGTCTACAACAACGTATAATCTAGTTTCAAGAATATGTTGCTCCGATTTCCGAACTTTCGGTGAAGTCGTCTTTGTTCTGGAAGCCTCATTCCGATCCATCCAACATGGCGACTAGTTTGTCGGCATTGTTTATTGTTTAAACAAATGTAGTTATTCTTGTGAAAATTCATCCTATATCGTGTCAACATCTCAGTTTTTGTACAGTTTTTTTTATTGAACTTCTTATTTCGGATTTGCCGAAAGTGTTAAACTAATTTTAGTTGTGAAGATTTCAGTAATTAATTTAAGTTCACAGCGGCCAAAGTTTAAGTTCATATCTTATTGTTAGTTTTTATTCATTTTGTTATTGAATGTTATTGTACACTTTTAAATCAGAGGCGTTTATAGGAGGGGGGGGGGGGTTAACACATGGTAGAACTTATCTTTAAAATTTTCATATTTTGAGTGGGGAAATTTTTCTGTTTTCTGTTCTACCTGCCAAATAATCAGCAATAAACACCATACTAGCATTCATCCTGTCAGACTCATCCAGCATTATCTGTAGGGAAGAAGTATGTTTTATTAAAGGGATTGTGAACTTATTTGTAAACTAGCTTTGAGAACCCAGCGTTGTCGAGGTACTCAAAGTTACTCCCTCCGTTTACCCGCGTTTAGTTGTAAATCAAGATTTTAGCGATTTTTCCCTTTGAAAAGGGACCCACTCAACTAAGAATCTGAAAACTAAGAACCAGCTAAGAACACTCCCTTGGTTCTTCCGAGTTCCTTGATAAAAATTTGAGGCAAACCAGTTAAGGGGTTCATGGGTTATGATCGTACATACAAACAAACAAACATATGTAGATTACAACTTTATAGGAGATACACATAACATCAGTATTTTTGGATTTAAAAAAGAACTTAGTCAGTCTTGTCGCGTAAATGGATGGCCCTGAATATCTAATCCCATATCTGTCGTAGACCTTAGATATTTCAAACTATGAATTTCTGTTAGATCAAATAATTTGAGTTTGTCAAATAAATAATTCCTTTGCATGGAAACCCAAATTTTCTGTCAAAATATCGATGATTTTGGCCTTTAAAAGCATAAAACTGGCTTAGTGATGTTGTTAATTCCTAAAATCATAAGTAATACTATGTTAATTTGCTAATAGTTGAGCAATCCCTTTAAATCTTACATTTTTCTGCTCTGTCTCGTAGGGTAGCTCCAGGTAGATGAATAGGTAAGCTCCGCCAACTACATACAGCATAAGAAGGACGAAGAGACCGAATGAATTTGTAATTAGATATTTCACAAAAGAACTAAATCTACACTTCTTTTTTTCTGTCTCCATTTTCAACACTTATTGTAATCTTTTGAAAAAGTAAAATTAAGTTTAAAAAATTTCAAGATTTTTGTAATTTGACTGTTGGAGACATTTTAGATTTGAAACTTACTGGTAGGTTTTAATATACATGGTGTCCCACGAAACATGACAGTATGCAAGACGACTTGAATATCGTCTTGGTTGTTGATATAATTTGCTGCATTTTTTTGTCAACCTAATTTTAGAAGTAAATTTCTAGAGATAATAATTACAATATTCTCCTTGTCCTGCCATTTCCAAAATGTGGTCTGCATTTTTTGTGCTTTCAATATTGCCCGAGATATGAGCAATTTCGTTCAGATTTCGACAATTTTGCTTTTATTTAACAAAATTGAGATCTGAACCAAACTCTTTATATCTCCGGTAATATTGAAAGCACAAAAAACGCAGACCACTTTTTGGAAACGCCAGGGCTAGGAGAATTATGTGATAATTGTTACGAGAATCATACATGTTAAAGTAGATAGAAGACTAAATGTCACAAATAAATTCAAATATCAAAGACGACTTTCAAGTCGTCTTGCTATTGTCATGTTTAATGGGACACCCTGTATCAGGAAAAATTGCGGTTTTTTTGGGTGAAAATGGAAATTGATTTTGAATTTATAGCACCGTTTCTATGTTCTTCTTGATCAGAGGAAGAAATCAAAATTATAAAAATAAACCGGCAAAAATCTACTAAAGCAGTCACGGTAATAAACAGCTAACAAATTTGGATAAAAGCAAGGCAACAGTTCAAGCATACAATTTTTTTAATAAAAAAAATAATTTAATTTTTTTTCAAAATATTTACATCGCATGGTCAATTTTTGCATACGAAATCATCGGTAATGAAAATATATATTTAAATATATAAAATAATAGTTTGTTTCATAGATTGCTCTATTTTTTTGCTTTAATTTGAAGTGTGCTATATAATATGTAAATGGAATGGTTTAAACGGAGGACTGAACAGAAAATAAAGCAAAGCAGAACTTTCAAATAATTACGTAAGTAGTCAACGATACCACCCCCTGCTACCGTGTTACATAGGAACAAGGATCAACATACACATATAACCCCTGTCCTCCAATCCTGCATCAAATATTCATAGATTCAAACTCAACCTATCTATTATTCATAGATTCAAACTCAACCTTATAAACTTCACTTTGGAAAAACTATTTTTTTTAAATATAATTTAATTTGAATTTACCGATTGAAAATTATTTGAACTTTTAGCTAATGTTCCAAAGTTTAAAGTGCTTAGAAATGAAGAAATCTTAGTATATTTTATTACCCACAACGCATGAGACTTTTTTGACGACCTAAAGTATATTTCTGTAGAGAACTGTGTTTAGATCATTTGTACATAAATCTTACGTAATAACTCAAGATAATATATCTTAACACATAGTTATCAAAGGTTAAAAAAATAAGTATTATAAATTAGATTAACAGTCGGAAGGTTGAATAAGTCTTCTATTGGTATTCTCAATTATTTGGAAGAAAAAGTATACAGCTATAAATGAAAGAAATATGACTGGATTCATATTATATACTGGGTTGCCAATAAAGGATGAGACTGTAAGCTTGAAACTCTAAAGTTATTACGATCCCAAGGTTAGATTGTATGTTCTGCTTTAAAGGGAGTGTTCGCGAAAAATGAAAGGGGGTATAGGCTTAATGCGATAAAAAAGCGCTTTTGATCGCTACTAATCTTACTTCTATCTGTTGCGTCTATAAGGAGAAAAAACGACTAATAACGAATAACTTAGTATCCATACAAATTCAGAAAGATGCAACATACGACTTAGACCGTAAAAAGATCTATTTAATTTCAAACAAATCATTTAGATATTACAAGCTATGGTCATCGATTATCTTCGCCACATCTGTATATAGTTGATTTTTCATAATTTGCTCTGATTTTATTTTAAAAAATAATATTTATCTTACAACTTGTTTTCGAACATTCCTGGAAAATATGAAAATGTCGTCTTCATTACCAAAAATCCTCGAAACAGGAATAAATGTTTTTATAAGTAACTCTCAGATCATAACAATTAAAATATAGTACGAAAATTCAACTATATACAAATGTGGCAAAAGATAATCGATGACTAAAGGTTGTAATATCTGAATGATTTGTTTGAAATTAAATTGATTTTTTACGGTCTAAGTCGTATGTTGCATCTTTCTGAATTTGTATGGACACTACGTTCTTCAGTATTAGTCGTTTTTAACAATTTTCTCCTTATAGACGCAACAGATAGAAGTAAGATTAGTAGCGATCAACAGCGCTTTTTTATCGCATTAAGCCTATACCCCCTTTCATTTTTCGCGAACACTCCCTTTAATATTGTCTATTTAATAGCTTATTAAATGATTGATAGAGCAAAGAAAGAAATAAGTTGATAGTTGCTGCAGGAAATCATGAAGAAAGGGAATATATACAGTTTTGATTCTGTAAAGTCGTCAGTGATGTCTCCTCTTTTGTGGGTAACCATGTATGTATATCGACTAATGAGTAACTCTTTTTTGAGTAATCCTTATACTTGATAATGGTTTCTAGGGGTTGTATTTTAAACAAACCAAGAAATGGTGCACTCGTAGAAAGATAGATTTATTGTAAACATTTCTGTCAAGTTCTGAAGAAAAAAAATCAAGTCCAATCGGTGTTAATTACCATTGTTATATTCTCTAGATCATCAAGATTGGAGCTAAGCTGCCCCCTGGTATCTCTGGTATCCCTCCTCCACCCCCTCCACCAGCCCGTCCTGCTAAACTCTTGGAGACTGGGGAGGAGGGAGACAGTAACAGGAAGAAACCTTCTGCACCTACCAGGTCAAATATTTTAATGTTCATAATGAAAACGTTCATCATGAAAATAGGTGGGGTAATTAAGATGTCCCCTCAAACTCTAAATCTTCTAATTCCAAATTAAGCTTTGTAACCCGATTATGTAAACCTTCAATAATTTAAACCTCGATTTGTTGATCTAACGTAAGTCAAAGTTTAAAAATTAAGAATTCCAAAAAAGAGATAGATTTCTTACAGTTTTCAAGTGGGATTAGGCAACTTTTTTGGGATTCTTTAGTTCTTTTGGGTTGAAATAATAAGAGTTGCGGGTTTTGTGACGCCCTCTCCCCCCCAGTGCTCTTTAGAATCCATTTAATCTTGATTCGGATCTGGGTCATGAAAATTTATCTTTAGTTATTTTTATGCTAAAAGTTAATGAACCAATTAGATATAAGGACATTTTTTAAACAGTTCAAATTTGAGTTTTGAGAGCCATCGTTTTTGTTGCAGCTTTTGTTGGATATTTTGACCCTTTGATCCGGATCCGTGGATCCTTATATTTTTGCGGATCCGGATCGAATAAGCCTAAATGTTGCGGATCCAACAGATCCGGATCCTCAGCACTGCTCATAAATATATTGATATAATCGAATTGTTGAATTTCTATGTTTTTTCCTCATAAAAATGCTCCATTTCGTTTTGATCCGGATCCAGCTTAAAAAACATCAAAGTTTTGTTAATTTCTAATTTCTTCTTTAGAAACTAATCTTCTGATAGAAACTTGATTTACTAATCTATTATATCTTAAAGATATATCTCTAGAAAGTTTTTTTTATGTTTTGCTTGAATGTTCCACCCGAGTACATAACTTTGCTGATCCGGATCTGCAAGGAGCTAACATGTTGTTGATCTGAAGTATCTATATCCTAGCATTTCCTAATAACTATCTGTATTATCTCTGTATTTTTCAACAAATCTTCAAATGATACCCATAATAATGGGGTTAGGTATATTTTATTTTTGGATTTAGTTTTAATATGATCAATGTAGTAGCCTCTAGATACCGAGAAAATCAAATACAGTTTTTTATTCTAATTTTTCATTTCTGTTTCTGGTGAAAATTGTTTAAAACATTAAAGGGACTGTAAAGGAAAAATGAAAGGGGGTATAGGATAAAACCTAAGAATCTCAGGCGTTAATCGATATATATCGGATGTTCCTGTCTCGAGAAATTGGAATAAAACTGTGTCAAATTTATACGAAAATTTATATATATGCAATTTGTATAAGTATTAAACAGATCATATTCAACAAATACGCAAGCAATTTAAAAACGACGATATCCCACAGGTGCCTGAGAATCTCAGGTTTGCTCCTATTATAATTTTTTAATTTTTATTTTGCATTTTTGATAGATATAATTGATGATGTAATTACATGTAGTCCGTATTACGTCACCAGAACTTCAGTCAATGGAAGTGCAGTATCGTTGTCACGTGATACATACGGTAATCACGTGACCAGTATACTGCACTGCCATTTGCTGAAGTTCTGGTGACGTAATACAGACTATATGTAATAATATTATCAATAATATCATCTTTAAATGCAAAATAAAAGTAAAAAATAATAGTTGGAGCAAACCTGAGATTCTCAGGCTCCTGTGGGATATCGTAATTTTCAGATTGATTACGTATTTGTTGAATATGATCTGTTTAATACTACAACTTTAATACAAAATTGCATATATACGAATTTTCGTATAAATTTGACACAGTTTTATATCAATTTCTCGAGACTGGAACATCAGATAGACGTTTTATATGTATCGTTCAACTCCCGAGATTCTCAGGTTTCAGCCTTTACCCCCTTTCATTTTTATTTTTCCTTTACAGTCCCTTTAAGTGAATATTTAAAACTTAAAATTTTTCAAGAAATGACAGTTTTTCATTTTTAGTCGCAGTAACGAGTGTTTTTTCCATTGACCCTTTAGATGAAAACAATTGAATTCATATATGTATGCTTAATAGGATTTGTGTCTGTGAAATAACAATAATCAAAAGTATTTCAGCAAAATGTATTTTTAATGTTCATAAAAACTAGAAACTGTGTTTTTGTATCATTAGCTCAATTTCACGCACAGTTCGTCCTAGCAAATATAAACTGGGACAATCTTGACGAAATTACTATTTACCTTTTTAAATTTTTTATTTGTTTAATCTTTCACTTATATTAAAACTTCAAACCAACTTATCCTATTAACTGTTAGAGAAAGCACCGTCCAATATTGTAAATTGTGCGTGAATTTGACTAAAATGTCTTCTCTTACTTATCTAAACTGCTCAATAATTCTGATATAACGAAACCTGTTATTATGTTAGAGAAAGCACCGTCCAATATTGTAAATTGTGCGTGAATTTGACTAAAATGTCTTCTCTTACTTATCTAAACTGCTCAATAATTCTGATATTACGAAACCTGTTATTATGTTGGATTTTAAAGGAATGAAATATAAAACTTTTTCTTCGTAACCTTTTCCTTAAAATTTACGAGCCTGCGACTTTTTAAATTCTTAAATTCCCTCCTGGCGTAAAGAATAAACTTTCTGTCATTAATACAGAGGGCGAAACTTTTGAATCTTCAGCCTATGATTTCACGGTTCATTTCTCCTTCAACGGTTCAAAATATGAAATGAAAATGAAAAAATGCTGAATCGCTGGATATCTCATTAGTGGCTAGAGATGGAAAACTTGCCCAGAGAAATCAATTTATATCGCAAATCTTAAATCAATTGATTTTTTATATCTTGAAGAGGGCTGTCCTAGAAAACGATTTTTGGACATGACCATTTATTTTTCAGCAAATTTATTATTATTTATTTTTATTGTTATTTAGGGTTAGGTTAGTTTAAGACACTTTCTGGGCCGAGCGCTGCGGCCACGGGTTAGGTTAGTTAAGACACTTTCTGGGCCGAGCACTGCGGCTAGGACAGGCCAAGGGGCCGATCGCTGCGGCCACGGGTTAGGTTAAGTTGAGACACAATTCCTGTCAGACCCATGTACAAAATTGATAGGAGGGGGAGGGGGTCCAAAAATCTTTCTCTAGGAATATACCTCCTGAAGTACAATTGATATCTCAAGTCTTAAAAGCAATTTATATCTCAAATCTTGAAGATCAATTAATATCTCAAATCTTATGGATCTATGATATCTCAAATTTTGAAGATTAGTATGATAACTTGTCTTGTAGATTACTTTCTATGATCTATCTCAAATCTTAACATGTTAATTGGCATTATAATCTAGTTGCGTTATGTTTTTGTTGAAACCGCCTTAATTGGTTTCCGATCTAATAATCGAGCAGTTTTCATCAAGGTATTGATTTTTCTTGCTACACAATAAAACTTCAGGCCTCTATCATGTCCTACCAACCCTGACTTTAGATCTATACATTTTTAGGTAGAATAGAAGTCATTTCCGTTGTTCGTTATGATTTCAGCATTAATAAATAGATTCAAGACTCATTTCTTTAAGGTACTTAAGAAGCAATTTCAAGTCTCTTCATTTAAATAGTTGCATAGTCAATCTACAACGGTGCTCCGTGCTATTTAAAAGATAGGAAATATTTTGTCATCAATGTAAAAATCTCGCAATTTCTTATATTGTCTCTGGAGCATAAATCTGCAAGTCGCTTTTACGGAGAACCCAAAATTGAATATAATCAATTTTTAGCTCAAAAAAAATACCTGATTTTAAATGGTATTGTATTGAATCAGACATGTTACAGTTTTAAATAGAGGGTCACTTATATTACGTCTTCGTTGGACCACGTTTTTGAGTAAAATGATGTATAGTCATTGAAGTTGATCACACAATACTAATCATCGACCGTAATTATTGGAAACAATTAAGATCAAAAAATAAAAGATTGATTTCTCATACTGGACCCAAATTTGAGACTGGAATTTTGTTATCCTTATTTCACGCTCAATTATTACCATATGTTACTCGAAATTAATGTGAGCGAAAAGTACAAAGTATAATTGGTATTTTCTTGCCACAGTCCTAAATTGAATTTTACCTTCTATAATCATATGATGAACTCCTACAGTATTACAAAGAGGTACACTATGTAAATGAGATTGCCAAAGTATCGTAGATCGGAAATGCTGTAGGACAGAAGTAACTTTACCTACTGAAATAAAGACCAAACAAAGTATTACATTACGATGAACACACTTAAATTTTTGACAGATGACTTTATTTATAGTTTTAAAAAATCCTATTCGGTCAAAATTTTGTAATTTATTCATATGTAAGTTTGATTTTTTTATCGACTGCCAGAATTAAGATTTATTGGAAATCCAACCATGAAAACAAAAAATCCTACAATTTTTTAAATTGCAATTTGTTTGTTAAATTTAATGTACAAAGGAATAAAGAGTCAAGGTAAATGAAATATAAAAGGACTAGAATCATATTAATTCCTTCATGGAGAAATGGAAAAAAAAGCTTAAGGTCGTCATTAAAGGGACTGAAAAGGAAAAAAGAAATGAGGTATAGGATAAAACCTGAGAATCTCAGGCGTTAAACGATACGTATAAGACATCTATCTGATGTCCCTGTCTCGAGAAATTGATATGAAAGTGTGTTAATTTTATACAAAAATTCATATATATGTAATTTTGTTTAAAAAAGCAGATATCTTACTAAAAATAAGCAACGCGCAATCTGAAAACGACAATATCACACAGGAGCCAGAGAATATCAGGTTTGCTTCTATTATAATTTTTTTGCATTTTTAATAAATATAATTGATAATATTATTACATATAGTCCCTATAGTCCATATTACATCAGCAGAGTTTCAGCCAATTGTAGTTCAGTGTATTGGTCACGTGATTTCCTTCTGTATCACGTGACAACGATACTGCACTGCCATTGGCGGAAGCTCTGGTGACGTAATACAGATAATATTATCAATAATATCTATTTCAAATGCAAAATAAAAATTATATTAGGAGCAAACCCGAGATTCTCAGACTCCTGTGGGACATCGTCGTTTTCAAATTGGTTGCGTAGTTGTTGAATAAGATCTGTTTAATACGGCAACTCTTATACAGAATTGCATATATATGAATTTTCGTATTGACACATTTCATATCAATTTCTGGAGAGAGGAACATCAGATAGATGTTTTATATGTATCGTGTATAATGCCTGAGATTCTCAGGTTTCATCCTAAACCCCCTTTCTTTTTTCCTTTACAGTCCCTTTAAATTCTCATTCTTTGCGGTTATTCCTGTGCTGAAGGTCATATTTGGTTAGTTTTAACAGTTCAAAATTTTAAAAATTAAACGCTTTTAGATAAAATGGGATTAGGTTTCAGTCGGCAGGGTGAAGAAGATGAGCCTGATGAGCCTGTAGTGGTCAATGATCATAACATTCAGATAGACGAAGATATAGATTCATTGGAGGTAAAATAAACTGACAGTGGTCCCCATAAAACTATGGAATACCCAAGGAATTCATAAGGCAGAGCAAGTTTGTCATTATGAAACTAATTAAGATTAAAGACTATCTTTGCTGCCTCTCCATTTGTCCGGGAAACACTGCATTTCAAGCTTATAAGCGTTTATTCAAACGTCGTTTTACTGGTAACTGAGATATTAACGTCATCAGTCGTGTAATTCTTCTTGTTTTAAGATACAGGGTTACCCACAAAGAATGAGACTGTAAAGAGGACTAGAAACCCTTGAAATTATGTATTCTGCCTTGGATATAGTTATCTAATATATTATTTAATGATTTGGTAAAGAAACAATAAAGTTTAAGGTTGCAGGGAATCGTGAATATAAGGAAACAGACGGATTAAATTCCGCACAATCCTCTCTGAAGTCTCATCCTTTGCGTGTAACCCTGTATATAAATCATTTTAACAAACAAGACAATTATGAAATTTTCCTCAGGAGTTCAAGAAGCAGGAGAGAGAGGAAGAAGAGGAATCAATTCAAGACATTTCTTTTGAGGACGTCGACAATATTAACACAGAGGTTGTAATTCTAAACACTGTTTCAATTCTTCGATGTCTTTTAATTCTTCAAAATTCTGATTGAAATATATGGATATCACGTCAAACTAAAGACAAATGCACGTTCCATCGAAATCTTACTGTTTCAAATCAGTACTATGTAGTTGAAGAGATATTGAGAAGAAGAAAAAAATAGTTTTGAAGTTATAAAACTTTATTTTTTTCATGATTGTTCATAAAATCAGAAATAGTAGACCCACAATATCATAAAAACGTACCAGTAATGTTACATTTTAACAAATTCATTTCTCATTTTATTTCTATTTAACGAGGAACATGTCTTCTGTGGAAAATTAACTTTTTTTTCATGAAATATCCAAATGCCGATGTACTGCGCCTCTGTAAATTAATGATCTAAAATTTAACTCTTTGATTATTTCACATTTTGTGACCTAAATGAAGAGAAATTTTAAGAAAGCTTTTGAGTTTTGATTTTCAGAGGCAAAAATATCCACGGTTTTGGATCCAAATTACAAAAAAAATGCGAAAACATAAAAAAATCCGCTCAAAATACAAATTTTTAGTTTCAATGAGAGATTATTAAAACATCCCTTATCATCGAAATGTTAAATCAAGCTTTAAAAATATCCAGACGCTGCGGATACGGATCTTTCTAGATTCGTCTGAAAATTTCAAATTATTGTTTGGCCAGGAGGAACCTAGTCCAGTGAGCTACCGAACCCTGGTATATATGGTTGTGTGGGCCTGCATGATGTTCTGGATGTTAACTCTGGGCTTCGTCATGATCACTGACAATACGGCAACCATTGGCGTTGATCTCAACACTTCAAACAGGAGATCTCATACCTTGGAGAACTTAAATAAGTTTATAGGAAAGTACTTCTTTTCATGATTATCGATAAATATACTTTTGTGAATGTACTTATTCACCTACATTCTAAATTTTTTGAGTTTATTCTGTACTAGTTCATCATATTATTAATTTTTATGATACTACAGTCGTCGTCGTATATATCAATAAAATGAAGACGACTTTTACATCAATTTAGATTTATACTAAGCTTTCTAACAACATGGATACTTTATAAACAAAGAGAAGCTGGCAATTAACCTTCTCTTTCTACACGGTTAACTTGTAGTGTAAAAAGCTTATTAGAAAAGGGGGGGGGGGCACGAAACCTATTACTCTCTAGAAAATTTAAACAGTGTATAAACATAACTTAGCTAGGACGCTGTTTTTTTTGCGTGCGAACCCAAAAATATGTATATTGCATGGAGTTTTTGGTTTGTAACGGATTTGAGCAAATGTGCGCGCGCGCTTTTTGTCAAAAAATCCTACTTTTATGGCAGTAAATCAATATTAATAGCATTGATTGCACTTGAACATCTATCCTAATACTCTTGAAACAAGTATTCGCTCATAAAATTTAACTCTAAAGCCAAAAATGTCCGCGCGCGCTAACAAAAAAAAAATTTAAATGCTGTTTGTCGTTTTCATTGTATTGATATAAACTATATATTGATTTGCTTTAACTAAAAATCCTTTGTTTTCCAACAAAAAATCAAGTTCAACGTTTTTATAAAACACATTTAAAATCCACAGCAAAGGAATTGAGTGTTGGCCATAAACTTTAATCTATATATAGGGAATAGGGATACGTACATAAATGTACACAACATATTAAATCTAATGTAAAATATATTTCAGGTTTGATTGGCTCCTTCATAATTGCTCCGCTACCGATGTTGTTTCCTCCTTTGTTTCGAAGACTACGGATGAGATTCTACGTGAGGATGATATTTGGCGCTGTGGTTATCCTCTTTTACCTGTTCACCTTCCTAACAGGTATTAATTAGATACTTTTTAGTGTTAAGCTAGCGTAGGAACAGAGCTTTGCCTGGAGAATAGAGATCTAATTAATTTTTCAACCCTAGCTTTAGTTAACAAATTCAAAGCAAATCAGTCAAGAGTTATAGCAGATATTGTTTATCGATCCTAGTTGTATCCTGGATACTCCTGGTTCAAGATTATATTAATTACCTATCCTAGTTGTATATCCTGGATACTCCTGGTTTAAGATTATATTGTTTATCTATCCTAGTTGTATATCCTGGATACTCCTGGTTCAAGATTATATTGTTTATATATCCTAGTTGTATCCTGGATACTCCTGGTTCAAGGTGAGAATATGAGAAGGTTGGCAACTACTATAATCCTAGAGTTATGTGGCTCAGGTAAAGAAAATGATAAATTAGAAGAAGGTTTAAAATTTTTGATTTTGGGGGACATAGTTTGGTTCGTTTGTGAAGATTTATAGACATTAAAGAGATCATCTCACTAATACTGTGAAGTTCCAGCATTTCAGAACTAAAATCTGCAAAGTTTGCTTCTATTCTAAGGAATTGAGTTTTTGCCACAATTTCCGATTTTCTAATCCCTTTATCTTTGCAACCCAATGTTGTAGAACTTTTATATTTCAAACTAAGTATTCTGTTAGATTAAATAACCCAAGTTTGAAATATCAAAGGTTTACACCATCATTCTGCAAAGATATAGGGATTCGAATATTCAAGTTTGTGGCAAAACTCAACTCCTTTGCAATATTTTTATCTAAAGAGAATAAAAGGGGAAAAATGGTTTTTTGTTCGTTTATTGCATATATTTTTTATTGGGGTAAAACTCTGGCGTAAAATAAAAAGCAAATGTTTAAGAATAAACAATTTTAATATTTGTAAAAACTGCTCCCTCATTATATCATTTATTGAACAAAGGTTATGTTTGGATTTAGTATTTTCAGTCAATTTTCCAGCTAACCCCAAAATGAAGAGATTCCTTAAAAAACGATTTAGGGATTGTTAGGATTTTGCTGAGATATTAGTATATCGCACTGATAAAGGAAATCACATTAAATTGCTTAAGGAAAATCCTACACATTATTAAGTAACTTTAGAAAAAGGTTTCTGATTAATGTAGTTATTTTAAGAGAATTGAGCATAACCAATTATTTAATTGATGCTTTAATTATTTTATTTTGTTCAGCCTGCGTTATCATCGGTTACTGTTCCATCTTAAGAGATGAATGGTTCCGGCACCAGAACTCGAGATACAGGTTCGAGAATACAGATGGAGGGTTCGAGTTCGAGCTTCTAGTTTTCATTGGAACTGTCATCATCTTTAGGAACAAAGAAATCAATCATTTTATCATACACTAGCTGAAGTGTTCCACTTTTGAAAAAAGAATCTATGGTGTTTTTTTAGCCTATGTCACCCCCTGGGTACCCGTGGATATCCTCAAAGAATGTTAGCCAATTTGGTTCAGGTGTTTGACCAGCTATAGCTGACAAATAAATATATATGCGCACGCGAAGAGCTTATGAGCTAAACCAAGAAGATTTCCGCGGATATACTGAGCTCCCAAATACAAATTTTAGAAAACCGAACCGCGACCGAACCGAACTCAACTGAACCGAACTCAACTCAACTCAACTCAACTCAACTCAACTCAACTCAACGGAACCGAACCGAACCGAACCTCTATTGTCACTACTTACTTTTATATACCATTATTATTATTATTTAATCTGATTTTTTTAAATTTTGAATTCAAACTTTGTAAAGTCTGGAGAGTGGACTTGTAGGAACTAAACATAGACATGAAGCAGATCTAGATCTGGTAAGATCATTTATCCATCGTTTAGAAAGTACCAATGTTTGAAATGTCGTCTGCTACGTTCAGTTTATTTGATTTATTGATTGGTAAAAATAGTTTTTTTGTTAAACTAAATATATCTGTTTGACTGTTGATTGAAATTGATTGGTTGACGGTTGTGTTTAGATAAAAAGTCCTTAAAGGGACTGAAAAAGCGTAATTTCAAGTGACCCTCTATGCAAAGATTCCCATGTCCGATTCACAACGGTACCCATAAAGCTTAGTCTGATAATTTACGAATTGTATGTCATTGTTTATAATTTTGAAAACTAATTATTTTCAATTGTGGTTTCTAACCAAAAGTGACTTGCGCATTCTACTGCAGGAAAATTTAAAATAACTAAACACTTTTAAACCTAGATAAAGGACAATATCTTCCACATTATTTCAAGAAAGGTTTCAAGGTTAGAAATTTGACATCATCTTTGCATGGAGAGTGTTATTAAACGGATTGCCCGTGAGCTGCAGAGCGTAGTTTTCTGACTTGTTTTTAAAAGAAAGCTGTCAAACATTTTAAAAAGTTTTTGAAAAATTTTATATTTTTCAAATCTGTAAAGATTTGCACATATGGGTAAATATAATTTATATATTCAAAGAAATTGCGTTTTTGTCACAAACTCTGTTAATCCCTATGTCTTTGTATCCCGATGTTAAAGACCTTTGATGTTTTAAAGTATGAATTCTGTTAGCATCATTAGTTGTCAAGATTATAAAATTTGAGATTGTGAAAAAAAAATCAATTCTTATTTCAATTTGTTATAATCATTTAACCATGGTTTATTTAGCAGGGGAAGGTTTCAACCCATTTTCAAAACATTCTTCCTTATTATCTTCAATGCTGGCTTTTTCTAATCTTTCTACAACACTACTCCAGGTACACTAGTGTTTTTATAAGAAGCAGGGAATTCGGTTCATAACCATCCTGTTCCTAGTATATTGTGTAGACCACTGTATAGTATATCTAACCTGTTCCTAGTATATTGTATAGACCACTGTATACTGTATAGTATATCTAACCTGTTCCTAGTATATTGTATAGACCACTGTATACTGTATAGTATATCTAACCTGTTCCTAGTATATTGTGTAGACCACTGTATACTGTATAGTATATCTAACCTGTTCCTAGTATATTGTGTAGACCACTGTATACTGTATAGTATATCTAACCTGTTCCTAGTATATTGTGTAGACCACTGTATACTGATATAGTATATCTAACCTGTTCCTAGTATATTGTGTAGACCACTGTATACTGTATAGTATATCTAACCTGTTCCTAGTATATTGTATAGACCACTGTATACTGTATAGTATATCTAACCTGTTCCTAGGTTCCATGTTGGTTGGTTTACGTATAGACGGTGTAGACTGGAAGTTGAGAGAGAACTCAACCTTGCTATGCTCAGGAAACATATTCAACATTATTCAGTGCTTAGCAAGGGTGGGCCATAAAAGAATTTATTCTGGAATATTCGACGGAGAAAATCTGATTTAGCGGTTTGTTTACATCTATGGTTTACATTAAATTATATTAGGATAATGCCGAAACAAAGATTTACAGTTTCGACGTGAGAGGGGGGTTGATAAATATTTAAAAATAATTTATTAATTTACCTCGCTCCATTTAACCTTATATGTGTAACTTTATAACTCTGGACTGCGACCAAGGTTTGAATACTGGGTTCAATTTCATATTTGTTTTCAAACAACCCACATACAATTGTACAGCAAACGAAAATTTGTTCATTGTTTAAATTACGGAATTTGGTGTATTCTGAGTACAAAATTCTCTTATCACCTTACCTTATCTTGTTGCTTAGCAAGGAGAATTGAATACAAGGAGGGGGCGATAAGGTTTCCGTACACTTTGCTGTGACGTTTTTGGACTGCTGAAGAACTAGTGTTTTTGCGTAACAACAATAATAAAGGCAGCCGATCTAATGTAAACAAACATGAGTTAGTATACGGTGAATCTTCATCTAACGCCAGAGATGCGCCAGATGTCTGATTACCATTTGTGTTAATGTTTACAATCTTTGTTATTGTTGTTACGCAAAAACTAGTTCTTCAGCAGTCCAAAAACGTCACAGCAAAGTGTACGGAAACCTTATCGCCCCCTCCTTCTATTCAATTCTCCTTGGTGCTTAGGATCCATTTTATTTTGATGCGGATCCGGACCCAGGTTATGAACATTTCTTAAAGATTATTGATTGACATCACTAGACAGTTCCGATTTTTATTCTTCTTTTTTCTCTTATTTATATGCTAAAACTTGATACACCATTTAGAGATTATATGGTTTTTAATAATCTCTTTTTTTAACATTTGAGATTTAGGTTTGAGAGCAAAAAGTTTCTTTTTACAGTTTTTGGTTGATATTTTGTCCCTAGGATCCGGATCCGTGGTTCCGCATATTTTTGCGGATCCGGATCCAGGAAGCCAAAATCTTGCGGACCAAATTCTAAGCACTGCTTCAGATTATGCCTTCATAAATACTCTATGTTTTTTAACACTTTTCTACAGAGATACCCATAAAGGATGAGATTCCGAACGATTAAGAAGTATGTTTTTAAATTTTGAGTGATAAGTTTATGATTTTGAATATGAAATGTCGGTTGCCGATTTTTTATTGATAAAAGGTGTTGAATATGAATTTTATTTAGTCCTATACAACAGAATATCCTACGGAAACAGCCTCTTACCAAACGAATTATTGAAGGCAGGAACATATTTATTTAAACCACCAGGTTGCGAGGATATAGGGATGGGGAAATTTTGACTAAAAGTCAATTCCTTTAATAGATATCGGAAACGAGTTCAATCATTTCTCTAGTGCGCTGGTTCAAGTAGTAGACTATAGGGGTTCAACTATGTCTACGTAGTACAACTTTTCATTAGTCCCAGAGATATCAGAGCTATAAATAACTAATAAATATGTTACCAAACAGGGATGCTCTCAGTTCCATTGTTTAGAAGAAGATTGTGATCATCTTAATCTGAAAACTCTTCTATAATCCTAATCCATTTCATGAGTGGATAAATTCATTAAGAGATCATATACCTTCTTGGTTTAAACATTTCTGTGCTTATGTTTTGCTCCGATAGGTTGTTATGCTAATGCTAGTTTATATTCTCTTTTTTATGAAGTTGAGCCAAGTCGCTGAACTTTCTACCGTTGATTCAAATGCCTGTATAGTTCTGGCAGTTTAGTTGTTTAGATAAGAACATGCAGACGAAAACTGAATCACCGATTCAAGATCCCATGCTCTATAGATGATAACTAGTAACTAAGTAAAAGTATTTGAATCTTCGGTAGGCAATTCAGCGACCTTGCTCAAATTCATTAAATTCGATCCTAGAATATTTTCTAAATTTGATCAAAGATTTATTGTAAACATGAATTAAAAATTATTCGTTGATAACTACGAAACTTGTCCGTTGATTTTAGAAACCTCAAAATTTCAGCATGAATTAATTTTATGAATTTCAGATAATATTTGTTGACTACTAGCTTTTATGTAATTAATTTAAACTATAGTTATGTTATATAGAAAATTGTTAAGAAGTTCAAAAATTGTTCTGTGAGAAAAAAAATTGTAAATGTAAATAGATACTTAAATAAAATTGGTGATAAAACTAAGAAAATTTACTTACTCTCCCCTTACCAACTGCGTTCAGTTTCAATTTTAGAATAATTTCGTTTTGCCATAGAATTCAAATATCTTTAAAACAGAGAAGTCCTGATTATACTTTTCATTGAAATCGCATCTACCGACAAAAAGTAAAAAAAGAGTAAAATGTGACAACCTGCTGGAAGAAGGACCGAACTGTTGGATCTAGGCTTGTTCAAGAGGGGTTTAGCTCCATAAAGAGCCTCTCCTCTTATAAAAGTTAATATATTTAAGCNTGAGTACTGAGTACTTCACCTTTTGAGCGGATGTGAGTTTGATTAATGTATAAAATTAACTAATTGTGGGAAATTTTGTCATTAAACTAAACTAGAAATGATTGGTAATAAGTAGATATACGTTTCTGCGTACTAACTGTCTTTAAGCGTATGAAAACACAAATGAGAATAAAATTTAGCCTAATATTTTTCTTTAAAGCGGGTTTAAGTTTATAACTGCTAATAGTTGGTGTTAGAATAAATAAAACTATAGTAACAAACGTATACGTCTAACACAATCTGTTTTTTGTATGAATTTCTTTTAGTTCTCATAAGCCTCTAGTTTTCTCTAACATTTTCGACTAGACTGGACAGCAGAAGTTTACAAGATATTATGCGTTGATGTAAATGGAGGCAAATTCTACTTTTTTGTTATTGCTTGAACGTATATTAAGATTTTATATTTTAACAGCTTTCATTTATTCAAGATAACAATGCATGTTGCGCAGTGAAAAACAGAGCTTCCATGACCTTTTCTAGATTAGTTCCATGAGATCATTTTATGGAAATCCCCGTTCTAGACTGCATATAGGATAATAGCTTCTCGACTTCTCAAGGACGGATTTAATAATCCGCCCACATCTAAATCTCTTCTGGATTCCCAGAAAAAAAATTGAGGAAAATCGAAATTAGCGAAAACAGAACTTTCAGTATGATGGATATCCGGCTAAGCCTAAACTTTATTCTTTATGTCATATAACAGAAATGTTGGAATAAAGCGTTGATCTCCGTCTTATGCAGATCTACGAATCAATATAATTCATCTTCGTTATCCCGTGACGGTTATACCCTGAAGGTATTAATTTATTGTTTGCTCTAGTTAATAGATAAAATTATATATCTTCCCTAGGAGCCCTAGTACACTCAATTAAATTTCCGACTTAAGTTGGGCAAATTATGTGGATTTTGATTTAGTTGTAATTGAATTAATTTCGCGTACAAACAGATCACTTTGCCTTTCGTCCTTTAAACGTTATATTTAATGAAGCTTTCTATACATTTTTTCCTAAACTGGCAGGACACGTCTTGTTTGTTAAACAGTGGAATCATTGTCTTATTTATATTCTTGTATCATGAAATGTTATTCTAGATTTTGGTAATTTATTTCTAAAATTATAAAATTTTATAAATCAGTGTCAACAAGCAGAAATTATTAAATCTTCATCGACTTCTCCTGAAAGTACGAACGAAGATGGCAGTCTGTTTAGAGTTTTCTGGTCACTATACTGAATAAAAACATTTGGCTGGGAATATGACTTTGTAATGTTAGAAACCTAGTTAATTTGCAATATCAAGAAGGAAACTTGAGACTTCTTAAAGGTTGGATTTCCTGTTTCAACCATTGAACCATATTTGTACAGAACATTAATACCTTTTGCAATGAATATACCCAAATAATAAGAACTAAAAGTCTTCGAACTGATTTACGTGTTTGTTCTCTGATTTACTTTTTTTTCATTTTTTTAGAAATAATACATGTCAGGCCCGTAGCTGGGGGAGAGGCAGTTGCCACCCCTTTCCCAGAAATGGGGGGCCCATTATCTGAGACTCTTGAGACAAAAAAAAAACGAATGCGAAAAAAAAGTGAAGGAAGAGGCAAGAAATTATAAAAAATTACCAGTAATACGTGTTAAAGGTAATTTTTTGAAAGTTCATTTCTTTCAGAAATAAATGAGTCGATAGAAGAAAACAGTTTTCAATTATTTCTTGTATTTGATTAACTTTTCCTTCTTCATTCTTTTTATAAGTTAATACTAGCAAAATATATCGATATGGAGACAAATCGAAATTGAATATAAAATGATGATAAGTACTTTCTCAAGTGGTAACTTACCAATGGTGCTATTTCCCAAGCGGCCGGCAACTTCCCAAGTCTGTCCTAGCCCGCAGTCCTACTCAGTAACTCCATGAAAATTAAAGTAACGAAAATGGCAGACCACAATTTGGAAATCTTTAGACTAACTTTTTGGAGTTAACTTTTCAAATTGGAATATAAAAATTGGGATTAGATAAAATGCCGCGTAGAAAAAAGACGATGCGGACGTCAAAAGGTTATTCCCATATATTCACTAATTGTTCATATTTACAGACGAACTTAAATATGATACTATTGCACCCGTTTTCTTAGAAAAAAATTTATGGATATGTATATTAATCCTATATGTAGCCCTGTATTCTCAGTATCTAGTCTATTCTCCGACTTCCTACTTTACCAACCGGTATTTAGCCTGGCGCCTCTTTACCCCTGGCGCCTGGCGCCTAAGCGTTCGTTGAAAACCTGCCTTTACAGATAGCATTGGCTCAGTGTTAAACAAACGTTGCTGTACAAAACATACCAAGGTTAGACTATCATTTTAATTATTAGTATCGAAACAAAAATAACATTTTTATTCACTGAGGTTTAAGGTCATATATTAGATACATAAATAATAGATAAACTTTTAATTTTAAATTAGATCAAATAAATATTTTTGCTATTTGCATTACACGGCAACACGGAACCAACTTCAGACCGGAACCTAGACAAAGGTTTTTGTTATACAACCTTTTTAAAAATAAAAAATCAAATAAACATTTTTTAAATAGATAGTTAGAATAAGCATTTTAAGATATTTTATATAGCAAGATATACAACAATAAAACCTTAACTTTTTAATCTAAAAAAAAACAAAAATCCTATTTGGAATAATTTACAACCCTGTTTAAAGTATCATGAATTTTTCAGCCCATAGCAAGTTATTATTTTTAAAGTAATACATAAATAGAGCCTTAACTTTTTAATCTTTAATCTCTACATATAAACATTTTATCAAATCCCCCCCCCCCCCCAACAACTAAAAAAATAGTTTTTAGAATAATTTACAACCCTGTTTTTGCAGTTTCGTGCATTATTAAGCCATTTTTATTTAGTGAAGTATTATAATTATTATTATTCCCATGTTTAGATGAAGATGATAATTGTTATCTGCTGCTTGATGGGCGTGGCTATGTCCCGGCCTGGAGGGTATACTGGTATTGGAGGCGTGTACAAGAATATGAACCAGAAGGCGGACTATATGTCTCACGCTAAGAAAGCTTGTAAGATAATATTTTTTTATAAAAAAGGAAAGCTTGCGAATTAAATGTCTTACTTATAAAAATATTTGTGTCACTATGTGAAAGGTTACTTCCGGTTTCACTGTTTTTCTAAAAGATGGAAATGTTTTTCGTTGGCTTTCCGGTCGGAACTGAAACTAAAACTAGTCGTTTATGACACTCCAGCGGAAAAATTTGCCTATTGCCTCTTAAACCTCACCACTGTCGAACTTTGTGAACAATTCCTTTAATATTGCTAAACTATGGTATGATATATTTCAGCCCAGATGGCCCTCGACCTGTTTAATGACGAGTCCCTCACTCTAGGAGAGGAGGAAAGATCTGCTCGTGCCACCAGGTAACCTGGAAAACTGAGGAGGGGGGCGTTCGGCTCTTCCCCCCCCCTTTCTCAAATGAACTCACTACGACCCAACAAGATGATGCTCTCATGCTAAAATATAGCAGTATTTTACCAATGACTTCTTTTCTGCTAAAACTAGAAACAAGCGCGTTGCAATTTAAAATTGTATGTCCCTAGGGCTAAGAAAAGGCCAAGGCGTTGCACTCTCCACTAACTGCTTCTATATCTACGGTTAGAGTAGTGCACAGATTACTGCAGAATACACCGAAAGCTTAGTTGAGGGTGGTTGCGACTCTTTAAAGTGGAGGCTGTCTAAAAATTTTCAGAATAATTTTCCCAGTTGTCAAGATCTCAGTGAACTGCAGGCATAATTTCAATTGACGAAAAAGAGTTGTATGTCCTATTCATAACGGTACCCTTAAAACCACTATCTGAGTAACAATGAGGAAGATATCGGTGTTTTCTCGCTTAAAAGTGTTGAATTCTGATAATTTCCTTCATTGTTTTCAAGCATGAACTTTACCGAGAAACAACATTTAAAAGTAATCAATATTCAAATAGAGAAATAAAGATATCTCTCTCATATTCATCTTTGATCAAACAAAATTTTAAAGGGAACCATTTAGAAATAAATTTTTTACTCTACAATTGAAGGATTACTTGAAACTACGTGACTAGTCACTTTAAAGGGTCACATTTATATTTCTCAAATTTTCCGGGCATGTCCAAATATTTTCTTTCTTTGATTTCTCAGCAAACCCTTATTTGCGCTTGTGATATTATAATGTAACATGAATACCATTGGAAACCATAGACAGCAAGGGAAGGTATCACTGATGCAACTTTGTAACCTCGAAGCTTCTCTAGTTTTGAATTTACGCTCAAGATAAACCAAATTCATTCGTTGCATTTTATTATTTTTTTCAAAACATTTTAGTTCTTCTCACAAGCTGTTCAATAAGCGGAGTTATGATTGAAATTATATAAAATTTTTAATCTGACATGCTATTTACTTTAGTTTGACGTGAAGTACGAATAGTTTTGAATATTTTTCAAAACTAATAAACTAAGTTAGAGAGACAGCTGGAAATTTCTATTAAGACTATTTTAAAATTGGATTTCCCTTGTAACAATATAAATTATTTAAGTTGGGATTTTAAAAATAAAAAAATAATCCACAAGCAAAGTTCACATAAAATACTAAAATTTTTATCATTATTTATATTATTATATTTTTAATGATAATGTTTCTGCATAATTTAATCTAAAACATTAAACCAAAAATAAGTCTACAAGTTTTGTTCTTAGTTTTTTAAATCATGCTGGTCGTGATTTTGAATTATATTATGATGTTGATGACCTTTAACCCAAACAAGTTTAAGACGCACTTAACAACTTTAGTCACCTTTGAGAAACTATGACTAGGAAAGATTACAACAAGTATTTTCATGGTTATTCCGACTTTCTCTAAAACAATGCTGGGATTTTAAATTTTATTCCGTCCTTGGCTGAAGGCTATGCATTAAAGTAAAGGAACTGAATTCTTGTCATAGAATCTGATTTTATAATCTCTATATCTTTGCAACAAAATATTTCAAACATTCTGTTAATTCCTAATATCTTATTTTAAATTTTAACAGTTTTACAAAGATATATGGATTGGAAAATTTTAGTTTGTGGCAAACACTCAGTTTCTTTTTAAATTTTTTACTTTTTAACACCCTGTCAAAGCTTTTTGATAACTTCTATGTGTATCTAATTTAGCATTAACGATGTATTTGATAGAACGAGAACGATTTTTGTATTCTACTCTACCGGTTCTGAATATGAACAAGTTCTAATTCTTCTAAATATTTTGAGTTTATATACTCTACTCTAATTCTAATTCTTCTAAATATTTAGAGTTTATATACTCTACTCTAATTCTAATTCTTCTAAATATTTAGAGTTTATATAGTCTACTCATGTTCTAATTCTTCTAAAATCTAAATATTTAGAGTTTATATTCTCTACTCATGTTCTAATATTTCTAAATATTTAGTGTTTATGTTCCTTCCTTCTTCACCAGCCAGCCCCAGCAGGTCGCAGTTGACCCAATAGAGCTAGCTGCTGCTGCTGAGTTCCCTGCCCTCGTCAGATCTGAGAGAGCTGGTCTTGCACAGGCCCAGGTATACTATACAAACTTTTTTAACAAAATTTTTTTTTGATAATTCTAAGCAAGCGTTGATGTATAATTTGCCCTTTTAAATAAATGCTGTAAAAAATTTATGATCATAGTATTCTCTTTAAAACCATTATCATAGAGAAAAGGATAAAAAAATTCAATTCCTAAACTTTGCAGCCGGAGAACTTCATTCTCAAATATAAAACAAACTGGGACCTCATTTAACAGATTGATAATATCTTTAAATTTTTGAGCTTTTTTTCTCGATTTCATTTTTTAATGTATTTTTGGGATAGGGGGAGGAACAATTTAAAAATACCAAGAGAAAATATTTTGATATTTAGTACTACGAGCTCCCCATCTACTACAATGAGTACAGCTCCCCCGTTCAGGAGAACACCTACTACCAGTAGAGAAGGGAGCAGGAGGACACTTACTACAAGTAGAGGGTGGGGAAGGAGGACACCTACTACCAGTAGAGGAGAAGGAGGATTATATCATTTGTTTAATATAGAGTACAATCCATCAACTCACTACTAGTGTTTATATGTGGATATTAGTTAACATGTGACCACTATTAGTAAGTTTGGTTGATAGCTAAACATTCAAAAAAAAAAATTATGTTTTTTAATTTGTTAAATTATCTTTTATTTATTTTATTTTAAATTTGTTAAAATCAAGACAATAAACGCATAATACCAACGTTGCTGTGTCATAAGTTTATTTGAAAATAAAGGATAGTTAATAGTCACCTAGAACCTAAGAGCATAGACAACAAGTTCGGATTTTTAATTGAAAAACATGAAGTATATTTGTAATCTCAAAATATTTGACAACATGACTTGAAATATTAAAACATTACAGAATCAATGCATAATACAAATACATATACACTAAACTCATATGCTTATAGAATGAGAAGTACTTCTGTAAATAACAATATCTAAACATTTTATTTGGTTCAATCTGCATTACAAATAATATTAATTATGATTTATTAAGAGAATAAAAGGGTTATAAGGCTCTTCCCAGGGTGATGTATTATATTTTCTATGGGCGCCCCTATTCTATTCCCAATTATAGCTGTTATTTCTGTTTCTCTTCCAGCTCCCTTTTTTCTGGGTAAACAGTATTTGGCAGTCTTCTTAAGTTTGCGTATCAGAAAAAATACAAATTTTTTGGGGTAAAAAATCTTTCATCTTTAACCATCCAAAAAGCTTAATTGGGGTCATGTAAGTTGCCGCAACTTTGGACCTAAAACGATCAGAAGTTTGAGCGTTTAATGTTCACAGACAAACAAAGATTATATTTAGATGACTGAATAAAATCAGTGCAGTAGACCACCCCTTTTTACACGTTTTATAGGATGATATTTTTTCAGATTTATGCTGAGAGACAGAAATAATTATTTTCATATTTAGAATAATATATTGAAATATATTTTATTCTTGTGACCATAAAGGCCGTCTATTCCCTTGAGAAGGCTTGGTCTAGAAACCAATATTTAGAATTTATATCCACCAATATATATACACTGTACTACACATCATTCATTTATATTCATCCATACAGTTCCTTATATTTAATATATATATACTGTACTTCACATCCTTCATTTATATTTATCCCTACAGTTCCTTATATTTAATATATATACACTGTACTTCACATCATTCAATTATATTTATCCATACAATTTCTTATATTCAATATATATATACTGTACTACACATCATTCATTTATATTCATCCATACAGTTCCTTATATTCAATATAAATATATTGTACTTCACATCATTCATTTATATTCATCCATACAGTTCCTTATATTCAATATATATACTGTACTACACATCATTCATTTATATTCATCCATACAGTTCCTTATATTCAATATATATATACTGTGCTACACATCATTCATTTATACTCATCCATACAGTTCCTTATATTCAATATATATATATACTGTACTTCTCATCGTTCTTTTATATTCATTGAGGAGTAGGTTGTCTGTCTAAGTGTTGGATCAGATTTCCATGGTTTTCAACTCCCCTCATTAAGAACCAGCCAACACTAATGGAATAGAAAAGAAAATATAGAATATATAGAGAAGGGGTCCAAGGATCCAAAATGGTAAATAAAGGATTAAGACATCTAGCTGGTAGTAAACAAAAAAAGCAGGAGGAAAAAAGTTGGGATGAATTATAGGAAATAGTGAGAGAAAAAAAATAAGAAAGAACGAAAGAGAGAGGAATAAAGATGTGGATTTAGAGGAATAAGTGCTTGTTAATTCATAAACATGGGATGGGAGAGGAATAAAGAAGTGGATTTAGAAGAATAAGTGCTTGTTAATTCATAAACATGGGATAGGAGTGGAATAAATGCAATGAGGATATAGAATAAATATATATTCATATATATAGTTTGTTTTTATACCTGATCATAATTTATATTTTAAAGTTGAGCAGATTGACTTATACTTAATTTCCAGACAAAGCTGTGTTCCCAAGCTAATATATCAAATACTAAATTATTGCAACTGCAATTATTTCGGAACAACTCTTGAAGAGCAGTTTCTTCTCTCATTCTTGGTGTAAAATATAGATTAAGGATTTTTAACGTCTCAAGGCCTTACCCAAAATAATTTTAGTAGATTAATGTTTTTTTCTAATGAGATTTGAGCATGAACTTAAAGTTTATCAATATACTAGCTTGGACACCCAGCGTTGCCTGAAGTTAATCTATCAAAGTCGACCCACTAATCGTAGAATTTAAAACCAAGCTGAGAACATTCCCGTGGTTCTCTCAAGTTTCCTGATCAAAATTTAAGGCAAATCGGTTCAGTTATAATCGAACATCCAAACAGAGATTACTAAGAACACATAGATGAATGTACAATAAACATTTATATCTGTATACAATGTGCCAACCTTGTATTGATTGTACTATAAAGTTGTAATGTTTTCAATGACAATATGTAGTATTGAATGATAAGATTAAAATGCTGGCTTCAGTAGGAAAATAACGGGATGTATCACAGTTTTACACAGTGGATTCATTCAACCATTAACAATTTAACAATAAATTGAATCTGCAACATAACTGCAATAAAATCTAAAGTTTAGAAAAGATCATTTTTTCTTTTAGAATAAAAAGTTAAGGAAAATAAACGTCTCAACAAAAACAACAAAAAATCGTAATTTTAAAAACACTTTTTTTGTGAGATAAAGGATTTTCGTGATATTTTGGGGATTAATATAGACTAAACGTAGACTTGTATGATGTATGGGGTAATTAATAGGCTAACTGTAGACTAGTATGATGCATGGAGTGATTAATAGGCTAAATGTAGACTAGTATGATGCATGGGGTGATTAATAGGCTAACTGTAGACTAGTATGATGCATGGGGTGATTAATAGGCTAATTGTAGACTAGTATGATGCATGGGGTGATTAATAGGCTAACTGTAGACTAGTATGATGCATGGGGTGATTAATATGCTAACTGTAGACTTGTATGATGCATGGGATGATTAATAGGCTAACTGTAGACTAGTATGATGCATGTAGTGATTCTTAGGCTAACTGTAGACTAGTATGATGCATTGGGTGATTATTAGGCTAACTGTAGACTAGTATGATGCATTGGGTGATTAATNCCTAGACAATAGACTATACTAGGAGCTCAGAGTATACCATACATAGATATATAGAGAATCCCTAGACAATAGACTATACTAGGAGCTCAGAGTATACCATACATAGATATATAGAGAATCCCTAGACAATAGACTATACTAGGAGCTCAGAGTATACCATACATAGATATATAGAGAATCCCTAGACAATAGACTATACTAGGAGCTCAGAGTATACCATACATAGATATATAGAGAATCCCTAGACAATAGACTATACTAGGAGCTCAGAGTATACCATACATAGATATATAGAGAATCCCTAGACAATAGACTATACTAGGAGCTCAGAGTATACCATACATAGATATATAGAGAATCCCTAGACAATAGACTATACTAGGAGCTCAGAGTATACCATACATAGATATATAGAGAATCCCTAGACAATAGACTATACTAGGAGCTCAGAGTATACCATACATAGATATATAGAGAATCCCTAGACAATAGACTATACTAGGAGCTCAGAGTATACCATACATAGATATATAGAGAATCCCTAGACAATAGACTATACTAGGAGCTCAGAGTATACCATACATAGATATATAGAGAATCCCTAGACAATAGACTATACTAGGAGCTCAGAGTATACCATACATAGATATATAGAGAATCCCTAGACAATAGACTATACTAGGAGCTCAGAGTATACCATACATAGATATATAGAGAATCCCTAGACAATAGACTATACTAGGAGCTCAGAGTATACCATACATAGATATATAGAGAATCCCTAGACAATAGACTATACTAGGAGCTCAGAGTATACCATACATAGATATATAGAGAATCCCAAGATAATAGACTATACTAGGAGCTTAGAGTATACCATACATGGATATATAGAGAATCCCTAGTATAGACAATAGACTATACTAGAAGCTCAGAGTATACCATACATATACATATAGAGAATCCCTAGACAATAGACTAAACTAGGAGCTCAGAGTATACCATACATAGATATATAGAGAACCCCTAGACAAAAGACTAAACTAGGAGCTCAGAGTATACCATACATAGATATATAGAGAATCCCTAGACAATGGACTATACTAGGAGTTTAGATTACACTATACATGGATATATAGAGAATCCCATAGACAATAGACAATACTAGGAGCTCAGAGTACACCATACATAGATATATAGAGAACCCCTAGACAAAAGACTAAACTAGGAGCTCATAGAACGGAAAGGGCGCTGGACTGTCATGAGAAAGCCAGTCGCACGGCTGTTCAGACGAGTTCGGTATCACACACGCACACTCTTTTAGTACAGACACACAACATGACTACAGTCAAGGAAATTGCAGAACAATGTCGTCAAATATAATTAAGCTTGAATAATGAGTAGTTTATTGTAAACTTTAATCAAATTATATTCTTTGCATTAAAATTTGGCTTATAGTGTTGACTTAAATATGTAAATTTTAAGAAAACTATTAATAATTAGCAAATGTACTCTCTTAGACTGTACAAATACCGAGATTCTCATGTACTGTATATAATTACAGTACGCGCCTTCGGTTCGGTATTCCTTACACACACTCTTTTGGTACAGATACACACACATGACGTTTCCGCCCCTTGACGAGGTCCCACAAAAATCTGTGCCCGCGATCGGTTTAGCTCTTTTGACGATTATTGGATACAAAGGAAAGACAAACAGACAGACAGTAAAGCAAAGTATATAAATAGACTAGGCTCTTTGCTTTGCTCACATCTTTTATTTCTACTTTTAATTGTGGCTGTATCTGTGAGCATCTTCTCTGTGTACAATATAAAATAACAAACAAAAAAGTAAGCGGACAGCATAATTTTTTTTCGCGCATTTTAAAAAATTTACAAAAATTAATAACTTTGGGACACACATTTTTGTAGTTTTGTAGATGATATAACATGTTTATGTTGGAGGAACCGAGTGTTTGAGAGGAAGGAAGCCCGAGTGTTGATTCTACAAGAAACGGAGAACGTTGCAACATTGTCAAC